GTAGTTTAGTACATCAGGAGTCTCTATTCTGGTCATAAAGCTAAGTCCATTATTTACCATAGGAACTTTGTCAGTGCAATTATTTCATGCATGGTAAAATCAATATTGTCTTCCTCTGCTAATGGAACCATCCAAAATTATCTCTAGAAAAGTCATAATTAAAAGTACCAAGGATAGTATACATAACAAAACCCTTTATGAAGCAGTACAATGTTAACCTTAATAGTAATTTATCCTTTGCTAATACTAAACAGTATTGGAGGATATTATAGACTTGGTATATACAGACATTAAGATTTTTAGGTAATGAATTATCAATTTCAAAGAGGAATCATGTGTGAATCGATTATTACAATCAATATTATGTACTTTCAGGATTGGAAAAAAACATACAAGACACAACAGCAAGGTAAATTCTTACAGAGACATCTTAATGTGGATTGACCCTTCTGTGACATTACTCTTTCCAGAGTCCAGTAATCTGTTTTGCTTTATATGATGCGCTATTTATATCCAGATTTGAAGAATAGAGTTATTTCTGTTTTCTTTGAACAGCATATTAATGTTGGATTATAGATCAAATTTGTGAAATGGATTTAAGCACTGGTACCAAAAAGCCAACCTGATATTAGGCAATGTTTGTACTTTTTGAAACGAAAATAAGGTGTACTGTTGTAAAATCGAGTGGTGTAAATGAGTAATAAGTCATTAATATATTAAAATACTGTCAGGCAGATGCATCAACAGGTATACATAGGAACATCTGTTTTGCTCTGGAATCACTGTATTTAAACTACAATGTCATTTAACAACACTACCAGTAGTATAATTGATCATAATTATTATCATTAGGGTGAGGTATGCTTTTTATTTGATTATCTTACCAGGTAATGTATTTATGCCAAAGTCTTAATAGAAATTGAAAAAATGGATAATTATCTAATAAAAGCTGAAAAAAAGGAAAAAACAGGGGTTTTGAAGAAATTTTTTTCAGCAAGAGACCAGATTTAACAACTATATCAACAGCTATTTTTCAATTACCAAAACATATAACATTTTTGGGACAGTTATGTACTATATACTATGCATTTCAATGACATTTATGCAAGATGTATATATATTTAATATGTTTTATAATAGAATTAACTGAACAAAATGTTCCATTCCTTAAAATGGCAAAATCTGGATCAGTAGTTAATGAGTATGTATCTATATGTGACCCTGGTAGTAAACGTAATGTGGTGATTATGAGTTTGATGTGTTTATTATGGTATTTTTTCCCATAAAATCTGAAGAGATGGACTACCTTAAGTGTAATTAGGGATAAGAATCCATCAGTCCATAATAGGGTATCTTAATTAAAGAAAGCTTCACATCAACAAAATAATTCAATACTTTCCGATCATGCACAACAGGGTCATGGTTTAGCTAGAATGATTCACTAGTATACAACATTTTGAAACATACTACTGTATATGTAAACAAGTACCTCCAGAATAATTCAGTATGCTTGCTCCAACCAGTTCCTTATAACAGAATGTAAATAAAGCTACAAATCCTCAATATCATTCAGAATCATTCTTTATGCTACCAACAGAGAAAATATGTGATGTATTTATCAAAGGTAAATAAACGTTTATTGCTTTACAGACAATAAGCCTTTCCACCTTTGTTAAAATCAATGAACAAACTTAAATCAACACTTCTTTACGAAAACTAGAGAAATGAATTCAAAGTAATTTAAATCAGGTTTATAATACAATATAGAAATTTGTTATTGTGTTAATGCTAAGTCTGCAATCACAAAATTTTCAATTTTCTTTGACCGTTATTTGTATTTGTATGAGGACAAAGACTTGAAAAAACTATCAGGCTAGATGTGAACTTATTTACCCTAGTTCCTAGCAGCTGTTAAATAGTGACTGCGTCATATTTTGGCAACAAGATTCAATCAGTTCAGTACTAAGATCAAAGTGTTAACCACTCACTCAGTGCCTTCTCTGTATGACTTCATAAATGCTACAGCACTATCATAAAAGAAGTTGGTCAGTGTCGCTTGTGTAGAATGTAATTAAACATGGTCTTATTATCATGACATTCACCTGATTCCTGTCAGGACACTTGGCATCTACTGCTTTTCACAGTTATTCTGTTACACTATAATATATACAATGTTTATCCTATATGTATTTAACAGCTGTGTGTATGAATTTGAAAAATAAAGACATTTCTTAGACATAGGATGGCGTTTCTCATTGTTCTTTAATTTTGGGAAAATAAAACACTTATTATCTACTTAATGTTACTTTTAATTAGTTTCAAGTACAGGAACTGTTGTTTCTCTCTTAACCAGACTTAATATTGAATTCCAGTGTAGGTCTGTCACTTTCTAATGTCCCTGTATTGATTTCAACTCTATAATTGCAAAGTAGCTCTTGATTTTTCCACGCCTTATTAAGTCTGTTCTTGAAGTTGTTGGTGTTTGGTGCAGTGACCGTATTTTCTGGAAGATTATTCCATATTCTCAACACTCTCAAAGAAAAAAGTGGTGTCTTTTGCTTGATTTGCCTTCTATGGAAATATTTTCTGGGAGTTGGTCCTTGGAGCTGTTCCTGGCTGTGACACTATTCCAAGGTTTGAGGATATTATTATCTAGGGGAAACAACCTTTTTGGCTGTTAAACAGGACAAAAAACCATCACTGATCATTATATTGAAATTGGATATATAAAAAGGGGATAATTTTATGCTTCCTGTCAGAACAACGAAGTGGTAGATTGCACGAGTTTTGCAGAATAGTAAGGTAAAATGATTTTCTCAATAAATTAAAAGTGAAAACTATATACCGCAGTCTGCCTTTAATGGTATTCAACAAGAAAACTGTCAATTTTCTATTTGTTAACACATTCAAGTCCCTACATGTAAATGAATTCAAAAGGAAGAGGAAATTAAAACTAATTCTACAGAAAAAAATATTTTGTTTGGAGATTCTACAGGATTTAAATACTGCAGAAGAAAACATTTTTGTGAGAGAATCTACAGAACTACAGCTGATCTAGGTCAACCATTTGGATCTCAAACTTGTTTAAAAGATTCAAACACATTTAACTCATGGTACTTTAAAAACATGTCAAGGCCATGCATTTGAATAGCATTTTAGTCATTTATCCTAGCTACTGGCCAAATTCAATTACCCTGAACCTTGCTCTTAATTGTTTGTCTTGATTGTCATGGTTTGACTGTGCAAGTCTTCTTAAGACCATATTTGAATCCTACGATGTTCTGACTTTGAAATGAGGTCATCCATTTGAACAATTAATATGATGGTAATTTGTTTAACTTAAAAATTTGACACCTGTGATTAGAGATGGGCTACTGATCAATCATTTAGATAGACATGTTTTAAACTATTTAATACATTTGACCTCTATCCACTGTGAATGTGGGTCTATTTCATCATTTGAAAACTATATGAAATATATGATAAAACATGATTTACAAACATTATATTTTTAGAAGTAAACTTCAAAATGACATATATATTACATTATGCCTGGAAAAGCACATGATGTAATTCAAAATGCTTCTCTGTGTAGATGGTGTATTGTTAATTAAGACTCAAAACTGAGACAGAGAATGCAAGTGTTCTCAGTAGAAAAATTCAAATTCACATTGAAGTTGAAAAGCAACAAAATCAGAGTGAAGATACAATTCTTTCACCAAAAACCAGATACAAAACAAAAGGTCCAATGGGACTTTGCATAAGGGTCAAGGCCATATCTTTTCACAAAGTTTGTCAAGCGTCATCTTAAGAACCTATCAGCGAAATTCCATGCCTCTGCATCTTTTATTAAGTCATAGGAAATTGGTTAATGGTTTTAACAAATTTGACCCCTGTGACCTTGAATTGGGGTTAAGGTCATTTCTTTTTGCACACTTTGTCAGACTTCATCCTCTAAACTTTTCAGCAAAATAACATGTTTCTGCACTGTTTAGTTAGTCAGAAGTTGTTTTAAGGTTATAACAAATTAAATCCCTGTGACCTTGTATAAAGTTCAAGGTTATTTCTTTTCACAAAAAGGAAAATTTATCTGGGCAATTATAATGAATTTCACAGGATAATGACCAAATGTCACAGCCCCCATGAAATGTGTTATACTTTTTTATACACTGACCATTCGATTTTATCAATGAATCACATGATTCATTCAAGCATGTTTCTGCCCTGGTATCATTATTCTAGCCAGGAACATATATTACAGAAGTCTACAGTAACTGATCATGATACACATTGTTACTATTGACATCAGGTCATTAAGTGAAAAAATAATATGCCACTGTATCTTCCTTGAATTAATTTTCAAGAACCATAAAAAGCAATGTAAGCCAAACACTCAAGTTCACTACTGAATGTCATTAGTAAAAGAAAAAAACTTAAATGTAAGATGAACTGTAGTATTGTAAACTGTAATTAAGGCTTTTCTGTTGGGGTTTTTTTTTTTTTTTATGGTTGAAATTTCAATGATTTTACAACAGCATTGATGCTTAATGGAGAATACAGTACTTTTTCATTTTTCACATTAGGTATAAAAGAGAATAACACATTTTAATCATCTTTAATGTTCTATTTGTCAATGGTTTGTTTATTTCATCTTTTATGACAGCAAAAAAGGAGACTCGTAAATAACTATTACAGTATTAATTTCCATCCACTGAGTTTGTTTCCGTGTAAAAAATGATTTGGAGGTTCTTAATCAGAGTGTTAGAAGCTGTTACATAAATATATGCAGTCTCCTCTGCTCCTAGACAACGCAATAACAACATAGGATAAAATTCTGTATGAACGCAGCATTTACTGGTAGGCTTAATATCGTAAGCTACGAAACAAGCGTCTGTAGTCGGTATTAATCAATAATGTTAAAATAATTTTGGGACATACTTACGAAATCTCTCTATCTCTCTCTCTCTCACTCTGTATAAGATATAACAACGACCACTTACCAAATACAACTATCAAGACTGGACCTGGATCTCTCCTCATCGTCACCTTTTTTCCAGCCTCCACAACAACAGGATTACCTCCGAAAATCGAAAGTTTTCGGACATTTGCTTGCCCTGCTTGCGGTGTGCTTCCACCACATCCCATATTTTTGACTAAAACGAATTTTTTCTTCCAGTATAAATTTCAGGTTAAAATTAAATACCACTCACGAAAAAAATATCGACTGCTACCAGATTTTGCTTATGCGCATATAGGTTGGCGCAATTGAGTAGTTTAGGAAACCGTATGAAAAAATTCCGGATTTCTTTTAGTTCATATAATATATAAAAGTTCGTTCATAATCATTTAACATTCAAACTATTTTCAAGTAAAATTAATTTTGTAAATTTCACATCGTTTGAAATTATGTTACAATTAAAATATACAACTTTTCTTGAGAGGAAGTAGATGGTTCCATTTTTAGATTTTACCATTGGTCACGTGAGCAACAAAATGGCCGTCGTCTCCTAAGAAGACGTCTTACAACTGTCACAAGATTGCCACTCGATTCAAGGAAGAACAACGAATTTCCTCAAGTAAGTGAAAAGAACTGTAAAACAATGCTCCAAGTACTCGTTGTTATTCGTAAAATACATGTTTTTGATCATTTCCTTTGATTTAAAAATACCTCAATTTTGACATATTTTGGTTACCGTGTACGAGTCATCATTCGGCGACATGACCTGATACGATATCAGCAATGACATATGTTTAATATGGATCTTGGGTAGGCCTCCTTAATTCTTGATTTCTTTTCATTAACAATTCTGTAAGCATTTATTTGTGGAAGAACTGCACGAATATATCGTTGCATTATACCTATAACCACATGATTACATATCCTGGTGAACACAGAAGTGGCAAACTTTCGACTGTCTTTTGGATCAAACGTTAGCTCACACGTATTGCCATGTCAAAAGCTCACTTTTGTTCGAGAGTTGGATGCATATCGGCTTTATGATTATCACTTCAAAGTATTTAAAAGTTCGAAATTTATATTTTATTTTAACAGTATTCAGTATTCAACAATATTAAATATAGCTATATTCACATATGGAAGGGAAAACAATCTTAGATCTTACATTGATTCCTTTTCCAAAAACTGCATTTATTTCTTGAATACTTGTGTTTCTCTGAAGTCAGCCATAAGTGCTTGGCTCAATGGTGGCAATTAAAACCTTGATATTAATTACGTTAATTAGCTATAGTGTATGCTTTAACATTCCTAAACTTTTGGAGAAATCCCTAAATCTTCCCACCTATTGATTTGATTATCACATTAACAACTTTTTGAGGTCATCCTGAGACAAAGTCTTATGATGACCAACTGTGATCCCCTTTTGTCCAGTATTATGCGTTGTGCGTCATAAACTTTTAACATTTTCGGCTTCTTATGGAATTATAATGATTGAAACTAAAAAGTCTTCATTTTCAAATCCCAGGTAGGGTAGAATCAGATATTCTTCATGAATAGAAAGGCTTTCAAATGCTTAACTAAAGTTACAAATTTTATGACCTCAGGGTCTCACATTTCCCCATGGGAAGGGGGTAGAATAAACTATATTTTATTTAGGAAAATAACAAAATTATGTATAAATTATTTATTTTCTTTCAGAAATAGTTCAAACTTGGTTAGAATTATAAGTATTTGCTGCCAGTTTGATGAGATGCACATATTAACCTCGGCTGACCCCAGGGGCTGATAGGCATGGCCAAAAATGGGTCAAAATGACTGAAATTTCAAAGATGTTTTACTGTTGTGTTCCTGGATGGAAGATTTTATAATTTCTTTAATTCAAAGTTGGTTAGAAGCCTACAGTTAATGTCATTCACAATTTACATTTGCATTATGTGTACAATGTAGTAAGAGTTTTTTAAAAAATAATTTTTCTGTCGCATTACAAGAAGCATTGTGACTCAGGTGACCATTAAGGCCATTGGGCTTCTTGTTTATTTTATATTTGAAGTATTGAATTAAATGTTATCATATTTACAGCCAACACATGATCAAGAAACATCCAAAAAATAAATATAAACAAGAAAAATGCATGAAGAATGTAAAAGGAGTAAGCTAGTGTGGCTCATACATGTGTTAAATTATGTCACTGTATTTCAACTGACAGAACATGCTTCTTTGACACAGTTTGTAGAGTCAGTCAGTTATGCCAGAGACCCTGGTTCAGTTCCTGGTCAGGACACTCAACAGGAATGTCTATTTACCCTGGTTTTTTTCTTAAGCAAATGATGTTCCTGTCAGACTAACATGGTAGTGTAGACTCATAAATTTTGTATTAATTAAGGTACTATGGTTATTCATGTATGACATTTGATGAAACAGCATCGGAGTGGCTCTTTAAATTTATTAATAACACAACAGTGTCAACCTCTCCAGATTTCATCAGGATCTGATGAAGTCTGGCAAGGGCAAATCCAGTTTGCCAAATTTTTACACAAGGTTAAGATGAAGTTTTCCATGACTTGAAATACCATTTCAATGTAACTTTCTAGGCATAGAATGGGGTATTTCGACCCTTGCTGAAGTTCTTTAGTTATTTTTCTGCCAATCTGGCCTAACTGACCACTTCCTTTATCCCTTTATATGTATTTCAATCCATCATGTACAGCCTGTGTAAGTGCTTTCATCACTTTGATTTTGACAATCTTCCTGTATGGATAGATTAAGGTTGTAGTAACCAAGATGTCACTTTCATTTACTCCAGTGTAACATGAATTTGATAAATAACTGATATATATGTAGATATATACAATGTATTTGATAATGATTATATGTTCATTAGTAATCAATGTAATTTTCTGTAATTCTATATTGATCATTGTAATATGATTTGTGTTTTGATTTTCTGTCACTTCCACAATTGATATGTCACCTATTCTTACTGATATGCAAACTTAATAACTATTTACAGCTGATTGGTGTGATCACTTGTGGAATACTACATAACAAATTTGACTTCCAATTCATGTAACATTGATATTGTTACATCAGAAAGCAAGATGACTGAGTTTTGGCTGATATCGGCACCCGGGGATAAAACCTGTCAACAGACATGGGAGAACCTGTGCAATATGACGTCCCGACAAAATTCCCTGTCAACTAATTACAAATTTGCTATCCCGGACTTAAAGGTAGATATGAGATGTGTCACTCAACAATATAGACTGTTATGATTATAGTGGATCAGAAAACTTTTAATCAGTAAAGAAATACTGAAACGCAAGTTATTTGATGTTTTTGTTTTCTAAATATTAAAAATTGAACATAAGAACATTAGTATTGTAGCACTTCTGCAGAGCCAGGTAATTATGGCTTATGCTGATTACTGCATCAGCATGCATAGATAGAATCTTATTTTAGCACACTATTGCAATGATATACTGGTAATTACAATTGATGGAGATGGAACATACCATGTCTTTTACCATTACACAGTGCTGTCCACCTCCACTTATGTTACATAGATCTCGCATAGCAGAAAGCATAGTTAACTCTCTTTCAAAGGTAGCACTTTACAAGTTGATATTGTACACAAAAGTATACATGAAAGTAGTACCTAATTATATAACATATGATATGAAAACTACTGAAAGAATTATGATATAATGTTTATTTGATAGTATTGAGATGCCTTTGCTTATTTATTGTTGAATAATGTATATTTGTTTTATCCTTATGTAATATAAATGTACATTTTTAATACAGGTTGGAACACTTGACATATTGGTTGGACTGTCAGATGAGCTGGGAAAGCTTGATGCTTACTGTGAAAGGTAAATGATTTAAGGTCTACCCTTTTTAAAAACTATAACAACATGACTTAAACGAACAAATAAACATTTCAATGCTTGTACTTATTGGTCTGTTTGTCATCCATATTGTAACAACCCCCTCATCGTCCAGCATGTTGTATCCTTTTGTCATCATTTCTAAACTGTACCTAAGAATTTAGGATTATAGGTATATGTGTTCCATGTCAGTGTTTCATATGGAGCAGAGTACTGATGTCATAAGTACTTCAATGTCAGTCTTGTTTTGAATATTTGGCGGTAAAACATTCGAATTCATTTGTTAAAAGTAATCTAAAAGTTTTCTATGATTCATTTATTCAGTGTGACAAGAAAAATTTCCCATTATATGGGTGAAGTTTTAGAGGATAACCACAAGCTGCAGGAAAATCTGTTAGCCAATGGAGGTGAGTTAGCCATTATCTATAGGAAAATCTAGCTAATGGAGGTGAGATAATCAATATTTACAGGTAAGTCTGTTAGTTAATGGAGGTGAGTTAATCAGTATTTACAGGTAAGTCTGTTAGTTAATGGAGGTGAGATAATCAATATTTACAGGTAAGTCTGTTAGTTAATGGAGGTGAGTTAATCAGTATTTACAGGTAAGTCTGTTAGTTAATGGAGGTGAGTTAATCAGTATTTACAGGTAAGTCTGTTAGTTAATTGAGGTGAGTTAATCAGTATTTACAGGTAAGTCTGTTAGTTAATGGAGGTGAGATAATCAGTATTTACAGGTAAGTCTGTTAGTTAATGGAGGTGATTTAACCATTACTTACAGATAAGTAAATCTAAGTTCTGGTATAAAATTGTCTTTACAGTGATGAAGTTTATCTTAATAAGAGATAAAATAATCTTGATAATAAAACCTTTTTATTGTAAGTCTACAAATGTTATTATTCTACAACTGATGTTCCCTATAACCTAGCTAAACAAAGATCTAAAAGTATTACTAGCTGTAATGTAAACTTGTGTGTCTTTACAGTGGACCTGGTGACTTACATGACACGATTCCAATGGGATTTAGCCAAGTATCCCATCAAACAGTCCCTTAGGAACATATCACAGATAGTCAGCAAGGTAGTTCCCTTTCCTTTTTTGTATGTAAATTATGTGCTTTTGTTTACACACCAACTTACCTGGGTGTATTTTTTGATATGTAAGGGAGACAATTGTCAGCAACCATGGTGTCACTGGCTTGGTTTTTAGTCCAAATAAAGATCATCCTATTTACAACTTATATGTAGTTTTTTGTTAATTGATTTAAAACTTTACAATAAATCTTTAATATATTGATGTAGAAAAAACAGGAGACTTGTTGTAAGACTTCCTATTGATCTTTGAATTTCAGCAAGTTTCTCAAATTGAAGGTGATCTGAAGTCAAAAGCAAGTGCTTATAACAACCTGAAGGGCAGTCTTCAAAACCTAGAAAGGAAGGCAACGTGAGTGTGATGTCATTGTAGATTTTTTTTTCTTTTATCAAAATATTTGTTTTGAAGTTTCATAAAAAAATTATATTACACATGAAATGGAAATAGATTTAAGTTCCTTTTATGATCAATTACTTTAGCAAACTTTCCTTACTACATTACACTTCTTTTCCAACTTGCCATAACATGTACAATCTCCATTGTGATGTTACAATGTTATTTTTAAGTGTGTAATTTCATTTCATTGTAAACTGACATTACATTAGGTTATATAACATCAGTTTATATATAAAATATTACATGGATATTCACTGAATAATATGGATATCAGGTAATAGATAAATAAATGTTGATAAATGGTATGTCATGGTTGAGTAATCTTGATAAATCTTTGGTAAATCTTATGTCATGGTTGAGCGATCTTGATAAATCTTTGATAAATAGTACATTTTGATTTAGTGATCTGAATACATTACTTCAAGGGGCTTAGCTCAACAGAAGGAGTATCCCACACCTTCAGGATTCTAGATTTTGTTTTCAGAATACCAAATTTTGTATGATCTATTGTTCAGACAATAAACTTACCTGATAGTATTGTTCATGTCTTGAGAATATTTCACTGAATGTGTTTGTTGCAGCGGGAACTTACTAACCAGAAACATAGGTGATCTGGTGAAGAAGGAAGACTTTGTACTAAATTCTGAATATCTTCAAACACTGCTGGTGGTCGTTCCCAAGTAAGAACATGCAAACTTTTCCAGAATTATTTTGTATGTAAAACAAATGTAAAATTCAAAAGTACATAGAATGTCAAACAATGGAAAGGATATTCATAAATGAAAAATATTTCTTGCAAACATACATCTACTTTTTGTTTAAGCTGGTTTATATATTATGCATATTAGGGATAGTCTCAGTTTTATTATGACAAATGATTAGCTGACCCTAGAACAAAACAACACTTTGAAAAAATGTACACCGAGAATAGAGCTAAAAGTCCTGAAACAAAGCTCTTTAAAGCAAAGATTACAGAGAAGAACTTTAAAAAAATTGATATGGATCTAAGAATAATTTAGAATTTTAATAATGTTGAAGTTTAGTATAATACATATTTTCTCACTGTGGTTTTCTTGAGGACTGGAATGGCTTTATCCTTTGAACTATAAACTATTTGATTGAAATATCTACTTTTTATGTGAAATTTGCAAACCAGCTGCATCTAAGCACTGTCTAACCAACTTCAGATAGTGTATAGGCTCTCTGAAAGAAGGAACAGATTTGCTGTAGAATTTACAATATTTGACCTTGATGTAAGTGAGAACATGAGGCTGAATGGCTGACCTGGCTTTTCATTAGTATGATATAGGCTTGTTTGTGCCAGTACTACAACCTGTGTCTTTTGTTTGTAGAGCTAACCAACATGATTGGCACCTCAAGTATGAAACTTTGACTGACATGATAGTGCCAAGGTCAACAAAGTAAGTCCTCCAAAACATCTACAATATAAAGCAAGGCTTGCCATATTCTTACACAAGGGTCAAAATATTCCTGTCCACCGAACAGACCCATGTTTGATTATTTTTCTCACATACTTTATGAGTAATGCCATAGCACATCTCTGTCCATATACTATTTGTAAGTATCTGTCATTGTGGTACATTTGTTTTAGCCAGAAGACATTTCCTTAACATTCCTGTAAATATATATACACCTAAGCCATCATGTCATGAATGTTTCTGTGTTTTAACAGGGTCCTGTTTGAGGATGATGAAAACTGTCTCTGTAGCGTCACTTTATTCAGACGAGTGGTTGATGAATTCAAACACAAATGTCGAGAGAACAGGTAAATCTCTTTAATTATAATAAATCATTTCTATATTAACTAAGTAAAGTCAGGGGAAGGTATTTTGTTTGAAGAACAGACTTGTTTATTGATTCTTCGTTGAATATATACTTATATATATATATACTATACCTCTCCCAGAACTAACACAGAAAGAAACATTATTATAGATGTGTAATGAGAATGATAGATAGATCTCATCATGCTGTATAAAGGTTTCATGCGTAGCTGGTAACATACAAATTACTATTTTCTCTCGTAGATTTATGGTGCGAGACTTCACTTACAATGAAGAGGAATTAGCAGCTGGCAAAACAGAAATCACAAAACTGGAAGCAGACAAGAAAAAGCAATTTGTGAGTAGCTGAAGGAAATGTTTTAAAAAAATGATAAAACTGCTGTCACATTAATAGTCGTTAATGGTATGCAGTGATCATTAATGTTTAAACAACTGTCACCAATCTCTTTGATCTTGCTTTATTATCTCTCTTCTACACATTGTCATTTTTATATTCTGAAGTTACTTTGATGTCATTTTCATATTCTAAAGTTACTTTGATGTCATTTTCATATTCTATAGTTACTTTGATATCATTTTCATATTCTAAAGTTGCTATAAAATCATATATTTTAATGGGGCTCGATTTTTGTGTTTTTTTTTAATAGTATTTCATTTACACTGGATTTCATGGATAAATAAAACCGATGTATCTCCTAATATTAGTTTTAAGAGTTCATAGTCATATGAACTGGTGGATTATGATTGTACAGTCATTTGATACCAACCATACATGGTACTCCATAGTTAATACTGAAATTATAACATTTAGATCAAACGTTTTTCCAATTTTGTAAATGACAATTCTGTTTCAATGCTGGATTACTTTCTAGGGTCCTCTTGTTAAATGGCTGAAAGTGAACTTTGGAGAATGTTTCTCTGCCTGGATACATGTAAAGGCTCTACGAGTGTTTGTTGAATCTGTGCTAAGGTGAGTCCTTGAAATGATGTTAAGGTTCTACGAGTGTTTGCTGAATCTTTGCTAAGATGAGTCCTTGAAATGATGTTAAGGCTGTACGAATGTTTGTTGAATCTGTGCTAAGGTGAGTTCTTGAAATGATGTTAAGGCTGTACGAATGTTTGTTGAATCTGTGCTAAGGTGAGTTCTTGAAATGATGTTAAGGCTGTACGAATGTTTGTTGAATCTGTGCTAAGGTGAGTTCTTGAAATGATGTTAAGTCTCTATGAGTGTTTGTTGAATATGTGCTAAGGTGAGTTCTTGAAATGATGTTAAGTCTCTATGAGTGTTTGTTGAATCTGTGCTAAGGTGAGTCCTTGAAATGATGTTAAGACTGTATGAGTGTTTGTTGAATATGTGCTAAGGTGAGTCCTTGAAATGATGTCATTGCTCTATGAATGTTTGTGGAACCTAAAAAATGTGTACTGAGTAAAGGAAATCATCAGTTAAACTAGAAATTCACCAAAAATAGAATGTAAGACTGCCGGATCATACCTGAGTACAAGATACAATACAATGATAAATTAACAAAGATTCCTGTATGTTTCCACTGAATCACTGGAATCGAACCCCAGACGTCTTAGTGAAAGGCGAGAGTCTTACCACTGCACTACCCAACCACTCAGTCTTATCATTTACTGCTACCGATATTGGTTCACCAAGTATTTGACCACTTGTGTGCTTAGATAGCTATATAGCAGGACAAGTGATTCATCAGCTTTATAAAGGCTACTGTCACTGTTGTGAAGATGCGATGTTGTAAAAGTTTGCTGAAATAAATGTGTTACCTTTATACAGGTATGGTCTGCCTGTGAACTTCCAGGCCATGCTTCTACAACCCCATAGGAAGAGTGTGAGGACCCTTCGATCAGTCCTTAGTCAGTTGTACAGCCATTTGGACAACACAGCACTGGCCGCTTCTAGTGAGGTAAGATCACTGACATCATGTACCTTGATTGTACATCTCATCGCTTGTAACTCTCTTTAAGTTTTTATTTATCAACATTCAAAGTTGGTAAGAAGTAACACCATTATAACTGTGTACCTAGGGCAGGTTACAGGTCAGTTATGTTGAAATATCAAGAGATATGTAGACAATAGTGTATACCTGTTTAGTGTATATTAATTATTGGCTGACATCTTCTCTAAATGAAGTGTTGCTGTAGACTGTAAACAGGTTATTAACTGACCTGTGTCCCACACACACTCCACAGCTAATTAGATTACATCTTGATTAGATAAACCTTCAACCAATATTTAAGGTCATCCTACCATTAAAAAAAGTCTGGACTTCTTTATTGACAACATTTTAATGTATCGAGTATATATGAAAATGTCTCCTGACTGATTCCAATGATGGCAAAAAGGCCTTGCAAATACTGTTATTAGCCCACCAAATGGTGGGCTTTTCAAATCGCCCTATGTCCATGGTCCGTCTGTCCAACGTCATGGATTGCCACTTTGAAAGTTTGTTTTCACTATTTTTAGAGAATCAATACATAGATCTTTCTCAAATTTTAAGTGTAGGGGCCCCTTGGTCCCCAGTTGCTCCCATTTGATTTTGGTTGAGAAAAACGAAATGGCTGTCAGACAGCCATCTTGGATTTTGATTAAAAAGGTTTTTAATTGTATTTCTTGAGACAATATATTTCTCAGATTTCATGTATATGTTCCTCTTTGTCCCTAGTTGTTCCTGTTTGAGTTTGGGACTTATCAGAAAAACAAAATGGCTGACAGGCAGCCATCTTGGATTTACCTAGTAAAGATTGTTATCAATATTTCTAAAGAAAAACTGAATGGATCTCTCTCATATTCATAAGTATGTTCACTTTGGTCTTCACTTGTGCCGGTTTGATTTTGGGACTGATCAGAAAAAAACCAAATAGCTATTTCTGCAAAGGAATGTTCAAATTTCTTATCACTAAGAGGAAAAACAGAGAAAAGAAGTGGAAAGATCCAACTTTCAAAGCACAAATAAAGATCAAACAATGGTGGACACCAAGACCCCTCTGGGATCTCTTGTTTTTCCTTTGTTATTTTATTTTAATTTTTCTTACAGGGAGGCCACATGGACATCCCAGGGCTAGGCATGGGCAACCAGGAGTATTATCCTTATGTATATTACAAGATCAATCTGGATCTCACAGAAGTTTGAGTCACAGAACAAAATTGTCATTAATTGTTATATACGGAACTGTTCGTGTCTAGACTCTTTGTCCCTGTGGTAGCTCTTTCCTGTATGTGAGGGGGTTATATTGTTGTATCATCAAGTTACCAATTCAAAATATCTCCAAAATATTTATTCAAGTACATTTATCAATGTGTTTAGTACTAAGCAATTATGTAATTTTATGATAAAAAAATGTAAATTCTCTTTTATCATATTAATGTAGAAAACTACTGTAATTACAAATTATGGACCACTCAGATTTCTTAAAATAAAAATTGTTCCTTGAAATGTGTAGTTTTACAAAATTGCTGTGTGTTATGTACAATGCATATCGTAGGTATTGTCTCGTAAAATATAAATTCACAAACACCTCAAGGAATATGATACACCATATAAAGATAATATGAAAAAAATTGTAACTTACCTATCATTGGGTGAAGATAACACTAAATTTTGAGAACTTGATTTGTTTTAGAAATCTGGGTAATGTTTATGCATTTGTGTTAGAAATTTGTGTTTCTTTTTAAATTAGTGATGAATTCCATGTCAAAAAAACTACCAGTATTTATAATGTCATTTAACTGAAATTTTCTCTACTGCATCATTGTATTATATACAGTGTATTATGTAATCATGTAATTTGACATTTGAAAATCTTAAAAATACTGTATAAAATGGTTCCACTGATTCTTTTAGAAGTCAAATTGATCAAACACTGGTGAAAGTTCAATGGATAAAATCTTACTTTCTTTTAGTCTTGGTGTTAGGGAGAAATATATTTTTCATTATCTTTTGTTCAGTCTGTAAAATGTAGAAGGAATGGAGCTGTATGTTCAGAATGTGATTTGTATTGATGGTATGTGTGCTACCATCATTTTACACTGCATATATGTTTATCATAATTAGTCTTTCATAAATCCAACCCCATTAAATTGTACATAAAGTTGGTCAATTATGTCATGTTTGTAGTCTCCCTTTCTATGTTTTCTTTTTCAAAAATGGTACCTTTGTTGATGAAGTATGGTAAATTTACCTCTTGAAGAAAGCTATGAATTGGATATACATTGGTATTACATTTTATCCTAAAAAAATGCCATATTTGTTGTAGAATGTGACTTTGATTTATAATAATCATGTTTTCTCAAATGTGTGAATGGAAACAGGACAATACAAAAGTAAGACCAATATTAACTTTTTTCTGTTAATCAGCAACTGACCTTTGCATCAAATTGGAATATCAAACTAGATAAAACAGGATTTGGTGCATTATTGTGATGTTTCATGAATATGTATACTTCAGCAGCCTAGTCTAATGGCTACCTTTTTGTTGTCTGTAGTTGAGAGTCATGTTTATGTCATCTTCCAGCTAGAGTGTAACAATGTAGGAAGGGAGACCACAAAACCAGATGTTGATGCGAAATGGATCAAAATGTGATTTTAGTCTTTTAGATATGAATGTATTGATGTGTAACCGTGATCAGCCATGTATGATATAAAGAATCATTTAATTATAACCATATTCTGTGATTTTTGCATTCCATAATAAATTGCTCTATGTTATTTTGTAGTTTTCTTCAAAAATCCAGATATTTGTTTCAAACATGTGCATGGAGGCCTATCTGAAAACCTCATACATATTAATGGAGATGAACTCTAGATTAATGAACAAGTTAAGACTTATCAGAATTAACAGTGAAGAAAAGCATTACAGTTATAAGGATACAAGATTCCTCTCTACATTGGTACCATCTACCTTCTATTTTGTTTTAAATGTCATTTTATTGATAACTGATGTTTTAAGTAGCCAGTGAGGCTAAACAATGATTGACCTTGTTACCAATATTTCAGTTATAGTGTTATCCTAGTTTCGCTCTGGATAGAGTTCGATTAGAGAATCGTACCAGCTGTCTGTCATCGACAAAAACAACCACTGCACATGTTTTTGTGTGATTAATCTAGTCAAATTGTAGGTTATCTCGTCTCCAATTATGTTGTACAAATCATCATGAATACACCAATAAGCTTGATTATTAGCTGAAGATATAACACAACATTTACTGTTTTGTTTTACGTTTTGTGTAGACATGAAAATGTATAACCAATATACCTACTACACCTGTTATAGAAACTACAGTCATACTTAGAGATAATTTAATCTTTTTACAAATTTCTTTTAGAATTAATTTTGACGTGTGGGGAGAGGAATTGAAATGTGTTCAAAAGCACAATTTAATTTGATATTATGAAAACTGACCATGATGTAGTATATAAACCTTGCCATGTCTAACAAATCTTAAATAAGAGTTGAAATATTAATTTCTCCCAGATTTTGTTCATACTTAAACAAGAAATCAGAGTTACATGTATGGCTACTGTGTAGATGGCTAGACATTTTATAGCTAGACACATGTCATTGTTGTAGGGTTAGATAGATATGGTTGTAATGTTATTAGTAAATCTGTAAGCACAAGCATTGAACAATAAATATATGTACCTTATATATGAATTCATTCTTATCTATGTTTTAACAACTAATTAGCCCACCATAATCAGATGGTGGGATATTCAAATCTCTCTACATCTGTGGTCCATCCATCTGCCCATAAATAATTTTCGTTATCGCTATTTCTTGAGGAGTACAGGATGGATCTTTCTCAAATTGCACATGTAGGTTCCCCTTGATCCCTAGTTGTGCCCATTTGATTTTTGGTATGATCATTAAGAGCAAAAACAGAGGGGGGGGAAGAGAAAAGAAGGGAAAAGATCCAACTTTGATACTTTGATACAAGCACACTGCTGAAAGAAAGCAACATGTACATGATATTGGGTAACATATAAGTTAAAAGTCCAATTATGTTCCAATCAAGGTATTTGACATGTTGCTTCAAAAATGTTAATTATAGCACAGTAGGGGCCAACACTTGCTTGCACCATTAGCTGTAAGCTTGTACATCAGAGGTTCATACCTTGAGGAACTCCCATAATGTTCTGTAAAATCTCTCCAAGTATCAAATTACAAACAGCTATACCTTGAGATGTATTTATAGATTAATGAATTCATTTAAAACTCAAGTTGTTTATTTCTAAAATTCCTTTCCAGAAATATATCATATAAACATAAACAATTTCCAATTCAGTCTTACATTGGACCTTTACAATACTGGTCAAAATATTCATATACAGCAATAACTGTATAACACAGTCTTACATTGGACCTTTACAATACTGGTAAAAATATTCATATACAGCAATAAATATATAACACAAAATCTGCACCAAAAATCTTCAGGTACATACATACATCAGATTTTCTTTGGTTGTCCATATACCATTATACTCAATGTAAGGACGATGGCTTACCATTACACTCAAGGTAAGGATGATGGGTTGTACATAAACCATTACACTCAAGGTAAAGATGATGGGTTGTACATAAACCATTACACTCAAGGTAAGGATGATGGGTTGTACATAAACCATTACATTCAAGGTAAGGATGATGGGTTGTATGTAAACCATTACACTCAAGGTAAGGATGATGGGTTGTATGTAAACCATTACACTCAAGGTAAGGATGATGGGTTGTACATAAACCATTACATTCAAGGTAAGGATGATGGGTTGTATGTAAACCATTACACTCAAGGTAAGGATGATGGGTTGTACATAAACCATTACATTCAAGGTAAGGATGATGGGTTGTATGTAAACCATTACACTCAAGGTAAGGATGATGGGTTGTACATAAACCATTACACTCAAGGTAAGGATGATGGGTTACCATTACACTCAAGGTAAGGATGATGGTTAGTACATAAACCATTACACTCAAGGTAAAGATGATGGGTAGTACATAAACCATTACACTCAAGGTAAGGATGATGGGTTGTACATAAACCATTACACTCAAGGTAAGGATAATAATGAAAAGTTTTATGAAGTTTTAATGGTGATATATCTAAACAGTCAAATTATTATCATGGCCATGACAAAGTCATGATTTTTATACAATCAATATGATTTTTACAAATAAAAACATTATCTGGCTCTTAAGCCAAGACAGGTTTCTAGATGGAATGTTCATAACTTACAAGAAAATTTCACAGCACAAATATTATACAACAACTTGTTAATATTATAAAGGAAATGTTTCATACACTGTAAACAAAGCATGACATACATTTTTCAAAGTAACGGATGGAATATGTTTCATACAGGGTAAACAAAGCATGACATACATTGTTCAAAGTAATGGATGGAATATGTTTCATACAATGTAAACAAAGCATGACATACATTGTTCAAAGTAATGGATGGAATATGTTTCATACACTGTAAACAAAGCATGACATACATTGTTCAAAGTAATGGATGGAATATGTTTCATACAGGGTAAACAAAGCATGACATACATTGTTCAAAGTAATGGATGGAATATGTTTCATACAATGTAAACAAAGCATGACATACATTGTTCAAAGTAATGGATGGAATATGTTTCATACAGGGTAAACTCAACATAGAAGACATTCAGTTACAACATGAATCATGTACATCGTACATCAACTTGGTTAGGGACGGAATGTCTCCTACAATGTGAATCATGTACATCGTACATCAATATGGTTAGGGACGGAATGTCTCATACAATGTGAATCATGTACATTGTACATCAATGTGGTTAAGAACGGAATGTCTCATACAATGTGAATCATGTACATTGTACATCAATATGGTTAGGGACGGAATGTCTCATACAATGTGAAACATGTACATCGTACATCAATGTGGTTAGGGACGGAATGTCTCATACAATGTGAATCATGTACATTGTACATCAATGTGGTTAGGGACATACAATGTGAAACATGTACATGTACATCATGTGTATATCAATGTGAAACATGTCCATTGTATATCAACATGGTTAGGGACGGAATGTCTCATACAATGTGAAACATGTCCATTGTATATCAACATGGTTAGGGACGGAATGTCTCATACAATGTGAAACATGTCCATTGTATATCAACATGGTTAGGGACGGAATGTCTCATACAATGTGAATCATGTACATTGTATATCAATGTGGTTAGGGACGAAATGTCTCATACAATGTGAAACATGTCCATTGTATATCAACATGGTTAGGGACGGAATGTCTCATACAATGTGAAACATGTCCATTGTATATCAACATGGTTAGGAACGGAATGTCTCATACAATGTGAATCATGTACATTGTATGTTGAAATAGTTATATATTGAATGATTGATACAAAAATACCATATCTATAGTATCTTCAATATGATTTTCTGTAAAGAAAAACACCATGACATGTGTCAATAGTCTAAATTCTAGCTTGATATTGGGTAATTTTCCCACAGAAGATCGTAACAGATAAACAGACAGGTTTTTCACACTCTATACCCAATAATAAGGACAAACAATTTAAAACCCGTACCATATAAAATGTGGGTAGGATGGAATGAATAATAAAAATGTATAATACAAATGTGATTATAATCTTTGTTTATCAATTAAACAACAAGATTGACTCATACTCACACAACTATATGTTTCTTTATCCATTACTACAAATTTTGAATCATTTGATCCTATTTCTTTACCAGACATTGTTAGCAAACCTGCAACTCTTTTACCATGAGAATGAATCAATAACTGATACAGGTTACTCTGAAGTGCCCTGAACATAATGATTTATTTAAGATAAAATCCTAAAAACCACACAGGTTAAAATGTGGATCCCTTCATTTAACTTCATATCGTACATATCAAAATTCCTATCTATAATTGTGTGTACAACATAGGAATTCAATAACATTGCAGTAACAGCCACACTACTTACATATTTTAACAGCTCATCATTCCACACACCTGAGACTTGAAGAGAAATCTAGCACCACAGGATTACTCCACACTAGATATACCATTATCTCACAACAAGGAACTGCAGTGTTCATTTACTTTTGGGGAGGGGAGAGGGGGTATGGATGTTAAACTTTAGAAAACTAAAAACTTAAATATTTTATTTATATTTCATGGAAGTACTAGGAATTCTGTAGTGAAAGTTTTTTCTCAAGTCACATTCCGCATGTTTACATTGAATAATCTTCGCAGCAAATATTTATCTATAATTGGTGCAATAAACATTGCCTGATACTGATAACATTCAATACCACATTAGTATCATTATAAACGTATAAATATCAGCAGTACAGGAACAGCATGAAATATCATACATCTTAGGTATTAAAAGGTATGTGTTAAACATGTCACTGTCAGAAGTAAAAAGATGGATGCTGTGTAATAGAATCAATTTTGAAGCAACTCTATCCATGAAGACAAAAGGCCAGAAATGAAGTCGTATACATGTATACTTGTGTCAGCTATCAAGTTGGTTTTTTTTCATTCTGCGTTGCTTTTTTTTTATTCTGCCACAAAAACTTGAAGCTAAACTTTCATATGGAACTATGTAATTGGTCCGATCTCAATTTATCATGACCAACCAATATCATACTATAATGGTAAACTTAATCATTTTTAAATTTCATGTTTTGAAACCAATTACAAATATCAGGTATAACACAGCCACCATTATGTTCACCCACGCTCTGACTAACACAGCTACTTGTATTTCCAACAGGCTGTGAATCTGACTTCATTGATCTAGACAATGTCCACATACAAGGTAGTTCAGTGGACATCAATGTGTCTTGACTTTAGGATTGTCAAATCCATTAGCAAGGTTTTATCCACCTTGAACACTGAGAATATTCCTGATGGCACTAGAAACACATTAATCAAGTTCTGAATCATTCCACAACAGTTTGTTAATGACATCAGCTTTACTATCTGTAGTACCAGCATTGGCAGCTAAGTCACTAATTTTCTCTTCTTTTGTCTTTTTACTCATGTTTTTCTTCTCCTCTTCTGTGAATTGTATAGATCCCAACTTTTTGACTGCGCTAGTGTCTATTTTGTTGAGGTTGGTAAGGAGTTCTTGTGAATGCTTGTCCTGCGTCGCCTCATATGACATGTTACTAGAGCCTATATTTGTTTGTACTGTGGAGGAAACTTCTTCTATCAGCAATCGTGTAGAATCCTGACCTGTTGGTGTTTCTGGTTGTGAGGCCTGTGTTGGAACTTCCTCTATCAACAATCGTGTAGAATCCTGACCTGTTGGTGTTTTTGGCTTGGAGGCTTGTGTTGGAACTTCCTCTATCAACAATCGTGTAGAATCCTGACCTGTTGGTGTTTCTGGTTGTGAGGCCTGTGTTGGAACTTCCTCTATCAACAATCGTGTAGAACCGCCATCTTGTTTTGTATCCTCCTCTTCCTCATTCATCATTTCAATCTTTGGTTTGTAAGTTTTCTGTACAAATAAGTACAAATGAGAAAATTAAAAGATTTCATATTTCTTGAAAAAAAAATTTCAAAGAGATTTTAAACTGCCACAGCAAAAGTAAAAAATTAAAACAAATCATGAGATATCAATTTTTCATTTTCAAAAAAAACACCAAATGTATATGATTGTACAAGGTAGCAGGACAGAATAGCTGGTATACCCAAATATAACTGAAATATCCCAAGTTTGCCACACTAGAACAATGCTCAGAGGTTTACCTTAGTCTCCTGGGGCACTAACTGTTCCTCCACCTCTACATCTTCTAAGTCGGGTACATCCTGAGGAAAAATAATAATCAACAGTCATATGATACTTTTATAATTCAAATTTTCTACCAAAGCACAAAAAAAAATGCAGCAGCAGTTTTAATTCATTTTAATTTCTTTGAAAACTCACCTCCTCATCTTCATCCTGATCCAAGTCATCTTAAAAGAAAAAAATACCAGGTAAATATGTTGGTAAAATTATATGATAATAATAATTGATATCTATTGCAGAAATCAATCATTTGGCACCTTGTTATGCAACAATGTACAGAATAGAATTTCAGTGTAAAAAAAAGTTTTTTAAAAGTACCTTGAGATATCACTTATTTTGGAAATATGTGAAATAATTCTTTTTTATAACACACCCATCAAATTTTCTTAATTTTCCATTTTTCACTACAATAATAAACACAGTCTGTAATACTTTAGTAATATACAATCAGAATATCATTAATTGTGTAATACAATGTATACAATAATGCTAAGATCCTGCTTGGAGCTTCCATAAAAGTTCCCCTACTCTTTCATTCAAAACCAACACACCAAATACACAATGTTCAACTGGTCCAAAACACTAGACCTCAGACCGAACTTCAAGGTACACATTTACTTTTCTAATTTTAAATCTTTACCTTTATCTTCAGTGATAAATAGATGTTTGCTTCCATCCTTAGACTTAGGTTCTGAAAAAAGGAAGGATAACATATACAGCACTTTGTGCGAGATATATCTGTACTCAATGTAACATTGTAGTTACAGTATCCCTCAACAGTTTTAGTTATAGCTATATACAACATGTTATACCTTATTAGCTAAAGGAACATGTAAGTGCTGTATCAATAATGCTTTTAAAACTTTAAATTGTACAGAGATTTCAAACCACTTCCAAGATTTTAAACTACCAAAATTTCTACAAGCAAGCCTTTTACTTACTCTCAGTAGAAAAGATTCCCTTTTCTGACACAGGCGGCTTTCCACATATAACAGGGGTTTCTTCAGTGTCATCACCATCACCCTCTTCCTCCTTATCATCTCCTTCCTCCTTATCATCTTCTTCCTCATATGACTGAAAAGAATGTAAATGTGTTTAAGACGTTTTCTATCTGTGAAAGGTTTGGAATTTACTTGTAAATTTGTGGATTTGCCATTTATCTAGTATACAGTGTCATATTACCTTGGCCACCATGATTCATATTTATCACATAACTACCCTGTTATCAGTGTAATAATATCCATTACCACATGGTTACACTCTGTTATCAGTATAATAACATCCATTACCACATAATTACACCCTGTTATCAGTGTAATAACATCCATTACCACATGGTTGCACCCTGTTATCAGTATAATAACATCCATTACCACATAATTACACCCTGTTATCAGTGTAATAACATCCATTACCACATGGTTGCACCCTGTTATCAGTATAATAACATCCATTACCACATGGTTGCACCCTGTTATCAGTGTAATAACAACCATCACCACATAATTATACCCTGTTATCAGTGTAACAACACTCATTACCACATAATTACACCCTGTTATCAGTATAATAACATCCATTACCACATAATTACACCCTGTTATCAGTATAATAACATCCATTACCACATGGTTGCACCCTGTTATCAGTATAATAACATCCATTACCACATAATTACACCCTGTTATCAGTGTAATAACATCCATTACCACATGGTTGCACCCTGTTATCAGTATAATAACATCCATTACCACATAATTACACCCTGTTATCAGTGTAATAACAACCATCACCACATAATTATACCCTGTTATCAGTGTAACAACACTCATTACCACATAATTACACCCTGTTCTCAGTGTAACAACATCCATTATCACACCACTCTACCACTAATCACAGAAATGTTTTATCGGTTACAACACATGTAATACAACAGAGTTGTGATTGACAGAAGGTTTAGTATTTCTATTGTGACATCATCATAACTTCAAGGTGTCTTATGTATTGTTACATCACTGAACAGATGTAGGAGTGTATGTGCCTATTTTGAACCCCTGATTTATATCATTAGACATTTACCTTCTGCCTTAAAACCTCTGTACTACCCTCCAGTCGGTATGTACCAGTAAGCCAATCCACACTCTCCACATCCACCTTGCCTTCCAGCCCAGCTGCATCACGCTCCCTTTGGATCCGTTTGGCCTCTCCACGCTTACGCATTCCTAACATGGCTAAAACAGAAGAATAAACATGATTACATACAACAAAATACCAGTATATTTTGTGATTTTACCTGTTGGAGTACTGTTCCTATCTTTACTTTCCATTTCATCACATCCCAAGCTATTGGGTCAGATATAGATTTTAATTATAACCATTTTGATAAATACCAGCTTCCATTCTCACTGATAAACATCCTGAACTACAAAACATGCAGGTGTAAAGATGGAAGTCTTTTATATTATGGACACGTCTTGTGAGTTCATTACTAAACATGGAAGTCTGTAGACTACCTTCATTATGGAAACCATTAACCTTACTAACTTTCAGTATCTAAAATGAAACCAAAATAAGACTTCCATACAAAACATGGTTATCTTAGGCTACATGGTTACACTAAATAATGTGACATGTGTTCAACTTAATGTAAATCTAACGTCCCCTCTGTAGTAGCTGGAGGAGTAAGACCAGTGAATATTTCTACTCACCATCTACACTGTCCTGTATCTTCTTTCTGTCCCTGTTGATCCACAGTTCTCTTTCTTCACGCTCAGCCTCCACACCACCTCTGTCCCTATAAAACAATATTGCACAAGTCAAACATCCAACCATATACAGTACAGGTTCAGCCATCTAAATCCTATACAGTAAAAGGTCAAACATCTACACTGTATACAGTAGAAGGTCAAACATCTACGCTGTATACAGTACAAGGTCAAACATCTACACTGTAACAGTACAAGGTCAAACATCTACATTGTATACAGTACAAGGTCAAACATCTACACTGTATACAGTACAAGGTCAAACATTTACACCATACACAGTACAAGGTCAAACATCTATATCCTATACAGTACAAAGGTCAAATACCTACACCCTACACAGTACAAGGTCAAACATCTACACTGTATATAGTACAAGGTCAAACATCTACCCCGTATACAGTACAAGGTCAAACATCTACATCCTATACAGTACAAGGTCAAACATCTACACTGTATACAGTACAAGGTCAAATACCTACACTCTACAGTGTTAGGTCAAATCCCTAAACCCTATAGAGTGAAAGGTCAACCATCCTTCCTCTGTCACAAACAAATAAGACATGTTTAAAACAGTTTGCTATAGATGAACCTATCATATATACCTGATAAGTACAATACAATTGTAAGTAGTGTTACATTTTATATCAGGTACAAACAGTAGATTTGAAAAAACACTTCTCCCTGCAGCCCAGAACATGTTGAGTTAAACCAATCTGTCCAAATTTTTACTCCTTCAGCACATGAACATGAATGTAACAATACAAGGCTCTAACCTTTGACCTGGAAGCATAATTAATACACATAAGCTAGGACAACTGACTCAAATGTTCATCCTTCAGGATCTGTCACAAACCCTAAAACTATAGTCTGAAAGGCGCTGTATTCAAACACTAATCTCGAATACCTTAAATAACTCCACCATCCATGAAATCATATTTTAGACTTACCATGCCTCTGCACAAGCTCTGTCCTTGGGGAAAACAGGGCGATCATCCAAGTAAGTCAGGTTTTTCTATTTCAATAAAGAAACAAGAATAAATACATGTATACTGGCAATAAATATTATATAACATCGATGAAATTGGGCCTGAAGGTAGTTCTGAAACCTTCAGACAATCGTCCTGTAAAAACAGTTGTTCATATTCTTATGAAGACAAAGTATACTTACAATTTTAACGATTAATGTTTTTCTGTAGTTCTTGATGTTCCTGATAATTCCGTTTCCCATCAAGTTCAAAACTTTCTGTGAAATAATAATTTTAATAAGTAGATTAATATTTGAGCGACAAAATATATTTATAGAGAATTTTCATTTGAAAGGTAAATTTTCCAATGTATAGGATTGTTCCCATTCACTAAAATAGAAAATGTTTTCATCGAAATGTTCAGAGAATGATTAATTGTCTGAGTGAGTTTTTAGATAACTTCATCATTTTTGGATAAATAATCAAATAGATATTTGGCGTGATCATCTGATACAGAGAATGTCCAGTACTTTCTTCCATTGAAAAAAAAAATATGTAAATAATAGATTTAAAATTCCATTTTACCTAGGGTTTTTTGGATATTTTTCGAATAAAATATACTAGGATATCAATATGGATAAAATAAGGTAAGTGGTTCACTTACTAGGGACTTCATCTTCTCAAAAACATCAATAGCAGCAGTGTCTTCAATGGCATTGTGGGACAGATCAAGGACACTGAGATTGTCACACTCGGCTAGGTGTTCGAGGGCTTCCACTGAACTCAATTTGTTGTGTGATATGTTCAGGGTGTTCAGGACAGGCAGGCAGGCTATACAAACATATATATAAACAGAATATCAATAACTTTTTTCGAGGTAAATTCAAAACATCATTTTGGAAAATTTTGAGGAATCCCATATCTTATGAGATTAAGTTATCTAAATGTTAGAGAGTCCTATCTGGAGAGAATTAGTTACTTCAGGATCATGAAACTCTCTTAAGTCTAACACTGTCTTAGGTTTTGACTTAACCAATCACTGATAATATCATGTGCATCAAAGTTTCATAAATTCAACCCAAACTTGTTTCACATTTGATCACATATACCCAATGTTTAAATATTGTGCTCCTGTTTGCTTTAATAGTAAATTATCCCAAAGCTCTCCCCTAGAGGATATTGACTTACAGAACATTCTGCCATAGAGTGTATTACTGTAATAAGCATGTTTAAACAAACAACATTTTATTCCAGAGAAAGATGATGGATCCACCATGTTTGGACCCCTTTTTACATTATAAATACAATGAGTATATCTAGAAGTGTTAATCTGTTTAAAACATACCTAGATTCTCAATCTTACGGATGACATTGTGGCTGACATTAAGAGTATCCAGTTGTTGTAATGGCTCTAGGTTCTCCAGGCGATCTATCAGATTCTGCTGCAGGAACAGGCAGCGTAAATTCACCTGGTTGTCCAGATTCTGAATCTTTTTGATCCCATTTACTTCTAACCAAAGACACTTGAGACCTGTGTACTCCTCAAGAGCCTCAATCTCAAAGATACCTACAAAGTAATAATATTACATCTGAAGTGATGATTCAGCTGTTTAATTACAACAATTAGAACAAGGTATAATGGATTTACAGCAAATCCAGGTGTGTGAATGTAGAGGACATCACTGGATATCTCATTTAATTTAGTGGTCAGAATTAAAGTAAACAGGACATTGTCTTTGTTGCAATGGGCAGGACTATGCAAGCCTTACCTTTGTAATGGAGGTATAGAACGTCATTCAACGCTGGGGTGAGATACAGCTTCAAATCCTTACAATGCTGCTTCAGAAATGCCTTTGTCAATCTATAAAAAAAGACATCAATGCAATTTTACTATCACATTACTACCACAAGTTTCATTTCATTATATTTTCTTGGTAACAAGCTAAGAGGTCACAAAAATATTGTGGCTCATGTTATCAAAATCTGTAAGTAGAACCAAAATGTATGAAATAACAAGACCTTTTAGAAACAAAAATTAAATATTTCTTATACAGCTGTAGTTGTCTATTCCATAGTGACTTCCAATGTATTTACCTTGGCCAATCATTTTTGCTGTTACTTTTTGATGAATCGCTTGAAGTATCTTTCTTTTTTTCTGTCTTATCTCCATCTCCACCATCCTTCTTTTCACCTTCCTTTTCATCTTCCTTGTCTTTAACTATTTCAGAAGAACACAGATGAGTCTTGTGCTGATATTTTCATCCTTTTTTAATATTCATTATTTAAAGGTTTAAAGTCATCAATAAAAAAATTTGATTGCCATATAAATCAGAATCAGCTCTCTGCTACACGTGTAATGGAACTTGCAAGAGGAATCAAAGATATTAATTTGAAAACTTAACAATACAAATGTATTCTCAAAGAGGCATTTTAAAGTTATAAAGCTATGCTTGTTAAGTAGCGTAAGTAAGTAGAAAGTGTAAGTAATTTATTCTGACATATAAGGACCAACCTTCCAATATTTATCATTCAGAAAGTCTCCTTCTATTTTCAGAGATAACCTAATTTTCTAACTACACTACTTCTCAATACTATTCATAATATTTTATAATACAATTAAAAAAATTACCAACCATCATCTTCCTCTGACTTCTTTCCATTTTCTTGGTCTCCATTTTGTGCATCGTTGTCTACCAGAGGAGGTTCCACTACATCTGATGGTTCAGTATCATCCACATGTGATTCCTTATCTACAATTTCAATCTTCACTTGTTTTGGCTTTTCAATTACAACTGCCTCTTCTTCAGTAATTTCTTCAATCAAGGGCATGATGATTATTGGGGATAATTCTGTATAATTTCTGAAACTGAAAATGAACATTTATTTCACAAGTTCAACAAATAACATAGTTGTGTAAACTTGAAGCTCTGTATAGCTTTATATGCTTCATAAGAAAAACCAGTGAACCATCAACTACAAGTAGAACATAAGTCTTCCACAGAGCATTGACAACAGCCAAAGAAGAAGTGTAAAAAGATCAGATGAGTCGTGAAGACAAAAACTATTATCAACAAATGTTCACAAAATAGTTTAATAAGATTACACAATATGGCATTGTCTTTGAGAATTGTCAATTATGAATGATGTCACAGTAAACAAAAAAACCTCTTTAAGAATAATTTTTGTTGGAAATTAATTGAAATATTGTTCTGATGAAGCTTCTGCAACTGAGGCAAAACTAGTCAACAGAATAAAGCCAACACCCACTTACTGATAACACATGAGTATGTTATGATTAATATCCTCCTCATACATACTATTTAGTTTCATAAGATTTAACATGTACATATACTTTGCAAGAAAATCCATCTTATTTAAGTCACTGTACATACTTTCCACTGATCCATACAGGTCTCCTTATGCCACAGTAAAATATGAATACTTTATTCTCAAATTTAATGCATTCTGTTTCTTTGCTAAGATTTCCTTGTGTTACATATGGTAAGTTCACATGAACTATGGTATAAGATAGTATGACCCAATATATCAGTACTTTTTTAATCATTAATCTTAATAATTCCTATTGAAATGTAAATAGAGGTGTCAAATACAGGTCAAAGAATAACTGGTTAGTTTCTGTCGGATATTTCTAGAATGTTCTAGAATCTAGTAGAAGTCTAAAATCGATTAAAAATTCCCTTAGTCTACGTATGGCGGAGAGAGAAAATTGAAATTTTATGTCGAAAAGTTTTTTTTACGTATAACATTACTAAACTTTGATACTTAAAGCAATTTTTGTTCATTAGGTCTAATTACTGTCCAGTCTTGAATAAGGCACAAGGCTTGTGTAACGTACAGAAAATGTACCACGACATTAATTTCATAATTCGAAAGCAGTCTCTGAATAATCCTATCCCTCTTTTCTATGAATGCATTGTTTCTTCGATTTAAACTTCTAATTAGTTCTATAAAATCGTAGAATTACCTTCAATTTCTCTCTGGTTCCTAGTCCTGTGTCTAAACACGTTTTCACTGATCGACTGACAGTGGCATGTGGTTTCACGCCGCTTGTAAACAACAATGGCGTCGTAGATACAGTTGATCGGAAGCTCTCGGAAAGTTACCATTCATTTACCTTGTGGAACGTTATATCGGAACATTCTTTATTTTTCATTTGATAAGCCAAAGGGGTTCGAAGCTCAGGGGGAACATATTTTTCTTCTTCCTTTAAGAATCGATTTGCGCTTGACATGTTTTCTGTTCTATTAACAGAAAATGACATTACACATTTATTTAGTATCGTATAGATGTGGGGTGCTAGTTTGTTGGTCATTTACATACATCTCTATTTGTTGATCAATAGAACAAGAACACACACTAAAAATAGCCAAGTCAAGTGATTCAGATCATTAAAATTAGAAAGGTATATCCTATATCTACATTGTCCCAAAATTATGTTTTTATCTACATTGTCCCAAAATGGTGTCTATATCTACATTGTCCCAAATGGTATAACATCTACACTGTTCAGGAATATTATCTATATCTACACTATCCCTGTATGGTGTCACATCTACACTGTTCCAGAATGGTGTCTATATCTACACTGTCCCAGAATGATGTCTATATCTACACTGTCCCAGAATGGTGTCTATTTCTACACTGTTCCAGAATGGAGTCTATATCTACATTGTCTCAGAATGGTGTCTATATCTACACTGTTCCAGAATGGTGTCTATTTCTACACTGTTCCAGAATGGAGTCTATATCTACACTGTTCCAGAATGGTGTCTATTTCTACACTGTTCCAGAATGGTGTCTATTTCTACACTGTTCCAGAATGGAGTCTATATCTACATTGTCTCAGAATGGTGTCTATATCTACACTGTTCTAGAATGGTGTCTATTTCTACACTGTTCCAGAATGGAGTCTATATCTACACTGTTCCAGAATGGTGTCTATTTCTACACTGTTCCAGAATGGTGTCTATTTCTACATTGTTCCAGAATGGAGTCTATATCTACATTGTCTCAGAATGGTGTCTATATCTACACTGTTCCAGAATGGTGTCTATTTCTACACTGTTCCAGAATGGTGTCTATTTCTACATTGTTCCAGAATGGAGTCTATATCTACACTGTTCCAGAATGGTGTCTATTTCTACACTGTTCCAGAATGGTGTCTATTTCTATATTGTTCCAGAATGGAGTCTATATCTACATTGTCTCAGAATGGTGTCTATATCTACACTGTTCCAGAATGGTGTCTATTTCTACACTGTTCCAGAATGGTGTCTATTTCTACACTGTTCCAGAATGGTGTCTATTTCTACATTGTTCCAGAATGGAGTCTATATCTACATTGTCTCAGAATGGTGTCTATTTCTACATTGTTCCAGAATGGTGTCTATTTCTACATTGTCCCAAAATGGTGTCTATATCTACACTGTTCCAGAATGGAGTCTATATCTACACTGTTCCAGAATGGTGTCTATTTCTACACTGTTCCAGAATGGTGTCTATTTCTACACTGTTCCAGAATGGTGTCTATTTCTACACTGTTCCAGAATGGAGTCTATATCTACATTGTCTCAGAATGGTGTCTATATCTACACTGTTCTAGAATGGTGTCTATTTCTACACTGTTCCAGAATGGAGTCTATATCTACACTGTTCCAGAATGGTGTCTATTTCTACACTGTTCCAGAATGGTGTCTATTTCTACACTCTTCCAGAATGGTGTCTATTTCTACATTGTTCCAGAATGGAGTCTATATCTACATTGTCTCAGAATGGTGTCTATATCTACACTGTTCCAGAATGGTGTCTATTTCTACACTGTTCCAGAATGGTGTCTATTTCTACACTGTTCCAGAATGGTGTCTATTTCTACATTGTTCCAGAATGGAGTCTATATCTACATTGTCTCAGAATGGTGTCTATATCTACACTGTTCCAGAATGGTGTCTATTTCTACATTGTCCCAAAATGGTGTCTATTTCTACATTGTTCCAGAATGGAGTCTATTTCTACACTGTTCCAGAATGGTGTCTATATCTACATTGTCCCAAATGGTATAACATCTACACTGTTCAGGAATATTATCTATATCTACACTATCCCTGTATGGTGTCACATCTACACTGTTCCAGAATGGCGTTTATATCTAAACCATCAGAGAATGGTGTTGATATCAACACTGTCCTGGAATGGTGTCCCTACGTTGTCTCAAAATCGTATTTATGTTTTTACTGTCCTTCAATACTGTCCATACACTGCATCAGGGTGGTGTCTTCATGTACGCTGTTCCAGAATCTTATCTTTATCTACACTCTTCCAAAATAGTGTCCCACAACAGTGTTTTCATTTACACTGTCCTATAATGGTATCCATATCTACACTGTCTCCAGCTGATGTCTGTGATATTGTCTCCCATAGCTGTTATCATCTAATGTCTCTAATTGGTGTCTTCATGTTTTGTCTATAATAAATGCCTACATCTATTCTGCCTCCAAAAGGAGAATTCATCTATTGTCTCTAATATACCTTCATCTATTATCTCCAATAGAAATCTTCATCTATTAACTCCAACACAAGCATACAGTACTGTCCTCAATGAATGCCTAAATCTATTGTCCCCAGAGGAGATCTTCATCCATTGTCTCAAATGTGTACTTACATCTACTGTCTCCAAGGCATGTTTACATCTTTTATCTCCAATGGGTAGCTACAGCTATTTTCTTCATTGGCTTCTTAAATATATGGTCTCCAGTGAGTTCTTATGTCCATTGCCTTCCATGAATACCTACATCTATTGTCGCCTATGGAAACCTAAATCATTTTGTCTCCAATGGATACCCATATTAAATGGATGGCAATTTGTCGTATAACTGACCTGTTGCATCATGTCATATGTCCACGTCATAAACATCATAAGACACACACATAATAACACTATTGGGATGTCATTAATAGGTCATATCATGATGACATCACATGATTGCCTCAGTAGTGAACATTGTACAGATGGTATCAAATAAGTCTGACTCAAAGGTAAGTTGATTTGTATTACAATGATAGATATAATCTTACACTTGTGCCATTGTAATATAGAATTTATCAAAATTATCAAATATGTTGATATGTCACTTGAGGCTTGTGGCCATGGTACAGTGAAGCATTTCACTATTTTCTTACTAATTACGCTTTTTCACCATTTTTTGCCTTATCACCCTGATTCAATCATACGAACACACAAATAATGTGTTAAAATTATGTGTTTAAATGAATTAATGGAAATAATAAGAAAACATATTGGTGAAAAAAAGTTAATTTGTAAGGAAATAGTGAAATGCTAGTAAAGTGAACCCCTCTGTCCCGTTCTAAATTTCCCCAACGTTTTTGTTTTGTTTTATTATGTTTGAAGGGACTTCACTTTACCATGATGAAATGAACTGCAGTTCACTTTACCATTGCCTTCAATTTATCATACTACACCTGTTTAATAAATTCCCTATTCATCAGCATTTGTGAAAGGATGTCTCCAATAGATGCTTTAATCTATAGGTCTCCAATGGATACCTACATCTTTTGTTCCTAATTGGTGTCTTCCTCGCCAATGGTCATTTATATCTATTAGCTCCAATGGATACCTACATCTATTGTCCTTGACAGATACCTACATCTATTGTCCAGGACAGATACTTACATCTATTGTCCAGGACAGATACCTACATCTATTGTCCAGGACAGATACCTACATCTAATGTCCTTGACAGATACCTACATCTATTGTCCAGGACAGATACCTACATCTATTGTCCTTGACAGATACCTACATCTATTGTCCAGGACAGATACTTACATCTATTGTCCAGGACAGATACCTACATCTATTGTCCAGGACAGATACCTACATCTATTGTCCTTGACAGATACCTACATCTATTGTCCAGGACAGATACCTACATCTATTGTCCTTGACAGATACCTACATCTATTGTCCAGGACAGATACCTACATCTATTGTCCAGGACAGATACCTACATCTATTGTCCAGGACAGATACCTACATCTATTGTCCTCGACAGATACCTACATCTATTGTCCTTGACAGATACCTACATCTATTGTCCAGGACAGATACCTACATCTATTGTCCTTGACAGATACCTACATCTATTGTCCAGGACAGATACCTACATCTATTGTCCAGGACAGATACCTACATCTATTGTCCTTGACAGATACCTACATCTATTGTCCAGGACAGATACCTACATCTATTGTCCAGGACAGATACCTACATCTATTGTCCTTGACAGATACCTACATCTATTGTCTCCAATGGATACCTACATCTATTGTCCTTGACAGATACCTATATCTATTGAACTTGACAGATACCTACATCTATTGTCTCCAATGGATACCTACATCTATTGTCCTTGACAGATACCTACATCTATTGTCCAGGACAGATACCTACATCTATTGTCCTTGACAGATACCTACATCTATTGTCCAGGACAGATACCTACATCTATTGTCCTTGACAGATACCTACATCTATTGTCTCCAATGGATACCTACATCTATTGTCCTTGACAGATACCTACATCTATTGTCCAGGACAGATACCTACATCTATTGTCCAGGACAGATACCTACATCTATTGTCCAGGACAGATACCTACATCTATTGTCCTTGACAGATACCTACATCTATTGTCCAGGACAGATACCTACATCTATTGTCCTTGACAGATACCTACATCTATTGTCCAGGACAGATACCTACATCTATTGTCCAGGACAGATACCTACATCTATTGTCCAGGACAGATACCTACATCTATTGTCCTCGACAGATACCTACATCTATTGTCCTTGACAGATACCTACATCTATTGTCCAGGACAGATACCTACATCTATTGTCCTTGACAGATACCTACATCTATTGTCCAGGACAGATACCTACATCTATTGTCCAGGACAGATACCTACATCTATTGTCCTTGACAGATACCTACATCTATTGTCTCCAATGGATACCTACATCTATTGTCCTTGACAGATACCTATATCTATTGAACTTGACAGATACCTACATCTATTGTCTCCAATGGATACCTACATCTATTGTCCTTGACAGATACCTACATCTATTGTCCAGGACAGATACCTACATCTATTGTCCTTGACAGATACCTACATCTATTGTCCAGGACAGATACCTACATCTATTGTCCTTGACAGATACCTACATCTATTGTCTCCAATGGATACCTACATCTATTGTCCTTGACAGATACCTACATCTATTGTCCAGGACAGATACCTACATCTATTGTCCTTGACAGATACCTACATCTATTGTCTCCAATGGATACCTACATCTATTGAACTTGACAGATACCTACATCTATTGTCTCCAATGGATACCTACATCTATTGTCCTTGACAGATACTTACATCTATTGTCCTCGGCAGATACCTACATCTATTGTCCTTGACAGATACATACATCTATGCCTACATTTATTGTTGGCAATGGGTGTCTGCATCTATTGTCTCTGATGTTGTATGCCTACATCTATTGTCTCTGATGTTGTATGCCTACATCTATTGTCTCCAATGTAAATGTCTACATCTATTGTCTTCAATATTGTATGGCTTCATCTATTGTCTCCAATGTACACATACATTTATTGTCTCCAATGTACACATACATCTATTGTCTCCAATGTTGTATGCCTACATCTATTGTCTACAAATGGTGTCTACATCTATTACCTCCAATGTTGTATGCCTACATTTATTGTCTACAATGGGTGTCTACATCTATTGTCTTCAATGTTGTATGCCTACATTTGTTGTCTACCAATGTCTGCCTTACTTCTACTGTGCCTGTGATCAATGTCTGTTGTATCTATAGTTGGTAACATACATATTCTGATGCTATCGAGCTAAAGAGGTCTCTGTAGCCGAGTGGTATATTGCGGCTAGTATTTTACCAGGGTTACACTTACAATATATTTCATCATACAGACTTTGAGTCTTTGATAAAGACATCTAACACACCAAACTTAAACATGTGATCCCAGAGATCTCATTGTTTTCACCATTATTTGATCTCTATTCGTTCATCAAAAGTTTAATCTTTTTCCTTCTCTCTCTTCTTCCCTCTGTTTTTAGCTCCTAATTAAATGAAATTTACAAATTCCTTATATGAAATAGTGATAATAATTTTTAACTGTAGAATCCAAGATGAGCCAAGGTATACAGAGTACAAGACTGTAATGAAATCACAGGACTTTTAGGCTGCAGTCTAGTTTTATGTATGCAGAAGTGAAAAGTAGTGTGATGAGGTGGTGATGAGCTTATAATGAAAACTGGTTGAATTATCTATAAACAATCAGTAAGTATTGAAATAATTCAAACAGATTTTCTTTGTATCCAAAATGCCACATCCTCATTTTGTGATAATAACAAATATGTTTACTGCTACTGTTTGTCTCTATGTTTTCTGTTTGTGTTCTTATAATATGTTAATCTGTACAGTATATTGACTTTATAAGTCACAGCCCTCTTCATAATAACACAGAAGACATCTAGTCATGAAGACTCACCTCAGTAAGGGAGGTAATACAGTGATAGATTTAACAAAGAAAAGTCACAAGCTTGCATTTGTATAATATCAAATTTATTAATCTACCTATTTAATATTAATTGTCAGCAAATTCATATATAAATCATGCCATTTAAGTCATGGACTTAAATTTTGGAGAATTATGCTCAACATACAGAAAGATATTTCTTTATCCACTTCAACAATAGGATAAAGATTGGCATAATGTTGTAAAATGTTCACATCACATAGGTCAGTGATATTATACATTGTAGATTGTAACAACTCTTAATTGTTACCAGTGTGCTAGCTTGATTTAACATATCAAATTCATGCTTTAAATGGAATGTTTTGTTTCATAACATCACACCTGGATAACATTCATTACATACCTAATGTTACCATGGAATATGATCACACGATAACACATTGGAAAGAATTGCACACATTTATAACACTTGTATACCAGAAAATACCTGGAATGTATTCAAAAAAGATTCTCTATAACTATTGATTCCAATAATCATCTAACGACATTTATAACATATATGAATGCCATATGAAATAAGCACTACCTTCTACACTATGTATGTAAATTAAAAACTAGAAAAATAGAATTTGTATATAATATATATATATAAAGTATACATACAAACAAGAATTTTTTGATGATTGTCCTCTCCCTTCTTACATTACCAAACAAGTAATATTATATATCAATCAAATCAGGTTAAAAATTTTAATAAATGATTTCATCCAACTTCTCTATCAAAATTTTTACTATGTAATATTGAAAAACGATGACATTTATTTCCCCAAAATTTATGATTGTCATGACGAATAACAAAAAATCAAATATTTCATCCTTACAAAACATCAACTCTACTTTGAGAGTGAACATCACATGGAATGTAGATAAGAATGTTTTTTTATTTACATAATGTATAATATACATCTTGAGGCCAAACCGCTAACCAACACATGATTATGATAGCTGCCTTTTTCATGATGCTGCTTTTAACATGCAAAAACTATCCTATCGATAAAGAGCATCATGTGGGATTATCGAAAACAGTTTAACGATAGAAATTAGAAAGGGGACAAAAGGCCTCACTGTTTCTTCTTGAGTGTATGTTATAGGATATTAAGATGATAAACAGTATAATATGGTTTAGTAAAAGGGAGAGGGGGTATGTCTAGGGAGGTATGAATATGTTTATGTTCTTTAAAGTATAATTTTGATTTGAAAAACAACCATCAACAAATAACTAAACTGTACTCTATAAAATTCTAACTTTTGTCAAAATAAAGACTTTCATTTCATCATTCTATGACTTTAAACACAATGTATTGTACTCTGGTATCTCTAGATAAGACAGCACTATACCAGTCACGAGAATTCAATATCAATAACTCTTTGGTAAATTTCAATGTACATGATGCCAGGAATGATTGATATATATTATCAAAAACTATTTGATAAAACATCAACCCTTTCATGAGTCAATCTACATTCAATTCAAATAAAAATATCTTCTGGACAATATTTATCAGTAGTCTGATAAATGATAGCTGGCTATGAGTGAGCATTAACGATGAAATGTAGACGATCCTAATCTCATGATGACAACATTTCCTATACTTCTAACAGACACCTAAACATCTCGCTTAAAACTAGAGCGGGATCCTTCAGTCTCATAGTAGGCCAGTTGTGGTGTAAATTGGTACTGTGGTGTAGGAGCTCTGTAGAAACCATCATCCACGGCGCTGCAAAAATCAAACAAAACTTTTAAATATCCTATCTTTTTTCCTCTTTTTTTTTCTCCTAATTAAGATAAAGCATATAGTTCATTCAAAAATTAATGTAATGCACCGATTCAGTTAAAGAATTAGATAATCAATAGTTTCATTAAAAAAAAAATAGAAAAAAACATTGTTTTCATAGAGAAACAAATTGTTTCTGTAAAAGATGATTTCTCAATAGCATATCTCAGTTAAAAGAAAAATTACAATAACAAATGTATTTTCATGAAAAAATTAATGGCAATCAAGGTTTTTAGAAAGAGTTTTAAAACATATTATCACTGTGAATATTATTATTTTTTCACTTTTATCTTAAACAGCGTATCTCAAATATCTAATTATTTTCAATTTTTATTATCTTGATCGTCATGGTAAATTTTAACATTTGCTATCTTTTGTGGATGGAGAGGTAACTTACATCATCTCCTGTCTGGGCAGAATCATCGGTGCAGGATTTCTAAAAAAAAACATTGATATTGTTATAAATAATTTGGCAAATGAAGTTTGAAACATAAAGAGTGAGTTGCTGTAGAACATACATTTCACTGTGTATATATGTAGGTACAAGAAAATCACAGTCCAAATGTCTTTATCAGTGACCTTGTAGAAAAGAGTTAAGGGGTTAAAAACTTACATGAATTGCATTTGTCTTGGTTTCTCAACGATGACTCTCTGTCTTTCAAGGGCTTCCTCTCGACAAACACCTACAGGTTAAAATATAAAGGACAAATGTTGACAAATGCTAAGGTCAAATGTTAATATTTACCAAGGTCTAATGTTGACGTACACTTAGGTCAAATGTTAACAAGTACAAAGGTCAATGTTACCATGTATTAAGGTTAAATGCTAACACAAAAATGTAAATCTGGGATGTCTGTTGAAGGTGACCACATAGTCATTAAATGACACATTTATATCTTTTACTGGTTGTGTTATAAGAACTTCTATTCTATTGACAGCACCAACTCGAAAAAAAATGTTCCCGATACAATATTGGATAAGTTCTGTGGGATGGATGACGCTTACCTCTGGTAACACAGCAGCAGACAATAATGATGACGATGAGAATCAGGACGAGAGCAGAAATGACGATAGCAATGATCAGGCCAGTACTGATAGCCTCCACACTAGGTTGAACAGTTGTGGTCACGTCACCTGTGATGAAACAAAGTATAAATATACTACGAAAGCAATCTAGAGAAAACTTCTTTCAAGCTCATGAAATTATGACATTTTGAAAATGCATTGTTTAAAACTCAAAGACGAATTCATCAAGTATTAAGAAGGTACTTAGAATAATTAGTGGTTTTAATGAATCAAAGGAAAACACTTACCACTGTACTAGTTTTGATTTTTTAAATTCAAATTATAAGGCAAACAAGTTATATTATTAAACATAAAACTTTTGACAAGTACCTGACGACACAGTGTAGGTGATTGCGGATGACTCCCCAATGGTGTTGGTAGCATAACACGTATACACGCCATAGCTGTTGGAATCTGTTGCAATAACTCGGTAGACAAGGCTGTTGGCATCAGCGATGCTGTTTCCATCTTTCTGCCACCTGTAGGACTGCACAGCTGGGTTAGCCACAGTGTTACATTCAAGATCCCTCTGGGCGTTCAGACTCAATACTACAGCTGCCTGGGCAGCAGTTACAGTGCTGATAGGCTTATCTGTAAAACACAAACATACAGATACCATATAGTGCAAGGTCATCTTCAAAATCAGCTAGATGTTCTGACTGACCATTTTCATGAGATGAACAGGAACAGGGGTAATATGATCATGTGACACTTACATTGTACATCCAGATTGAACCTTGCTGTCTGTGAACCTTGACTGTTGGTGGCAGTACATGTGTAGGTGCTGTCATGACCACGGTCGATGTTTTCAATGCTAAGCATTTTGCCTACAGACACAACCTGGTTGGTATTGTCCTTGACCCACTGGAAGGTGGCAGCAGGGTTGGCATCTGTAATACACTCGGAAGTTGCTGACTGTCCTTCTCTGGTTGTGAGAGATGTGGGGTTCACCACTGTGTTCCTTGGAGCATCTATAAATATAAAACAAAGTAATATGTGTGGGAAAGCTTAAACATATTGTATTTATGCATATGATGATTTCAGTCATCAAAGTTATAAAAGTTCCTAAGTGAAACAAGAAAATATCTGTAAGACATGAATATCCCCCCACTCATGTGTATATAAGCATTATTGCTTGAAGTTAGACAGAATGTGATCTTTGACCCATTAACCCTGACTGATCACCACCTTAATAATTAGGTGTAGATCTAGATGTTATGATACTATGTGGTACATATGAACAACATCTGTTGAGAGGTCCTGAAGATATGACAATGATCTGAAATTGACTGCAATGCAACAGGACATGTAAGGACCGGATGGGACAGGATGCACACATGGGTAACACTATATACCATCAACCCTCCCTTCATCAAATGGCGGGGTCATAAACGGATAATGTATTGTCCCAAATTTATTGTTTTGTATTAGGGATGCAGACTTCATCAGTTTTATTGATATTCATTGTGGGTATAACCATGCGACTTACAGGCGACAATAAGAGAGGTGAGACCACTCTGCCCTGTGCCAACAGTGTTGACAGCGTTACATCGGTAGCTTCCCTCGTCACTCATGTCCAGGTTGTTGATGATCAGGGATGGGGATCCTGGGGTGGAGCCATCATACTTGTTGCTACTGGTACTGATAGTTGAAGACACGCCATCCACAATTTTGGTCCAATATACAGAGGTAGCAGCTGGAGAGGCATCCACGATACACGCGAGTGTGGCACTGGTGTCAACGTCAACAGTGTAGGCCGAAACCGTCACACGCACAGAAGGAGTAGCTATTCAAAACAAAACCATATACAATACATTGTATAACATGATCAAATATTTTGTAAATAATCAAATATGAAATCTTAAACAAATACTAGATCCATACTAAACAAATTTACTGCAATCCTTAAAAATTAGAATAACATGTTTAAAAACTCTTTCTTATGGACTAATGAGATTTTTCCAATTTTGAAAATAAAACGAAATAACTACAGATAACAGTTATGGGCAGCAAGAGCTGTTTTAACACCAGATCTATAAATAGTTGTAACCATTGCAAACATTTAAATTTCATACAATCGCAGGTAAACAATATAATCATCAATCCCCGCCCATGTGTGGAAATATTGTGAAATAATAAATTCAATCATTTTTCTTGGGGATTTACTGTTGTTGATTTTGTAATCTAGGAATTCATATGCTCAGGAACTATAAACATAAGTACAAGTAGATTTATCTATTTATCCATGAAATCAAGTGTCCATGAAAGAGTTGGTTTTTTTTAAATTACAAAACTTGAGCCCCAGTAAAGGAAATGATTCTACAATAAGCACATGTTTACTAGAATCACAAAAATTGCTGTTTCATAACCGTGTATCCTTGAATTATGAGGAATAGCCCCTGGGCTTATTACCAGATAAAAAGCTTGTTGTCAATACTTACTGCCAGTAACATACAGGTAGACTTGCTGACTCTGTCCGGTGCCAACAGCATTTGTAGCCTTACACCTGTAGGTGCCCTGGTCACTAAGTGTGGCACCAGAGATGACCAGGGATGGGTTGGAGACAATACCGCCACTAATTCTAGAGTCAGCCACGTTTACGTTACTGACAACACCATTAGCATTGATGTACTCCCAAGTGACACTGGTAGCAGAAGGTATAGCAGATACGGTACATGTGATGGTGGCAGTGTCATCCAGTGATACACTGTAGGAACTCTGGGGAACAGTCACTGATGGAATATCTACAAAAGTAAGCACAAGTCTTACAGCTGTGTGTTATTACCACAATAAACAATATATATTATCTGGAATGATAAAGTATTAAGCAAACCATAAACAATTTTTTTTTTTGCAAATGAAAAATGGAACAAAATTCCTTACCATCTGCACCCTAAACAGACCATGCATACCTGGCCAAATACAACAAAAGACCTTTCCTTTATAAAGGATATGATACATACTTCCTGTGATGTAGAGGTAGGCCTGGTTACTGCGACCCTCGCCAACGCTGTTGACCACAACACAGCGATAGAAGGCCTGGTCACTACTGTCTGTCGAGGTAATAGTAAGTGAGGGGTTAGCCAGGGTGGAGCCACTGTATTTGTTGGTGTTCAAAGTGCTAATGCGAGTTGTTTGTGTGTCCACAATCTTGTTCCAGTATACAGATGTAGCATCAGGAGAAGAACTGTAGTCACAGTCAATGACAGCTGTTTCACCAACGACGAAGGAATAAGATGGTCTACTGATCACAACAGCAGGCACCACTGAAAAGGGAGACAACCCATGATATCAGGTAACACTACAAACTGTAAACATGCATTAATGGCCTCAAATGTAAAAAAACATTGTAAAGGGGGACAACCCATTATATCAGGTAACACAACATACTGTAAACATATATTAATGGTCTCAAAAAAGGGTAAACACTGTAAAGGGAGACAACCCATTAAAGGGAGAAACCCATGAGATCAGATAACACCACAGACTGTAAACTTATATTCATGGTCTCAAATCTGGAGACAACCCTTATTATCAGGTAATACCACACAAAAGGATTTTATTTTAATTGAAAAAACTAATTATCATTCACCCAGCTCTGAAGCTAAGCATTATTGAAGGAACGGTCTTTATAAAATCTTTTTGAATTTCTATTCTACAAATCTGGTAGTTGGATTGAAGAAAATTGTCAACTGTAAATAAACCACAATATTGGTGAACATTGGCATCAATTATGAACATATACGTATGTAGACAATACACAAAAATTAAAAGAAGTTTGCTTCATTGGTAAATGTATTAAATAAGAGCACAAAATATTCAGTCCACTTACATCCATCAACAGTGAGATATCCCTGTGAACTTCGGCCAACACCGACACTGTTTACAGCTGTACACACATAGTAACCCATGTCATCTGTTGAGGCATCCGTTATAGTTAGAGATGGGTTGTTGACAGAAGAACCAACAAACTTTGTACCGTCAATGGTGATGGTGGTGGTCACTCCACCGATTACACGCTCCCATGCAACACTTGTAGCCTGTGGGTTTGCTGATACAGTACAGTCAATAGTGACAGAGGTTCCCAGCAATGTGTTGTATTGGGCCTGTCCAATTGTTACAGTTGGGATGTCTGGGAAAGTAAGTTGAGATTTAAGTTTTGTTGTTTTTGCATGAATCAATATCACTCTAGATATTACAGTATGAAGCAGTAGGAAAGTTTGGCACAAGAGATTTGACTGACTTCTAAAAGTATGCACACATATACACAATGAAAAAATAAGAATTAAGTACAAAAACTGGTGGACTATAGACAGGAAGTACACCATTAGAGTAGAACACTATAATGAACGGTGAAAAACACAATGAGATTAACATAGGTGACAACTTACTTCCGGAGACGGTGAGGAAGGTAATGATACTTTCAGCTGTGCCGACACTGTTGGCAGCAGAACACCTGTAGTAGGCCTGGTCATTAGAATTAGCATTGGTGATGGTGAGGGTTGGTACACTCGGGTTGCCTCCCTGGTACTTTGTGTTGTCAATCGTGATTATTGAAATTGCAGTGTTGGTACCGGAAGATTTTGTCCAGGTTACGCTGCTAGCAGATGGACTGGCCACAACTGTACAAGGGATCTGAATGCTCCCACCAGTGATCACAGAGTAGGCATTTGATGGGATGGTCACGGACGGCAAGGCTGTAAGGTTGTATACATGTTTGGTGTATTCGAGCAGTGAAAGTTATCAAACACACAACAAAATATTTCACAGACATAGACAACATAGTTATTTTTTTGAAAATTTATTCAATACTCATATATTTAAAACATTACATACATATCATAAATATATATTTAAAGATATTCTGTAAGTTTTGTTTCAATTTCATTTTCGATGTAGACCTATATCTTGAATGATTAAAGTTACCTCCTGTAACTGTGAGATAACTCTGCCCACTAGTCCCAGTTCCAATACTGTTGGTGGCTCGGCAAACATAATAGCCTTGATCTGAGGCACTGGCACTGTTGATGGTGAGCGACGGGCTGTTGACGGAACCACCACTGTAGGTGGTGCCATCAATAACGATGGATACTGGTGAACTGTTGATGTTATTTGCCCTAGTCCATGATACAGAGGTATGCGGAGGGTTGGCTGATACTGAGCATGTGATGGTGATGGATGATCCTGTCACAACATCGTAGGACGAGACGGGTATGGTTACAGTTGGGATCTCTGTAAAACACATGTATCATGTTCATTGACAGTCTGTTGTAATGCATTCTACTGACATAGATACATAATAAGACATACTTTGCAATTATGTTGGGTTTTTTTTGTAAATCTGAAGACAAACCTGTAAATACTGATTTCTGATGACATTTTACCTGTACATACTGACATCTGATGACACAACTGTAAATACTGATTTCTGATGACATTTTACCTGTACATACTGATATCTGATGACACACCAGTAAATACTGATTTCTGATGACATTTTACCTGTACATACTGACATCTGATGACACACCAGTAAATACTGATTTCTGATGACATTTTACCTGTACATACTGACATCTGATGACACAACTGTAAATACTGATTTCTGATGACATTTTACCTGTACATACTGACATCTGATGACACAACTGTAAATACTGATTTCTGATGACATTTTACCTGTACATACTGACATCTGATGACACAACTGTAAATACTGATTTCTGATGACATTTTACCTGTACATACTGACATCTGATGACACACCAGTAAATACTGATTTCTGATGACATTTTACCTGTACATACTGACATCTGATGACACAACTGTAAATACTGATTTCTGATGACATTTTACCTGTACATACTGACATCTGATGACACACCTGTAAATACTGATTTCTGATGACATTTTACCTGTACATACTGACATCTGATGACACAACTGTAAATACTGATTTCTGATGACATTTTACCTGTACATACTGACATCTGATGACACAACTGTAAATACTGATTTCTGATGACATTTTACCTGTACATACTGACATCTGATGACACACCAGTAAATACTGATTTCTGATGACATTTTACCTGACATCTGATGACACAACATACTGACATCTGATGACACACCAGTAAATACTGATTTCTGATGACATTTTACCTGTACATACTGACATCTGATGACACACCAGTAAATACTGATTTCTGATGACATTTTACCTGTACATACTGACATCTGATGACACACCTGTAAATACTGATTTCTGATGACATTTTACCTGTACATACTGATACTGACATCTAACGACAATATACCTGTACAAACTGACATTAATGACATACTGACCTCCAGTAACAGACAGTGTAGTCTGTGAACTTGTCGCAGTTCCAATGCTGTTTGTGGCAGTACACACATAAGTGCCAGTGTCAACACTGTCAGCATTGTTTATGATCAGAGACGGACTGTTGATGTTTGACCCCTGGTATTTGCTGTTGTCAATAATGACATTGTCGGTGATTCCACCTGAGGTACGTCTCCATGTAACAGATGTTACAGCTGGTGTTCCAGACACTATACACTCAAGCGTAACAGACTGGCCTCTCTGTACAGTGTAGAAGGACTGAGGCACCTGAACAGTCAGTAGGGCTGGAAAACATCACAAAATCAATACCATTTATCGTGATCAAGACTGTTTTCTTGCGATCGTTAGAACTGTGACATTGGTTCAAGCATTCATTTTTTGCGTTACTGTTGTAGTATGGGTTTCTTGTCTTCATGACTTCATTTATCACTAGATTCACCTCACCAACAGGTGTTAATTATTTAATCCTCTACTCAAATGTCAGAGGGAAGTATTAAAAAAGATCATATTACCAGCCTGAACTCTTGTTTAAAAAAGACATAATTTTAAAATATTTGATTGCATGAAGGAGTAAGCCAAATTCTAATTCCTTCCAGATAATATCTGAGTGGTCATTGAAAGCAATTTATGAAAGTGTAACCATGATATACCATAACCAAACTGCATATCAAGTCTTCTGCATGATGATTATCAAGAACTTCAATACATCATGAAAATAACATCAGTAACAATATGATATTGAATGCTACTGACAGCACACATCCGAGCAAGAAAAATCTTTATCGATGAAAGTATACACAAATGCAGTATAAATCATATTTTCTCATTTGTTTAAATACATACAAATAGAGACACATTGCAAACAACACTCAATTTGTGATTATTTATCACTGTAAAGCACCATAAGTCTCACAATGCAGTAAGGTTATTTCATATTTAAGAGAAACTGCACCAAGTACTTACATCCGACGACATCCAGGTAGGTATCAGTGCTGGTCCCTGTGCCGACAGCATTGGTGGCCTCACAAGTGTAATAACCAATGTCACTGCTACTTGTGGTGTAAATGACCAGACTTGGGGAGGTGACAGAACCACCGTTGTACTTGCCCCCATTGATACTGATTATCGAAGACACACCGTTAATATTCCTGCGCCAAGTGACGGAGTTGGCCTGTGGAGTTGCGGACACAGTACATTCAAGTGTTACTGAGGAGCCTGTGTTCACAGTGTAGGTAGCTTGTTGTATATTGACAACGGGCACAGCTAAAAAAATAAAAAAAACAATACAACATTGAGTGTCAAGATAAAATTAAGCAGGATCATGGAATAAGTTGTAAAAACATTATTATAAAAATCATGGTTCTATCTTCTTACACCAGTATCTTCAAATCCTCTGGTCTCTGTGAGTCCATAATTCCTCCTGTTATTTGCATTGCTATAGTTCTATAGAATCATTTAAAAAAGACCAAGAATATAGGCCAAGGATATCATATACTAAGCAGACTTTATATTTAGAGCAAGGATGCCATATACCCTGAAGACCATAGCTATAGAGCCAGAATGTCATATACCATGGAGACTATAGATATAGAGCCAGGATGTCATATACCCTGGAGACCATAGATATAGAGCCAGAATGTCATATACCATGGAGACAATAGATATAGAGCCAGAATGTCATATACCCTGGAGACCATAGATATAGAACCAGAATGTCATATACCATGGAGACAATAGATTTAGAGCCATGATGTGTCATATACCCTGGAGACCATAGATATAGAGCTAGGATGTCATATACCCTGGCGACCATAGATATATGGTATATATTTACATCCTGCAGACACTACCTAGAGAACCAGAATGTCATACTTACACCCTGTGACTGATATTGTGACACCCTGACTCTGGCCAGTACCCACACTATTTGTGGCTTTGCAGACATATACTCCACTATCAGCACTGTTGGCGTTATAGACGATGAGTGACGGAGAATTGATTGATGATCCTCCATACTGGACCTGATCAATGGCCAGCTGACTTGTAACACCATTGACGGTTCTTTCCCAGAAAACATTGGTGGCTGCTGGGATAGCTGTCACGGAACACTGCAGTGTCACCGAGGCTCCAGTAATCACTGTATACTGAGTCTGACTCACTGTCACAGTTGGTGGATCTAAAGAACAAGGACACACATACTAAACTAATGTACTTTATAAACATTCAAGTTGTCAAGAGTTGTAATGACATCTAAGTAGTTTCTGTTACAGGAAAGTACATTCAAACTAAAGTTCAATAGTACGCTTAAAATCCTGGGCTTGCTGGTCTTTACCTCTTGTATCTTATTTTTATAATTTCTTTCTGATTAAAAGTAAATGGCTTTGGTGCCACATTTTTATTCCTGAATGTTTGTAAATATCAATATAAAACAAAAATATACCAGGTCATTGGGAATCAATATATCATAATAATATAATTAACTAGTGATAGAATTATCCAACATAAGACACAAGTGAGGATACATTTTGCCTCTCTATATGTTCTACATACTTCCAGTAACGGATAGCGACACGGCTTGACTCTGGCCAGATCCTAGCGAGTTGGTGGCCGTACAAATGTAGGATGCCTGGTCATTGGAATCAGCATTAAAGATGGTCAGGGAGGGGTTGCTGACCGTTGAGCCAGAATACTTTTGTCCAGCAACACTAATTGTGGAGCTTACACCATTAGTGTAGGTCCTTGTCCAGGAGACACTAGTTACAGCAGGTGTCCCAAATACTGAGCACTGCAGAGTGATGGATGCTCCAGTGACGATGGAGTAGGATGTCTGAGCTACAGTGGCTGTCGGTGGGGCTGGCAAAGAAACACATTCATCATCAATATTTTTTCATGCTGAAAACATAACACTTAATTATAAGTAAAGTAGTGTAGTATTGTTGTGAAAAACACATCAGGTATACAAATTTATCAATGTAATTTCAAGTTAAGATAGAGAATTTGCTAATGCATTAAATATGTAGTAAATTTACTACATATAAGAACATATTCTATACCATATCTACCCAACAGTAAGACCAGGCCTGACAATTCAGCCAAGTCATATATAGTGCTGTTTACAATAATTGTCATTAAATTCTATCTAAATGGCAAGCAAATAGCTCATTCCCTGTCCTTGAGTCAGAGGTAATGTGTTGGTCCCCTGAGGTTCTGTAATTAGCCCATCCCCTGACTTTGAGTCCCCCTGAGATTCTGTGCTAAGGACTTGGGTAAGGGTAAGCCACTATCAGGAACATAAGGTGACAAATACATACCTCCAGTAACAGGAAGGTAAGCCACCATCAGTGATGTAAGATGACAGATACATACCTCCAGTAACAGAAAGGTAAGTCACCATCAGTGGTGTTAGGTGACAGATGCATACCTCCAGTAACAGAAATGTAAGCCCCCATAAGTGATGTAAGGTGACAGATACATACCTCCAGTAACAGGAAGGTAAGCCACCATCAGTGGTGTAAGGTGACAAATACATACCTCCAGTAACAAGAAGGTAAGCCACCATCAGTGATGTAAGATGACAGATACATACCTCCAGTAACAGAAAGGTAAGTCCCCATCAGTGGTGTTAGGTGACAGATACATACCTCCAGTAACAGAAAGGTAAGCCACCATCAGTGATGTAAGATGACAGATACATACCTCCAGTAACAGAATGGTAAGCCCCCATCAGTGGTGTAAGGTGACAGATACATACCTCCAGTAACAGAAAGGTAAGTCCCCATCAGTGGTGTTAGGTGACAGATACATACCTCCAGTAACAGAAAGGTAAGCCCCCATCAGTGACGTAAGGTGACAGATACATACCTCCAGTAACAGAAAGGTAAGTCCCCATCAGTGATGTAAGGTGACAGATACATACCTCCAGTAACAGAAAGGTAAGCCACCATCAGTGGTGTAAGGTGACAGACAGATACATACCTCCAGTAACAGAATGGTAAGCCCCCATCAGTGGTGTAAGGTGACAGATACATACCTCCAGTAACAGAAAGGTAAGTCCCCATCAGTGGTGTTAGGTGACAGATACATACCTCCAGTAACAGAAAGGTAAGCCCCCATCAGTGACGTAAGGTGACAGATACATACCTCCAGTAACAGAAAGGTAAGTCCCCATCAGTGATGTAAGGTGACAGATACATACCTCCAGTAACAGAAAGGTAAGCCACCATCAGTGATGTAAGGTGACAGATACATACCTCCAGTAACAGAAAGGTAAGCCCCCATCAGTGATGTAAGGTGACAGATACATACCTCCAGTAACAGAAAGGTAAGCCCCCATCAGTGGTGTAAGGTGACAGATACATACCTCCAGTAACAGAAAGGTAAGCCACCATCAGTGGTGTAAGGTGACAGACAGATACATACCTCCAGTAACAGAAAGGTAAGCCTGGTTGCTAGTGCCTGTTCCAATACTGTTTGTGGCTGTACAGACATAGAACCCTATATCACTGTTGTCAGCGTTATTGACGCTCAAGGATGGACTGTTGACAGTTCCTCCACTGTAGTTGACACCATCAATCTGGATCACAGATGTTACGCCGCCTGATGAAACTCTGTTCCATGTGACAGATGTGTGTGTTGGAATAGCAGAAATAGCACAGTCGATCACAACAGAACCACCAGTGAGGACATTGTAGGTGTTCTGGGGAATGGTGACCACAGGTATACCTACAAAACAAGAACTCTTATCATATTTCTTGTAATTAACAAATTTTTCTTTTATTTTGTTTTATGCATGTATTCATACCATAATTAGTGAACATAACCAAATAAGTATAACACTCAACACAAGGTGTTGTATTTCTTAGGACATATATTGTTTCTTCCAAACTGGACATATCAGAACAAGATGTTTGAAATCTTTTTAACTTTTGAATGTTTGTGAAATGAATTTCTTGATTTGATGATAATGGAGCTCCATGGAAAGTCCTTACAGCCCACAACCTTAACCAATAACTTAATTTTCTCTTTTTTTTTGTGGTGGAGGATGGGGCTATGTGATCAATAACTTATCACTAAATCATAACTTCAGAATATTGTATTAGACTCTTAAAGAAACCTAAAATTCATCTTTGACCTAGAAATGCAGACTAACTGACCAAAAATGGCCATAATGCTACATTCCTACCAATTTTCAGCATTCAAAACAAATTTACAATCTATGGAGATTGACTTACTTCCACTGACTGTGAGATATGTAGTACTACTCTCTCCAGTTCCAACGACATTCGTTGCCTGACAGATGTAGAATCCTTCGTCACTACTTTGAGAGTTGCTGATGGTCAAAGAAGGATCAGAAAGGGACACTCCAGAGTACTTGTTGCCACCAACATTGATGGCTGTCGACACACCTCCTATCAATCGTCGCCAGGATACTGTGGTAGCTGCAGGAGTGGCACTAACGGTACAGACCAAAGTGATGGTGCCACCAGTTGTTACTGTGTAGCTAGTCTGGGCAACCGTGACAACTGGCAGACCTAGAATTCAAAATTTTACAAATAATGTTACTCTGTAGCTATTCTGGGCAACCGTGACAACTGGCAGACCTAGAATTCGAATTATACACATCATGAAGTTACTGTGTAGCTATTCTAAGCAACCGTGACCACAAGAAGTTGACCACAGGTCACAACCCCAAAAAGAGATACAGGATGGCCTCTAGTCAATCATCAACTGATAATAATACACCGCAAAATGATACTTCAACAGCCAACCCGGACCATACTCCTACTAAAATTACCGCAGGCAATTTGGTCTTCTACAAAACCCTGAGAAAACTAGTCATCCAAGGTACTAGAAGCCAACACCACCTAGATTATCTCACCAGATATAAAGAACAGTACAGTGTCCCTAAAATCTTGAGGTTGAATTTGAAACCACAAATCCCAGACAACAATGGGAGTTTCTTGTACAAATGGGAAGAAGCACACACCAAGTTCCGCTGAACCCTGGTATCCGTTCTAGCTGAGTATCAGCTAACACCAACCCACAGGATCGGAGTCTGCAGGCTTTTTCCTGAACTAGTCCAAGTAAAATGTTTTTTGAGACATAAAGGACATTATAAAGCCACCTGTATACTTACTTCCTACTACATTTAGAGATGTCTGGGAGCTGGTTCCTGTCCCTACAATGTTGGTAGCAGAACACGTGTACACAGTTTGGTCACTGGCGGCAGCATTGAAAATGGTCAGAGATGGAGAGTTGACAGTCGATCCGGCATATTTCACACCATCAATATTAATGGTGGTAGACACACCATTGACGAAACGTTGCCATGTGACACTGGTGTGAGTTGGGACGGCAGAGACAGAGCAGCCAAGTGTTACAGCTTGTCCTGTAGATACTGTGTACGAGGCTTGGTCTACAGTTACCACTGGCACATCTACAACCATTCAAAACAAAATATATTAGATCATCAGCTTATTTCCTAGAGGGAGTATGAAAAATCTGGTCCTCAGCTTATTTCCTAGAGGGAGTATGAAAAATCTGGTCCTCAGCTTATTTCCTAGAGGGAGGATGAAATATTAGGTAATCAGCTTATTTCCTAGAGGGAGTATGAAAAATCTGGTCCTCAGCTTATTTCCTAGAGGGAGGATGAAATATTAGGTAATCAGCTTATTTCCTAGAGGGAGGATGAAATATTAGGTAATCAGCTTATTTCCTAGAGGGAGGATGAAATATTAGGTAATCAGCTTATTTTTCTTCTGCATAATGAAATAACACATCATCAGCTGATTTTTCTTCCTGATGATGAAATATCAGGTCATCAACTGATTTCTCTCAGGAGTGCTGAAATAATAAGTCATCAGCTGATTTCTCTCAGGAGTGCTGAAATGACAGATCATCAGCTGATTTCTCTCAGGAATGCTGAAATTTACAGGTCATCAGCTGATTTCTCTCAGGAGTGCTGAAATAACAGGTCATCAAGATGCCTAAAACTTATATATAACCAGACTGGTGATAATATTAACTGTGGTTAAACAGACTAGCATTGTGTCCAACTATATAATAATATAAGTGAGTATACACACTGGAGTTTCTGGTTTACACTGACAGTGGGTATGACACTTCTATAACACTTTATATAAAGCAGAAGGTAACAAGGACCAGCAAACCCTGGCATTATTCCCCACACCCAGCTGTTGGTGTAAAACCCAAATATGGTATATACATACCCATTTAACCATTATACAATTTGTGTCATCACTCAACTATGTACTGTAAAAATTGCAAAAGTCTGGTACTGTTTGATTAATAAACACTAAATTTGCTCAGCAAATCTCTAATTTAAAGTCAAGAGGCCCAAGGGCGTATGAGTTCTAAAATTGTAAATCAGTTTCTTTGAAAAGCTACCCAGGAACAGTGGATTTTGTATTTTGGACATTTTGTTTCCATGGTAACAGAAACAAAATATCAAACATTTGATTTGTAGAGATCAGTTTTTTGAGTTGTTGACCATAACAGATTCTCTAAACATGCTTCTAGGGGCATAACTGATGACTACAGAGACCAAACGACTGTAATATTACAAAAAAATCTTATCTTCCTGACAATGCAGAATACACTTACTTCCAGACACTGTTAGAGTTGTAGCAGTACTCTGTCCAGTTCCTACGGAGTTGGAGGCAAAGCAAATGTAGGAACCAGAGTCAGCTATGTTAGCATTGATCACAGTCAGGGATGGAGAATTGACCGTGGACCCGGAGAAGTTCACACCATCAATGGATATGTCCTGTGTGCCAGAACCAACATTACGCCGCCAGAACACAGTGTTGTGGGCAGGGTTGGCAGACACGGTACATCCCAAGGTGATGCTCGTTCCTGTGTTGGTGTTGTAGGCATTCTGGCTGATGGTTACTACTGGGATATCTGATGGAACAAAAGAGAACTAAATAGAACAAATTATGGACTCACACAGACATATCGCCAAATCCCTAATCTTCATATTTCCAAAAAAAATCTGACTTTTGATAATTCAATCTTGACTGAAGGCCACCAAATTTTAATTAGACAAAGAAATTCTAAGATGTCAAAACAAAACCAACAGTATTGTACAATTCAATTTCACCATAATTCTTAAGTCTTCAGCTCACTGGCACCAGTAGTGGTAATGGGGAAAAGTTAAAAAAAAATGTGTATTTTCAAGATGGTGATAATGACAACCATCTTCGATTTTGAACCAACTGGAAAAATAAGAATGCTTGATCAAGACATTGCAAATAAATTTGAACTGAACCCCACTTGTGGAACTTGAGATGAAGTTTAAAATAGTTGTTCAATCATGTTATGAAATGGTCAGTGCCATATCAACTTTCAATGACACCAAAAAACAAGAACACATCCTTCTTCTCCTAACCAATTTTCAGCTCAATAGCACCAGTGAAACTGGAAAAGTTTAAAATGTGTTTTCCAAGATAGCAGCCATAAAGGCCATCCCACATTTCAAAAAAATAAGAACACTTTGTCCTAAATATCTCAGTACATTATTCCAGGCAAGTTTCAACTGAATCCCACAAGATGAACTAGAGAAAAAGTTTAATATATGTACAGGTTATGGCAGACAGTCGATGGTGAATGATGACAGATGAAACACCATGCTTAAAGGTCATCCTTACCAAAGGGTTGGATGACCTCATAAAACAAACTACAACAATTTGAACCATGAGCAAAAAAATATTCAGTAATTATCCATGCGGTTTATCAATGTCACAAGTTCTGTGGCAGGTACATGCATTGCACCTGTGAATTAACATTCACTTGTAAAGAATATCTGTATTGTACTATCTACCTTCAATGACACAAAGAGGACTTAAATAGTCCTACAATGACATTTGGAATTATCCAGCAATACGTATAGTATTAACATTCAGTTTCCACTACCAGTTTAAATCATTCCTACAGACTTACTTCCTGTGACTGTCAGTGTGGTGGCAGCACTCTGTCCAGTTCCTATAGAGTTGGTGGCGAAACAGGTGTAGGTTCCACTGTCACTGATATCAGCATTGATAACCGTCAGGGATGGAGAATTGACTGAAGATCCAGAGTAGTTGACACCATCAATGGTGATAGATTCTGTGCCAGAACCAACATTACGTTGCCAGAACACTGAGGTGTGGGCGGGGTTGGCAGACACGGTACATCCCAAGGTGATGCTCGTTCCTGTGTTGGTGCTGTAAGCGTTCAGGGTGATGGTTACAACTGGGATGGCTGATAGAACAAAAGGATATTGAATTAGACATCAATGAATAAAAGTAAGCATACACACAGGTATACTACCAACTACCTAATCTTTATAATTTAAAATCTATTGAGTGACCTTTGACCTTGTTATTGAATGTATGTTGTGATCTGTTGAGGGTTCATTGAATGACCTGTATGCATGCTTTGTACTAAAACACACATGCCCACACACATGTGCACACATACAGATACATGCACTCCAAAAACTTACTACAATATACCCCATCCATCCCCACTCCGTTACTAAATGAGGGGTTCAGTATCTTCATAGAACTTCCAGTAAAGCACATCATTTTGGCAGGTTTATATAAGCACATCATTTTGGCAGGTTTATATAAGCACATCATTTTGGCAGGTTTATATATAACGTGTTCTTGGATAAAATGGCATGAATTAACAAGGATGAAATTAAAATTTTCATAATCTTGTCATGTGGGAGAAATAAAATTTGTCAATCTCAAGTGTATATACATGTCAGTTCAGTTTTCTCAGCCTCAGAAACACAAACTGCTCCTGAAGAAAGGGATCAAACTTCACCCAAGGTTGTACAGTACAATGATCTACCAACAGAGCCAGGCTTGGCAGTTCCTAGACTTATCTAGACAATCTACCTTCTGCTACCCACACTTAACTAAATATGTCATACCAGTTAAACATGCAGTATTTACACTAAGTTTCAAATACTGATTTCAACTATTCATACAGACTTACTTCCTGTGACTGTCAGTGTGGTGGCAGAACTCTGTCCAGTTCCTACTGAGTTGGTGGCGAAACAGGTGTAGGTTCCAGTGTCAGTGGTATCAGCATTGATAACAGTCAGGGATGGAGAATTGACTGAAGATCCAGAGTAGTTAACACCATCAATAGTGATGGACTGTGTTCCAGAACCAACATTACGTTGCCAGAACACTGTGGTGTGGGCGGGGTTGGCAGAAACGGTACATTCAAGTGTGATGCTGTTTCCTGTGGTGATGCTGTAGGCATTCTGGGTAATTGTCACAGTTGGAATATCTGAAGAGTAAGAATGGATTATGTCAAAGTTATCATGTAAATCAGACTCACATCCTACACATCTACGATCTACATATATACGATGAGACCTTTGATGTGACTATCAATATAATTAATCACTATATTGATCTGTGTCTTCCCAACATTTTGTTTATACATGCTGTCTATATCAATCTGGTTTATGACAACACATATTAATTGCCTGTTAGTTCAAACCAACACATGATCAAGATGATTCAAAACTTTGCCAAATCTTGAAAATACATATGGTTTGCTTTCACAAATATATATAATAGATCAGTGCATTGACACAAAAGCAGTGATGATGTTTAAAAGCATCAAACCTATTTTTATTTAACAGTGCCAGTGTTTATATATACAAAGCATTCAATGCACAAATAAGTTTCTACAGAAAATAAGTCGAGTGGAATATGCAAAATTCATTTAGAGTACACATTTTTTACAGCAGATTAAGGTTTTATGAAAAAATCAACTCAAGAATTAAAGCCAGTATGTGCTCCTGACATTTCCAAAAATATGCTTGTACCTCTTTGTAAATTTGCATATCGTAAATCTAATAAAAGCTTATATTTCAGATGAAATGCTTTGCTATTTAAGGTGCATCTTTCAAGTTTCAATGTTCTCAAATGAAATGAACAAAATAATTCTGTTGATCACATAATCAATACCATTACCAGAATTATATCATTTTCTTAGAATGTTTAACAGATTTGAAACCCAATGATAACACATTTCCTTATTTGGTGTCATCTAAGGTATCATATATAGTCCTCTTACTTCACAACTCAAACCATGACACCAAACCTATGGCTTTGTGTGCTAACAGAAGGAAGATTCAGTAAAACATAAGTGATATACTACACATTCAAAATCTGTTCTATAGTAGATCAAGATACTGTGATTTGCCTGAGAAGATTTACAAAAATTTGGTATGTTCAACTAGAGACACTCCATGCTACTGTAGTGGCATAACCTGAATACTCTAAAGTGCTTTTCAGACGAGATGAGATATGAATTACATGAAGTAAACAATAAAGGTCCAAAATTTAAAACAAGAATAAAATGGAAAAAATAAAAAGTGGAGCAACAAAATTTTAGTTCTGTTTTCTTACTTCCAGTTACTGTCAGTGAGACCTGTGCACTCTGTCCTGTTCCAACTTGGTTGCTGGCAAAACAGACATATGTGCCCTGGTCTCCACTGTTGGCATTGAACACAGTTAATGATGGACTGCCTACAGATGCTCCACCATAATTCACATTGTCTATTGTCGGCGTAGAAGTCACGCCAATGTTGGATGTGAACTGCCAGAACACATTTGTATGTGATGGAATAGCAAAGACAGAACACTGCAAGGTCACTGTTGTTCCAGTGGTTACAGAATAAGCTGTCTGAGACACAGTGACTGTTGGTACATCTGCAAAAAATGTCTTACCTTGTTAGCAGTGCATGTGTATTATACATCAAATGCTTTAAATATTTTTTGTGCCATAAACACACAGTGAACATAATTAGCATCATGGGGTAAATTAATGATATAGGGAGGAAGGTGCCAGCAAGTTTCACCAATAGCTTTCATTATCTAAGATAATACAGTATCTATGCCATTATCCTAGTTGTTACGTCAGAGGAAACACTTCTCCTAATATCAAATTTTCTCTTATGTAATGTTTACATTATCATTAAAGATGTAAAAATAATCAAAAAATTCATATTCAAAATCAATTCTAAGAAAAGCAACTATTTTGATTAGTTTTGAAAGCATGAAGACATCAAGAAAGATACTAACTACTCTAAAATATACAATAATGTCCTGATATATTTTCTTAATGAAAATTTAAAATACTGGAATAGATTTAACCTTTGTTTTAACTTTAATACCCAAATTTTATAAATTAATTAGATCACCAAAGCAATTTGTGTTTTGCTAAATCAGTCTGTGATTGTGATTTACTTTAGTGTGAGCATAGCAGTGTTACTTGAATATTGAAAGCTATATGAGGATATGTGTCAGTTATATACAAGGTTACAAGATAAGGACGATCAGATATCAGTTTCTGTGCTTGCTGACCTTGACCTTTACATATTGGTCTATTTTTGTCCATCCAGTTTTTTAGAAGTAGTTTTTTCCCACTTCATTATAAGAAAAAATGGCAAAAAAACATTTTAAGTTGGGCACCATTGACACCAACAGTGGGGTGATTACATTAGCCCCAAAGTTTTTCATATATGCAAGCTAAAAAGCAGTTATTTGAAATAAATAAGTATCTTAAATGCAGTGAAATTTTTATGAGTTGACATAGATTTACAACTGGATTGACAACAGATATGTTCCCTATAACATGGAAAGTTACATATAAACTTTGGTCAAGAATTTAAAAAAAAAAACAGATGAAATTTGCAAAACCAGCAGTTGCACAAGAACAGAGCATATACACTTTTCTGTGCAAGTTTTCACATCCACATCTACATGTTCCCTCCCTTACATTTTTATATCGTGTTGATGTTCTTGTACAACTCTATAATCCCAACACATTACACCATATCATAAGAGACACAGAAAAAGTGAAACACATGCATATATAGAAGGCACAATAATTTTCCTTTGACAATTAGATAAGTTAACATTTTTAACCCCAAACAGAAGGAGAGGTGGTAAATGGGTGGTAATGGGTGAGGTTTGAAATATACTGATGGAGAAAGACTGGTAAACTGTCTGAAGGAAGGAAAGAAGTTATATCATGTTCTGTGAGTTTAATTGGACATCTGTCATTAACAGGAAGGGAAGGAGTTACATTATGTTCTGTGAGTTTAATTGGACATCTGTCATTAACAGGAAGGGAAGGAGTTACATTATGTTCTGTGAGTTTAATTGGACATCTGTCGTTAACAGGAAGGGAGGGAGTTACATTATGTTCTGTGAGATTAATTGGACATCTGTCATTAACAGGAAGGGAAGGAGTTACATTATGTTCTGTGAGTTTAATTGGACATCTGTCATTAACAGGAAGGGAAGGAGTTACATTATGTTCTGTGAGTTCTAGTCTGACCAGCCATGATGTAGTTTGTCACCGAAGGAGATACATGCAAGAGTTGATCCACAACAAGAGTACAAGACTCCATTACGCTCCTCTGTGGTAAGTCCATGTCCATTCATGATAATATAGCAAAATCAGTAATGTTGGGGCATGAAAGAATGTGGCTCGGACATGGCTAATAACAGGATTAGTATGTTCCTTAAAGCATATACCATAATATACCTGATGACCTCTACCAATCTGCCAAATTTTGCTATGTTCAGAGTATATTAACTGGTTCCGGAATAGCTATGCCCTACTATGCTGAAGACGGAGAAAATGACTGGTTTACCAAGGTTTTCTACGTCTATTCACAATAACGATAACATTCTTACTTAAACTGCATTACATATCACCAACATGTATATTAAGGCAAATTACTATGTTGCTCCTGGCAAAAGATACATTTTAAAACTCACTACATTCTGCCACATCCACTTGGAATTATTCAAAGTAACATTCGCATTTGTATTATATATCCTACAAGAGAACATGTATACAGGACTGGGACATGTAATGATTTTAAAGGACCGTGGCAGGTCATGTCCCAGAATGTTTATGTAAGATTGGGACAGGTCATGTCCCAGAATGTTTATGTAAGACACGGGCAGGTCATGTCCCAGAATGTTAATGTAAGACTGGGGCAGATCATGTACCAGAATGAGTTAACAGGACTGTGGCAGGTCATGTCCCAGAATATTTATGTAAGACTGGGGCAGGTCATGTCCCCGAGTGAGTTTTCAAGATTGGGGCAGGTAATGTCCCAGAATGTTTAGTAAGACTGGGGCAGGTCATGTCCCAGAATGTTTATGTAAGACTGGGGCAGGTCATGTCCAAGAATCTTTTTTAACAAACACCATTCAATGGGTATAAACATACAATATCATAAAGAAAGTGCTACGTAAAGGACCATTCCCAGTTTTTATAAACATACTTCCTGTGACTGTCAGTGTTGTGGAAGAACTTTGTCCAGTTCCTACTGAGTTGGTGGCGAAACAGGTGTAGGTTCCAGTGTCAGTGGTATCAGCATTGATAACAGTCAGGGATGGAGAATTGACCGAAGATCCAGAGTAGTTGACACCATCAATGGTGATAGATTCTGTGCCAGAACCAACATTACGCTGCCAGAACACGGTGGTGTGGGCGGGGTTGGCAGACACGGTACATCCCAAGGTGATGGTTGTTCCTGTGTTGGTGCTGTAGGCATTCTGGCTGATGGTTACTACTGGGATATCTGAAAATATTGTAAGGAAGTTTTACTAAAAAATTCCACATAAAAAGCATTAAACCAAAAACTTAATATCAATTAAAAAACTTTATAATTACAACAATAAGACAAAATGATGAAAAAGAGTCAATTTCACACATCAGACAAACATCAGATAAACATCAGACAAACATCATTATAGATTGGAAAATAACATGAACAAGAAATGAATGACCCTTCCATTGTCTTTAGCATCACTATTTCAAAAAATGTTTTCAAATAGTAATAGAACATAGAATCTCAAAACATACACTAATCTGAGGGATTGTTGGAGCTGACCTACTTGTTGTTAATACTCAGTCAAGACATTGTGAAGGACAGGACACAAAACATCAGGAGAGTAAATGACATGACAGACATTATGGAGGCATGAAAATGTATAAACAGGGAAATAACTAAGTCGTTGACCTTTGGTCTAATATTTTGAAAGACTTTGAACAGATACTCTTACAAAACAAACCAATTTGAGATAAAAGAGATCATAAGATTTCCTTGAAACACAATAAACCAAGAACTATAACTATAATTTTGGGTATAGGACCCGAGTTTTGGGTATATCACCTCTTTCTTGGGTATAGGATCTGATTTTTGGTTGTAACACTTGATTTTTTTTAGCAAAGGACACAACTTTTAGGTACAAGACCTTACTTTTGGGTATATGAGCTGACCTTGGGTAACGGACCCTACTTTTGGGTAAGGAGCATTTGTATGCTATTATAAAACTGTAGTCTAATTTAACCAGAGTTGGGCTAAAATCATAAACAAAGCACAACAGGCAATGATCATCTTACTATGATATAATAAGTACTAGAATCCGTACTCAATCTAAACAAAACAAGAATTTATGACATACTTCCTGAGACTGTCAGTGTGGTGGCAGAACTCTGTCCAGTTCCTACTGAGTTGGTGGCAAAACAGGTGTAGGTTCCACTGTCATTGATATCAGCATTGATAACCGTCAGGGATGGAGAATTGACTGAAGATCCAGAGTAGTTGACACCATCAATGGTGATAGATTCTGTGCCAGAACCAACATTACGCTGCCAGAACACGGTGGTGTGGGCGGGGTTGGCAGACACGGTACATCCCAAGGTGATGGTTGTTCCAGTGTTGGTGTTGTAGGCATTTTGGCTGATAGTAACTACTGGGACATCTGAAAATATTGTACATAGATATATGAGAAAACATAGTGTAACGTTACTCAATTCAGATACACATAGCCAACAGTTAACATGAGACAAACAGGTAAGTATAGCGGGACGAACTCACGCGGACGAAGTATTGGCAGCTTACTCGAATAAAATACAACTTTCTAACTTACAACATTTACCCTAAATTGTCTATGCATTACACTAAAACTGTTTAGACTATTTAAGCCACGTCTTACTTACCCCAACACAGCCAGTTAGTCCCACATTGCGTGAGCATCCTACAGGTATATCTTGGGTATAGTCATAAAGGTGCGAATAAAATATACGTCCGTACCTGGCAGTCCCAGGGCTAAGAGTGCGGGAATGAAACGTGCAAACATAGTGCTCTAACACACACCTAACACACACCTGTCCATCCAATCAAAACTCACTCTAAGATACACAATAACACCCAATCAACATTCTTACCTGGACACACGTCACACCAAAACTGGACACTGAGACAAGACACTATACACGTACATGTATATATATATATACAAGGTCACTACGCATGACAAACTCCCTACTCATACATATTATATATGTATATTACCAGGCAGGTAATTGTACAGACATTGTATTAGTCCCCAGTGTACCTGTAATACAATGTACTAAAATAACCTGGTGACATCCTCCCCCCTTGGAATAAATGCCTCCTGGCATCTAACCTGGAATTAAGAACATGTAGAAACCAAGCATAAACATAGCTATTCACTATTCAGCTCAGCCCTAAAAGTGAACGAGGAAAATGCTTGATTAGTTTTACATAAAAACATAATGGGTTCAGAAACAGAAATAAAGAACCATCATCAGTGCAATTACTAACGAACACACCTGTAAATGTGAATGGGACGTTAGTTAAAATTTTAAACAAGTGTACAAAATAACGTTGAAGATGAACTTGACTTACATCTAACCAAGTACAGTAGATTCCTAATATCCATGCTGAAAAGGAATAATGTACACTTAACCAACCAACTGCTAAGCTCAAATACAGATTTTGCTGTGAAATTAATTATCCACTATAAATCCATTGTACTATAAAAACAAACAAATGTATATGCCTGCCAGTATGTAACTCTGGTATGCAAAATTTGGTTGAAAGCCACTCCGTCATTTAGGAAACATAGTAATTCTCTTTCAGGACCCTAGCTCATAGCCATAGTGATTGAACCACACTCCTGTACTTATGGAAAAGATTCCCATTCCCAAATTATGTTTCATACCAAATTAGGCCAAAGTCAACTTAAATAAGGACAAGTTGTTTTTGAAGAAAAAGTCTACAGACAGAGCTGTTGATGACAAACAGGCATGATAAACCACTGAAATTTTCTGGTTGAGATTTCATAATACTCAATTACTTACTTCCTGTGACTGTCAGTGTGGTGGCAGAACTCTGTCCAGTTCCTACTGAGTTGGTGGCAAAACAGGTGTAGGTTCCAGTGTCACTAGTATCAGCATTGATAACCGTCAGGGATGGAGAATTGACCGAAGATCCAGAGTAGTTGACACCATCAATGGTGATAGATTCTGTGCCAGAACCAACATTACGCTGCCAGAACACAGTGGTGTGGGCGGGGTTGGCAGACACGGTACATCCCAAGGTGATGGTTGTTCCAGTGTTGGTGTTGTAGGCATTTTGGCTGATGGTTACAACAGGGATATCTGAAAATATTGTATGTATATATATGAGAAAACATAGTAAAAAGGGACATCACTCTATATACTTTTCAGACATGATTAAGCCTACAAGTTTAGATGCAATAATGTCACAGATTTTTATAACAGGTGGAAAATACTAGATATACATTATTTAGTGCAATATGAAAAATAAGGCATTTCTTGACTCACATTTTCAATTAATTATCAATAAGATTATCAAACTGTGTTTTCCAACATTTCCCCTGTTGGGCCCCATTTCTATGACCGCAGGATTGTTCCAATTTGTTAATACAATATAGGTTTATCTTGCACTACTGTTATCTCAGCCAGTCTTTACCAACAAGAGCAGTAACATATCAAGACAAAATTCAGGCCAATATCCCTGATGGGGTTCACTCTCCCAGCTCCAATGCTGGGATTGTTTATCTTGTCCAAGTAATATTTTATTACCCCCTGTACTAACATGGTAACAGTCAGTTCACAACTTTAAGAGAAACTCTAAAGCAAAAACTTAAAATTACCCTATTGCACACTGCCCCTCTGACCCCATGGCTTTTAACAACCTCCTTCATTTCAAAATTAATTCCCCTCCCTAAAAGCTGCTTCAGACCAAATTTGGTTAAAGAACACTTATGCATTCATAGGGAGTAGTATTCTAAACCCAAAACGAAGCTAATTCCTTCTTTGAGGTTCCATTTCCCTACCATTTATTTAAGAAATAACTGCCATCTCCAAATGATGTTCAAAGCAAAATGGTTGGAAATTACTCAGGCATTTAAAAGAAGTTATTTAAAGCGATATTTAAGCCAAGGTCCCATTCTACCTCCTTGGCACTATATGTTGGACAAACCAAATTTATCTAAAATATGATTGCCATCCAAAGTGATGATTCATGCAAAATTTGGTTAAAAGCCATTCTGTCATTTAGGAAACATAGTAATTCTCTTTCAGGACCCTAGCTCATAGCCACAGTGATTGAACCACACTCCTTTACTTATGGAAAAGATTCCCATTTCCAAATTATGTTTCATACCAAATTAGGCCAAAGTCAACTTAAATAAGGACAAGTTGTTTTTGAAGAAAAGTCTACAGACAGAGCTGTTGATGACAAACAGGCATGATAAACCACTGAAATTTTCTGGTTGAGATTTCCTAATACTCAATTACATTAAGAATGACTTACTTCCTGTGACTGTCAGTGTGGTGGAAGAACTCTGTCCAGTTCCTATAGAGTTGGTGGCGAAACAGGTGTAGGTTCCAGTGTCACTGGTATCAGCATTGATAACAGTCAGGGATGGAGAATTGACCGAAGATCCAGAGTAGTTGACACCATCAATAGTGATAGATTCTGTGCCAGAACCAACATTACGTTGCCAGAACACAGTGGTGTGGGCGGGGTTGGCAGACACAGTACATCCCAAGGTGATGGTTGTTCCTGTGTTGGTGCTGTAGGCATTCTGGCTGATGGTTACTACTGGGATATCTGAAAATATTGTAAGGAAGTTTTACTAAAAAATTCCACATAAAAAGCATTAAACCAAAAACGTAATATCAATTAAAAAACTTTATAATTACAATAATAAGACAAAATGATGAAAAAGAGTCAATTTCACACATCAGATAAACATCAGACAAACATCAGACAAACATCATTATAGATTGGAAAATAACATGAACAAGAAATGAATGACCCTTCCATTGTCTTTAGTATCACTATTTCAAAAAATATTTTCAAATAGTAATGATAACCTTGACCTTGGCCATAGAATCTCAAGACATACACTAATCTGAGGGATTGTTGGAGCTGACCTACTTTGCATAATGTTGTTAATACTCAGTCAAGACATTGTGAAGGACAGGACACAAAACATCAGGAGAGTAAATGACATGATAGACATTATGGAGGCATGAAAATGTATAAACAGGGAAATAACTAAGTCGTTGACCTTTGGTCTAATATTTTGAAAGACTTTGAACAGATACTCTTACAAAACAAACCAATTTGAGATAAAAGAGATCATAAGATTTCCTTGAAACACAATAAACCAAGAACTATAACTATAATTTTGGGTATAGGACCCGAGTTTTGGGTATATCACCTCTTTCTTGGGTATAGGATCTGATTTTTGGTTGAAGCACTTGATTTGTTTAGTAAAGGACACAACTTTTAGGTACAAGACCTTACTTTTGGGTATATGAGCTGACCTTGGGTAACGGACCCTACTTTTGGGTAAGGAGCATTTGTATGCTATTATAAAACTGTAGTCTGATTTAACCAGAGTTGGGCTAAAATCATAAACAAAGCACAACAGGCAATGATCATCTTACTATATAATAACAAGTACTAGAATTCGTACTCAATCTAAACCAAACAAGAATTTATGACTTACTTCCAGTAACTGTCAGTGTAGTGGCAGCACTCTGTCCAGTTCCTACTGAGTTGGTGGCGAAACAGGTGTAGGTTCCAGTGTCAGTGGTATCAGCATTGAGAACCGTCAAGGATGGAGAATTGACCGAAGATCCAGAGTAGTTGACACCATCAACAGTGATAGATTCTGTGCCAGAACCAACATTACGCTGCCAGAACACGGTGGTGTGGGCGGGGTTGGCAGACACGGTACATCCCAAGGTGATGGTTGTTCCTGTGTTGGTGCTGTAGGCATTCTGGCTGATGGTTACAACAGGGATATCTGAAAGTATTGTGTGCATAGTTAGACAAATTTCAGCGAAAATTTCATGAGAACAATGCATGAACAAGCTGCCCTTGGGCACCCCTTCACAAGGCACGAGTTGTGAGTGATCTCTGATCTACCTTAAAGGATTCTATCCATACATCCTAAAGTTCAGGCCTAAGTTACAAGCTAAAATATTTTTTGAAAATGTGACCTTAATCTTTGATGGATCTAGTCTTAAATAAAAACAGGACTGTTCTCTTTTCTTCAGGAAAAAACAAATAAAATGTTTTTATTTTTAATGTGTTATTTTGTTCTCAATTGATGATTGGGCAACACAGAAATTCTGAGCTACACTGTTCTTCGAAACAAAGACAAGAAGTTATTATGTACATAAACAATATGAGAAATATCCATTTTGATAACTTTCATCTTGTGAACAGTAGTCATAATCTTTAATTGTCCAAAAAAGTGGCTGCTTGTCAGCCAGTCTCTTCTCCTATTGGCTATTTTGTTCTTCTATTCAGTCGTAAATTGAACAGGAAAAACTAGAAACCGTTGAAAATTTATGAATTGATTTACACAGATCCCTCTTCACCAGCCTGCACAACGTCACAACAATTCAATGATATACCAACAATGAGTCAGTGACATCACAGCACCAATTCAACCAATGACATCAATGATGTTACAACAATTCAGTGATGTTACGTCAATAATGCCATCCAATTATGAAATGAAAAATTTTTATGATGAGAAGTCAAGCAGGGTAACATCAATGCCATCATTCCTCTAATGTGGGAGAGACAGGGTGGTCCCAACCTTTGGGGAAAGATCATTTAGTTGCCAATCACTCAGTAAACTTTTCTGTTTGGATCATCCCCATAAAGCTGACATCACTTCATCTCACCTGCAAGGGTTTAAACGTTTATTAATCACTTTCTCAGAAGCTTTTTTTCACTTACTTCCTGTGACTGTGAGTGTAGTGGCAGAACTCTGTCCAGTTCCTACTGAGTTGGTGGCGAAACAGGTGTAGGTTCCAGTGTCAGTGGTATCAGCATTGATAACCGTCAGGGATGGAGAATCCAGTAACTGTGATCAGCATTGATAACCAGTGTCAGATTGATAAGAATTGACTGAAGATCCAGAGTAGTTGACACCATCAATGGTGATAGATTCTGTGCCAGAACCAACATTACGCTGCCAGAACACAGTGGTGTGGGCGGGGTTGGCAGACACGGTACATCCCAAGGTGATGCTTGTTCCAGTGTTGGTGTTGTAGGCAGTCTGAGAAATTGTCACAGTGGGGATATCTGAAAAACAATGCTTAAATGTTACATACTGTGAAGCATAATCCAAAATCAACAGTAAAACTTAGTAAAATACAAGAATTATTTTTCCTGCTTTGCAAATACAATGATGGACCAAATGTGGAATGTCTGGATACCAGATCACATCAGTAAATTATATAGTGTACAATGCATTTGTGTAGTTCATTAAAGCAGAAATGGTGACTTACTTCCAGAGACTGTCAGTGTGGTGGCAGCACTCTGTCCAGTTCCTACTGAGTTGGTGGCAAAACAGGTGTAGGTTCCACTGTCATTGATATCAGCATTGATAACGGTCAGGGATGGAGAATTGACTGAAGATCCAGAGTAGTTGACACCATCAATGGTGATAGATTCTGTGCCAGAACCAACATTACGTTGCCAGAACACGGTGGTGTGAGCGGGGTTGGCAGACACGGTACATCCCAAGGTGATGGTTGTTCCAATGTTGGTGCTGTAGGCAGTCTGGCTGATGGTTACTACTGGGATGGCTGAAAATATATTGAGACTCTGTAAATAAGGATTCAGCTCCTACCCTTCAGGTGAGCTAATATTTAAAATTAATTTTAGTACTAATGTGTATTGTAGGTAGTATTTATCCATAAAATCAAATGTCAACGATAACAAATACTTTAATAGAAATTAACAGATATAACAACACAATCTTGTTAATGATTACAAGTTGTATGAAATAATTCATTTTTACTTTATATATCTACACTAATCATACAATCAGAACAGTTTATTGTAGTCACTTGTAAACATCCTCAAGAACAATATAATTCTTGGTCTCAAAAACAAATGAAAGTTACATAGTTGGGACAGGAGACCTAGGTATCTCATACCATATTCATACACAGGGAGTTACCCATTTAGGTGAAAAATGTACAAGGTTGTCCTAGATACTACGAAGCAAGAATTCCATACAAATTGATATGTCAACTCTTTGGCCACAAAGACATCATAGACACACTGCACTTTCTAAATTCAGAAATAATCATGTGTAGCCATGTTGAATTTCACTGTCACATCTGACATAAAATCAAACTGGGAACAGGTTATTGATTCATAATCAAATGTGTCCCTGAGTTATTATCTCAGTATTAGACAACCACAGACATGCTCATTAGCTACTCCTTTTCTTTAAAAAAAAGGTGACCTTGACCTTTTGACCTTGAGAGCAATCTAAAGCCAGCCAGCAGTTAGAAAATAGCCAACCTGTTTTGTATGAAAATGAAATTTATACTAGATCCTTGATAAAGACTAGGCCATGCAATGTACAACAATAGATTTCAGCCGAGACATATGTGTGACACTTCACACAATGAATAAACAACTTACTTCCTGTGACTGTCAGTGTGGTGGCAGAACTCTGTCCAGTTCCTACTGAGTTGGAGGCAAAACAGGTGTAGGTTCCAGTGTCACTGGTATCAGCATTGATAACAGTCAGGGATGGAGAATTGACCGAAGATCCAGAGTAGTTGATACCATCAATGGTGATGGACTGTGTTCCAGAACCAACATTACGTTGCCAGAACACTGAGGTGTGGGCGGGGTTGGCAGACACGGTACATTCCAAGGTGATACTGTTTCCTGTGCTGGTGCTGTAGGCATTCTGGGTAATGGTCACAGTGGGGACATCTGAAAAATAAATTAGTCTTATTAGGTGGAGCAAATTGTTATACTTATATAGAATGTCCGATGTATCCTATGTTTTGTCCTATAAAGCATTAATTTAAAGGTTCACCAGTAACAGCTTGATAGACTAATTAACTTGTCATTGCTCTTAAATGATTGATAGCCTCCAAACAAAATCTTATTGAATGCAACTAAAGTTTCTTTTGTCCATTTCAATAAAACATTGAATATTTAATTGCAATGTATATTAGAAGTTATGGCATATAAATGCTTGTTCACAAAATGGATATCACATTTTTTTCCCACAAGAAGTGGACCCAAATACATGCATAGGTTTGTCATGATTCAATATGTTATACATTTCAGGAACTATATTTTGGCAGTGTAGCACTTTTTCAGAAAGTGATGTTATGCCATTGATCTGAATTTGTTTTAACAGTAATGAAATCCTAAAACTTATACACCATATTAACATGCCTTTATCAGAGATCAATTAACTTGTGATTCAATAACCACAGTCAAAATTGGCATAAAATCAACAAAATTCATCAGACATGTTGTGTATACCTCTAGGTAACTGATAAAGAACACCAGAATACTGGGACTGATGTCAAAATGCTTTCATCAAACACATGTTTTCCAACTCCAAACTAATTTGAAATCCTCCTATTTTAACCATAAATTAATTCTGTAATCAATGAAACAAGTTGTTAACTTACACAAAACTTTAAAGTATACACATGTTTGTACATCCTGACAAAATCTCCAAACCTACACACAAGTCCATCCTGACCTTATATTTTCCCAGTGATTTGCAATAAGCCCTGACTTTGAGTCGGATTTTGAACATCGATTCCAGGCCTCAATACATGATATGTGCTGCAATTTTCACAGTTTGATAGAATATGTCATACTTTCTTATTGCAGAACCAATGACTTACTTCCTGTGACTGTTAATGTAGTGGCAGCACTCTGTCCAGTCCCTACTGAGTTGGTGGCGAAACAGGTGTAGGTTCCAGTGTCAGTGGTATCAGCATTGATAACAGTCAGGGATGGAGAATTGACCGAAGATCCAGAGTAGTTGACACCATCAATAGTGATGGACTGTGTTCCAGAACCAACATTACGTTGCCAGAACACGGTGGTGTGGGCGGGGTTGGCAGACACGGTACATCCCAAGGTGATACTGTTTCCTGTGGCAATGCTGTAGGCGTTCTGGCTGATGGTTACAACTGGGATGGCTAAAAAAATATAGATTATTTCTATGAAGACAAATGTTATGAAAGTTTTGCTTTAATCACAGTTAATAAGAAAGCCTTAACATTTAAACAAGGGCATGGTAAAATCATTAAACAAAACAATGTGAGATGACAGGTGCAACAATTTAACTAGATTTTGACTATGGTAAATTTAACCTTACCTCTAGCTGCAACAAATGATCCAAAATTACACCATTTGTAAATAAAGTTATATCCTAATATTGGACCTGTTGATCAAAGAGCTATCTCCCTTCCTCAGATTTGGTAGAAATATCTATTTTAACCGAGATCATGAATTAATACTTCAAGCCGAGTCAATATCTTTTTCTTAACTTTGTCTCTTTGCTCCCTACCATATTATCATCCCAACAGCTTTTAAATTAGCAACTGATCAATGACAGATTTATCAAACTCAAACTAAAATACATATTAAAGGAATACAGAATGTATATTAATGGAATACAGAATGTATATTAATGGAATACAGAATGTATATTAATGGAATACATAATGTATATTAATGGAATACAGAATGTATATTAATGGAATACATAATGTATATTAATGGAATACAGAATGTATATTAATGGAATACATAATGTATATTATTGGAATATGGAATGTATATTAATGGAATACAGAATGTATTTTAATGGAATACAGAATGTATATTAATGGAATACAAAATGTATATTAATGGAATACAGAATGTATATTAATGGAATACAGAATGTATATTAATGTTGATTGTGTTTGATCAGAATCCACAACACATTTGGTTACAGATGATATTGCTAACTAATTATACGTATTAATTGGGAAACAAATCTGTATAATTTTTGTTAAGAGTTCAGAAAAAAAATTCCAGCTTGACATATGAAAATGGCATTTCTAATTGATTATTTTCTTAGATGTCATTTTCTAGCTTACTTCCAGTAACTGTCAGTGTGGTGGCAGCACTCTGTCCAGTTCCTACTGAGTTGGTGGCGAAACAGGTGTAGGTTCCAGTGTCACTGGTATCAGCATTGATAACAGTCAGGGATGGAGAATTGACCGAAGATCCAGAGTAGTTGACACCATCAATGGTGATGGACTGTGTTCCAGAACCAACATTACGTTGCCAGAACACGGTGGTGTGGGCGGGGTTGGCAGACACGGTACATCCCAAGGTGATACTGTTTCCTGTGGCAATGCTGTAGGCGTTCTGGCTGATGGTTACAACTGGGATGGCTAAAAAAATATAGATTATTTCTATGAAGACAAATGTTATGAAAGTTTTGCTTTAATCACAGTTAATAAGAAAGCCTTAACATTTAAACAAGGGCATGGTAAAATCATTAAACAAAACAATGTGAGATGACAGGTGCAACAATTTAACTAGATTTTGACTATGGTAAATTTAACCTTACCTCTAGCTGCAACAAATGATCCAAAATTACACCATTTGTAAATAAAGTTATATCCTAATATTGGACCTGTTGATCAAAGAGCTATCTCCCTTCCTCAGATTTGGTAGAAATATCTATTTTAACCGAGATCATGAATTAATACTTCAAGCCGAGTCAATATCTTTTTCTTAACTTTGTCTCTTTGCTCCCTACCATATTATCATCCCAACAGCTTTTAAATTAGCAACTGATCAATGACAGATTTATCAAACTCAAACTAAAATACATATTAAAGGAATACAGAATGTATATTAATGGAATACAGAATGTATATTAATGGAATACAGAATGTATATTAATGGAATACAGAATGTATATTAATGGAATACATAATGTATATTAATGGAATATGGTATGTATATTAATGGAATACAGAATGTATTTTAATGGAATACAGAATGTATATTAATGGAATACAGAATGTATATTAATGGAATACAGAATGTATATTAATGGAATACATAATGTATATTAATGGAATACAAAATGTATATAATGGAATACAGAATGTATATTAATGGAATACAGAATGTATATTAATGGAATACAGAATGTATATTAATGTTGATTGTGTTTGATCAAAATCCACAACACATTTGGTTACAGATGATATTGCTAACTAATTATACGTATTAATTGGGAAACAAATCTGGATAATTTTTGTTAAGAGTTCAGAAAAAAAATTCCAGCTTGACATATGAAAATGGCATTTCTAATTGATTATTTTCTTAGATGTCATTTTCTAGCTTACTTCCAGTAACTGTCAGTGTGGTGGCAGCACTCTGTCCAGTTCCTACTGAGTTGGTGGCAAAACAGGTGTAGGTTCCACTGTCACTGGTATCAGCATTGATAACAGTCAGGGATGGAGAATTGACCGAAGATCCAGAGTAGTTGACACCATCAATGGTGATGGACTGTGTTCCAGAACCAACATTACGTTGCCAGAACACGGTGGTGTGGGCGGGGTTGGCAGACACGGTACATCCCAAGGTGATACTGTTTCCTGTGTTGGTGCTGTAGGCAGTCTGAGAAATGGTCACAGTTGGAACATCTGAAGTAAGAAGATTTCATGTCATATCTAAATCCAGTCCTCTGTTTTTATATACTGTCAGTTATTTGACAGAACAAATTGAAATGGTACACTCTATACAACACTATTACAACTACCTGCGGATATAAACTGATAATATTTCAGCATCTCTACTTCATTTGTTATATTAAAATATCACCAGGTGAGTTATTCAAACAAAAATTACATCTTTATATTAAAAAGTAAAAATAACTGCTGAACTCAACTACTTAGCATGTCTTAAGTTTTGTTTTAAATTTTATATATATATTTAATAAATCTCAACTCAATTCTAATATTTTTAAAAACATTAAATACAATACCTTTTATAATAGATTCTTTGCATTAAAAGGAAGACTAGGTTTCCATCAATTAATGATTGTGAACTACATCATTATAAGATATATAACATATTTAAAATAAAAACATAACAAATTTACCATAAAATAGACTTAACAAGGCCTGGTGTCAGTATACTCTAGTAGACTTAACAAAGCCTGGTGTCAGTATTCACTAGTAGACTTAACAAGGCCTGGTGTCAGTATTCACTAGTAGACTTAACAAGGCCTGGTGTCAGTATTCACTAGTAGACTTAACAAGGCCAGGTGTCAGTATTCACTAGTAGACTTAACAAGGCCTGGTGTCAGTATTCACTAGTAGACTTAACAAGGCCAGGTGTCAGTATTCACTAGTAGACTTAACAAGGCCTGGTGTCAGTATTCACTGGTAGACTTAACAAGGCCTGGTGTCAGTATTCACTGGTAGACTTAACAAGGCCTGGTATCAGTATTCACTAGTAGACTTAACAAGGCCTGGTATCAGTATTAACCAATAGACTGAATGAGGCCAGGCTTCAGTATTCTATAATTGTTATGAGAATTAGAAATGGTATTATTCTGTTGGGGAACTTATCAGTCTTAATATTAAATTTGATAGGGCAAAATTATTACCCAGGCTTTCATACAACTCAAGTTTCTAAATAATAACCATTATGCAATCAAATTCTGCACTTTCTAAACATTTTTACAAGAACAGGTTAATATGAATGTGATCTTGTTTCTTCATGGTTGAATTTTTGTGACTCTAGATTGCACTACTGCCAAATCAGTTCAACTTTTAAGCTTTATTGCAGCAACAAATTGTAACGACAATAAAATTGTTGTCTACTGCTGGAAATGAAGATGAAAAGTCAGTCAAGTCCCAAGTTATATTTAATATACATGTATACTTACTTCCTGTGACTGTCAGTGTGGTGGCAGCACTCTGTCCAGTTCCTACTGAGTTGGTGGCGAAACAGGTGTAGGTTCCAGTGTCACTGGTATCAGCATTGATAACAGTCAGGGATGGAGAATTGACCGAAGATCCAGAGTAGTTGACACCATCAATGGTGATGGACTGTGTTCCAGAACCAACATTACGTTGCCAGAACACGGTGGTGTGGGCGGGGTTGGCTGACACGGTACATCCCAAGGTGATACTGTTTCCTGTGTTGGTGCTGTAGGCAGTCTGAGAAATGGTCACAGTTGGAACATCTGAAGTAAGAAGATTTCATGTCATATCTAAATCCAGTCCTCTGTTTTTATATACGGTCAGTTATTTGACAGAACAAATTGAAATGGTACACTCTATACAACGCTATTACAACTACCTGCGGATATAAACTGATAATATTTCAGCATCTCTACTTGATTTGGTATATCAAAATACCACCAGATGAGATATTCAAACAATAATTACATCTACATTAAAAAGTAAAAATAACTGCTAAACTCAACTACTTAGCATCTCTAAGTTTTGTTTTAAATTTTATATACATTAAAACTTTAAGCTATTTAAGCATCTCAATTCAATTCCAATGTTTTTAAAACACATTAAATACAATACCTTTTTTAATAGATTCTTCACATTATGAGAAAAACTAGGTTTTGATCAGACAATGATCGTGTACTACATTATAAGAAATTAACAATAAAAACATAACACCTTGAAATGAAATTGACTTAATTATACATGGTGTCAGTATTCACCAATAGTCTGAATAAGGCCAGGATTCAGTATTTACCAATAGTCTGAATTAGGCCAGGATTCAGTATTCATCAATAGTCTGAATAAGGCCAGGATTCAGTATTCATCAATAATCTAAATAAGGCCAGGATTCAGTATTCACCAATAGTCTGAATAAGGCCAGGATTCAGTATTTACCAATAGTCTGAATAAGGCCAGGATTCAGTATTCATCAATAAACCAAATAAGGCCAGGATTCAGTATTTACCAATAGTCTGAATAAGGCCAGGATTCAGTATTCACCAATAGTCTGAATAAGGCCAGGATTCAGTATTTACCAATAGTTTGAATAAGGCCAGGATTCAGTATTCATCGATAATCTAAATAAGGCCAGGATTCAGTATTTACCAATAGTCTGAATAAGGCCAGGATTCAGTATTCACCAATAGTCTGAATAAAGCCAGTATTCAGTATTCACCAATAGTCTGAATAAGGCCAGGATTCAGTATTCACCAATAGTCTGAATAAGGCCAGGATTCAGTATTAAAACAATAGTTACAAGAACATGTCGATAACAGGTTTATGATGTTTCTTCATCATTGAAATTTTGTGATTCTAGATTAAACAAATTGATAGAAAGAAAGAAAGAATGAAAAATAGTTTTGATGGTTTTACCCTGCAAAGTTAGTTTACCCTTTACGCCCTATTGCAGCAACAAATTGCATTGGTGAAGAAAAAGGATGTCTACTGCTGGAAATGAGGATGAAAAATTAGTTATGTTTTAACTTATATCTAATATACATCTGTACTTACTTCCAGTAACTGTCAGTGTGGTGGAAGCACTCTGTCCAGTTCCTGCTGAGTTGGAGGCGAAACAGGTGTAGGTTCCAGTGTCACTGGTATCAGCATTGATAACTGTCAGGGATGGAGAATTGACCGAAGATCCAGAGTAGTTGATACCATCAATGGTGATGGACTGTGTTCCAGAACCAACATTACGTTGCCAGAACACTGAGGTGTGGGCGGGGTTGGCAGACACGGTACATCCCAAGGTGATACTGTTTCCTGTGGAAGTGCTGTAGGCAGTCTGAGAAATGGTCACAGTGGGGACATCTGAAAAGTAAGAATTTTCATGTCATATTTTCACTAAACCACTGTTTTATAGCAAGTAAAGTGTTTGCTAGAATAACACAAATTTAGGCTATTTTGGATAAGTATTTTTTGTATTGATTTTTAAATTTGCTAGTATATTTTGCTCATTATTGTCACAAAAATCATTTTCTTCTGTTTATTTTTATTTTTTTTTTTGCTTTAAATTCACGATAAACCAAGGGTGTACATGCAATATGAAAGCCTTCCTTGGCAAACACTGAGGAATGGAAAGGTTTGGGTTTTATTTAATTTTTTTAGAGGTATTACTACTCATTTTCTTTTAGATTTTGTCAAATTTGCTTTGGCTAGCAACCATCAGGTAATCGTTGGCTATGGCTGAAAACAAACAGGTACTCATTGGCTATGGCTGAAAACAATCAGGTAATCATTGGCTATGGCTGAAAACAATCAGGTAATCATTGGCTATGGCTGAAAACAATCAGGTTATCGTTGGCTATGGCTGAAAACAATCAGGTAATCGTTGGCTATGGCTGACAACCACAGTTATGAAAAAATGAATTTGGTACAAACATTATAACTACTGGTGTAGTATGGTAAAGTGAAGCCCACCGTAGATTATCTTGATTTATTTCTAACAATAAACAACCAAAATATGTCTGAGGTAGGGAAATTTAGGGTGGGCCATGTGGCTTCACTTCACAATTATGGTTATTTCAAGAATTTCACAATTTTCTTTTCAATAAAGATTTTTCCCTAAATTGCTTTTAGATTACCTTGATTCATTTCTTTAAACACAATCAACAACTAAAAAAAATTATGTCCAAAATGGTGAAATGAATCGCAACTCACATATCCATCATGGTATTTTGAGCATGTTTCATTTCACCATGTCTCACAATACCATCCTACACATGTTACACATAGTACATATCAATATCAATCATTCCTAATTCAGCACTGAAAAAACAATCTGAGAGGTTCTTGGGATTTCAAGGGCCATAACTCAGGGAAAAAATAAGCAGACTGGGACAAAATATCAAATTCACCGAGTCTTCTGAAAATGTAACAAAACATTTAATTGTAGATATGGTAAAAATTCCAATGTGGCTTACAGAAAATCAGCAGAAACTGATAAATTTCAGAAAAATTCTGAGTTCAAGGGCCATGATTCTGAGAAAATCAGTAAATAAGACCATGTCTTACACTTTCTCATGATACAATCATATTCAAAATTTCAGTTCAGCATCTCCATCCATCAAGGAGAGAATGAGCAGAAACCAAATGGCCAGGGAAGGCACTACAGTAACATCCTAGCCATTTCATGACAGGAATATAAAACTGCTATCTCTTCTAATACAGGAAAGGAAACCAATGCGGATTACTTACTTCCTGTGACTGTCAGTGTGGTGGCAGCACTCTGTCCAGTTCCTACTGAGTTGGTGGCGAAACAGGTGTAGGTTCCAGTGTCACTGGTATCAGCATTGATAACAGTCAGGGATGGAGAATTGACCGAAGATCCAGAGTAGTTGATACCATCAATGGTGATGGACTGTGTTCCAGAACCAACATTACGTTGCCAGAACACTGAGGTGTGGGCGGGGTTGGCAGATACGGTACATCCCAAGGTGATACTGTTTCCTGTGCTGGTGCTGTAGGCAGTCTGAGAAATTGTCACAGTGGGGACAGCTGAAGTAAGAATTATCATGTGACATTTTCAATAAACTGCTGTTTGATAAAAAGAACAGTATTTGTTAGAATAACACAAACAAAGTCTATTTCTGACAATAACTTTCATCATTTTTAATATTGCTAATTTACTAATTTCCATTTGAGTAATCTTTTTTCTCAAATTAATGAAAAAATGAATATGTTAATTCCACAGGAATGCCTCAGCTGGTAACCTATTAGAAATTCTGAAACCTTTTTGATATTATTGGATTTTTAAAGAATACTCATAATTTTTCGGATCGAGTCAGGTATTTCTTGACTAAAGCTTATGATAGAAGTTGGAAATAATAGGCTTTGTTAACTGTATATATTCAAGACTTTTTTCGAAAGTCATTGACTGAGTTTCTGTTAAAAAACCTCCTTTGAGATGAAGAAGAGAATCATATATAACAGATTGTCTTAAGGTAGAGGGGTTGAGAATGAGATGTAACAGTCTTCAGGTGGAGGGGTTGAGAATGAGATGTAACAGATTGTCTTAAGGTGGAGGGGTTGAGAATGAGATGTAACAGTCTTCAGGTGGAGGGGTTGAGAATGAGATGTAACAGATTGTCTTAAGGTGGAGGGGTTGAGAATGAGATGTAACAGTCTTCAGGTGGAGGGGTTGAGAATGAGATGTAACAGTCTTCAGGTGGAGGAGTTGAGAATGAAATGTAACAGTCTTCAGGTGGAGGGGTTGAGAATGAGATGTAACAGTCTTCAGGTGGAGGGATTGAGAATGAGATGTAACAGTCTTCAGGTAGAGGGGTTGAGAATGAGATGTAACAGTCTTCAGGTGGAGGGATTGAGAATGAGATGTAACAGTCTTCAGGTGGAGGGATTGAGAATGAGATGTAACAGTCTTCAGGTAGAGGGGTTGAGAATGAGATGTAACAGTCTTCAGGTGGAGGGATTGAGAATGAGATGTAACAGTCTTCAGGTGGAGGGGTTGAGAATGAGATGTAACAGATTGTCTTAAGGTGGAGGGGTTGAGAATGAGATGTAACAGTCTTCAGGTGGAGGAGTTGAGAATGAGATGTAACAGTCTTCAGGAGGAGGGATTGAGAATGAGATGTAACAGTCTTCAGGTGGAGGAGTTGTGAATGAGATGTAACAGTCTTCAGGTGGAGGAATTGAGAATGAGATGTAACAGTCTTCAGGTGGAGGAGTTGAGAATGAGATGTAACAGATTGTCTTAAGGTGGAGGGGTTGAGAATGAGATGTAACAGGGAGTCTTCAGGTGGAGGGGTTGAGAATGAGATGTAACAGTCTTCAGGTGGAGGGATTGAGAATGAGATGTAACAGTCTTCAGCTGGAGGAGTTGAGAATGAGATGTAACAGATTGTCTTCAGGTGGAGGGGTTGAGAATGAGATGTAACAGATTGTCTTAAAGTGGAGGGGTTGAGAATGAGATGTAACAGTCTTCAGGTGGAGGGGTTGAGAATGAGATGTAACAGTCTTCAGGTGGAGGGGTTGAGAATGAGGTATAACAGAGTGTCTTAAGGTGGAGGGGTTGAGAATGAGATGTAACAGTCTTCGGGTGGAGGGGTTGAGAATGAGATGTAACAGTCTTCAGGTGGAGGAGTTGAGAATGAGATGTAACAGTCTTCAGGAGGAGGGATTGAGAATGAGATGTAACAGTCTTCAGGTGGAGGAGTTGAGAATGAGATGTAACAGTCTTCAGGTGGAGGAGTTGAGAATGAGATGTAACAGTCTTCAGGTGGAGGAGTTGAGAATGAGATGTAACAGAGAGTCTTCAGGTGGAGGAGTTGAGAATGAGATGTAACAGTCTTCAGGTGGAGGAGTTGAGAATGAGATGTAACAGAATGTCTTCAGGTGGAGGGGTTGAGAATGAAATGTAACTGAGTGTCTTCAGGTGGAGGAGTTAAGAATACAAAGTAACAGAGAGTCTTCAAGTGGAGGGGTTGAGAATGAGATGTAACAGAATGTCTTAAGGTGGAGGGGTTGAGAATACAAAATAACAGATTGTCTTTAGGTGAAGCTGGGACATAAAACTGTCATCTCTTCTCCTATGTGAAGTGAAAACACAAATCCAAGGAACTTACTTCCAGTAACTGTCAGTGTGGTGGCAGCACTCTGTCCAGTTCCTACTGAGTTGGTGGCGAAACAGGTGTAGGTTCCAGTGTCAGTGGCATCAGCATTGATAACAGTCAGGGATGGAGAATTGACCGAAGATCCAGAGTAGTTGATACCATCAATGGTGATGGACTGTGTTCCAGAACCAACATTACGTTGCCAGAAAACTGAGGTGTGGGCGGGGTTGGCAGACACGGTACATCCCAAGGTGATACTGTTTCCTGTGCTGGTGCTGTAGGCAGTCTGAGAAATTGTCACAGTGGGGACATCTGAAAAGAATGAATTTTCATGTCACATCTTCTGTAACATCACAATACCATATCAGGTATTTTACAGAATATCATGCCTGCAACGTATGTACCTTAGAGGTCAAAAAAATGTGTATGCTGTCCTGAAGAAGGCTGCTAACAGGTGAATCCAGTCAACAAATACCAAATCAATCGATAACACTTACTCAGAAAGTGGGCGTATACCCTATACTGATTACTTCTAACCAGATGTACCGATTTTCAATAGAGCTAGTTTATTTTGTTGGTTATTAGTGGCCCAGCTGGTAACTGATGAGAAATTTGAAATAATTTGGTGTTACTGGATTTTTAAGGGGTTTTCTGGACTATTCATATTTGTTGATTAAGGCTTATTACAAAAGTTACAGAAAATAAACTTTGTTCATTGTATATGTAACATAGTCAGGTTTGGGGTGAGCCTGAACTTTTTTTGTTGAAATGAATCTGCTAGAATGTTGACAAGGGTTTTCTAAAAATAGTAACAATATCCTTGACCTGAGAGTCCTAAATGTAAACAAGTCTGAGATATGATGGTCCTTTGTAGTATGTGAAGTTTTATCAAAATCCTTTAAGGAAATTGAAAATTCTAGAGAGCTGTGAAGAAAGTTTAACATGCATTCAGACTGAATCCTACATTCCTCTACGCTCAATCTGAGACAAGATAATTTGTTGGTAAAAAGTAAATATGAGCGTGACTTACATTTTCTCATTATACACATATATACCATATTTCATATCTACATCTCTGTCAAAGAGTGAATAAGCAGATATCAACTGATTATGTCAAAGGGCAAAATTATAATAAAACAGTGTTATAAAACTGTTATGTTTTCTCCCATAGGACGGGAAACAGATAACATACTTCCAGAGACTGTCAGTGTAGTGGCAGCACTCTGTCCAGTTCCTACTGAGTTGGTGGCGAAACAGGTGTAGGTTCCAGTGTCACTGGTATCAGCATTGATCACAGTCAGGGATGGAGAATTGACCGAAGATCCAGAGTAGTTGACACCATCAATGGTGATGGACTGTGTTCCAGAACCAACATTACGTTGCCAGAACACTGAGGTGTGGGCGGGGTTGGCTGACACGGTACATCCCAAGGTGATACTGTTTCCTGTGCTGGTGCTGTAGGCAGTCTGAGAAATTGTCACAGTGGGAACATCTGAAAATCCAGAACGGATGATGTCAGTTCAGATTTAAATCAAACAAACAGCCTAGATAACTTGTTTTACAATCTAACCTTTATGAGTCACTGTTTCATCATATTTTATGTGACCATACATCATTTTGTTTACCAGGGTCTCCTTATATAACACTTCTAACCTATTGCCTACAAATTCAGGCCTTTACTGTAACACAAGAATGCCATATGTTGTTCAATTATGCATTTTATTTACGTAAACAGCAGCAAAAAATACTATTATGTGTTCATACAGCAATACCAATGCTTTGACTTCAATATCTGATTAAGTGCTTTGGCATAAAATCAAATGTAGCAGTGCTAAGATATACACGCAGCTAATCTACTCTTCATGTCCACAAAACAAGCCAGACTTTAACCTACAAAGCAGCAAACCTTCCTACCGAAAAATCTTACTCGTATTTAATTTCTGAGCACGTCGAAATGGACAAAAAACAAAATGGGACACCAAAATTTTAGTTCTGTTTTCTTACTTCCAGTTACTGTCAGTGAGACCTGTGCACTCTGTCCTGTTCCAACTTGGTTGCTGGCAAAACAGACATATGTGCCCTGGTCTCCACTGTTGGCATTGAACACAGTTAATGATGGACTGCCTACAGATGATCCACCATAATTCACATTGTCTATTGTCAGCGTAGAAGTCACGCCAATGTTGGATGTGAACTGCCAGAACACATTTGTATATGATGGATTAGCGGAGGCAGAACACTGCAAGGTCACAGTTGTTCCCGTGGTTACAGAATAAGCTGTCTGAGACACAGTGACTGTTGGTATACCTGAAAAAAATGTCTAGCCTTATTAGCAGTGCATGTGTATTTCACATATTATTGAAGTATTTTTGTGCCATAAACGCATGTGTAGAGGCTGAATAAGCACGATAAGCTACAAATCAATGATGCGAGGAGGATAGCGCCAGGAAGTGTCAATGACAGTCTTCATTATCTTAGATAATACACTTATATACAGTGCAACTTATTCTAACGTGCCATTTTAACTCAAAATGAATTGTTTATATTTAGAATGTTGTGAATTCCATTTGGACCGAATTATTTCCTGGCATTTCTATCATACAAGAAATGTAGACCTCTCCATTTTGCCAGAATTAATTTTTTGTATCAATTTTCACTTGTATACCAAACCAGTTAGAGAAATCAGAGGTCTCACACTTTTATCGTTTTAAGTTGCCAGTTTATTCTTAAAAAGTACAAGTCTTTAATCCTATATGCACAAAATTCGAAATTCTATAAGTTGTCATGGAAATAATAATGAAAACTATCACAGAATATTTGTAGTTATAAGTGTTATGAAGAAGGAGATGAGATAAAGAATGAGTGATTTCCACACAGTACGGGTTTATATCCACACAGTATGGGTTTATATCCACACAGTATGGGTTTATATCCACACAGTATGGAATTTATAGCCACACAGTATGGGTTTATATCCACACAGTATGGGTTTATAGCCACACAGTATGGAGTTTATATCCACACAGTATGGAGTTTATATCCACACAGTATGGAGTTTATATCCACACAGTATGGAGTTTATATCCACACAGCATGGAGTTTTTATCCACACAGTATGGAGTTTATATCCACACAGTATGGGTTTATATCCACACAGTATGGGTTTATATCCACACAGTATGGAGTTTATATCCACACAGTATGGATTTATATCCACACAGTATGGGTTTATATCCACACAGTATGGGTTTATATCCACACAGTACGGGTTTATATCCACACAGTATGGGTTTATATCCACACAGTATGGGTTTATATCCACACAGTATGGAATTTATAGCCACACAGTATGGGTTTATATCCACACAGTATGGGTTTATAGCCACACAGTATGGAGTTTATATCCACACAGTATGGAGTTTATATCCACACAGTATGGAGTTTATATCCACACAGTATGGAGTTTATATCCACACAGTATGGAGTTTATATCCACACAGTATGGGTTTATATCCACACAGTATGGGTTTATATCCACACAGTATGGAGTTTATATCCACACAGTATGGAGTTTATATCCACACAGTATGGATTTATATCCACACAGTATGGGTTTATATCCACACAGTATGGGTTTATATCCACACAGTATGAGTTTATAGCCACACAGTATGGAGTTTATAGCCACACAGTATGGAGTTTATATCCATACAGTATGGAGTTTATATCCACACAGTATGGGTTTATATCCACACAGTATGGGTTTATATCCACACAGTATGGGTTTATATCCACACAGTATGGGTTTACATCCACACAGTATGGGTTTATATCCACACAGTATGGAGTTTATATCCACACAGTATGGATTTATATCCACACAGTATGGGTTTATATCCACACAGTATGGGTTTATATCCACACAGTATGAGTTTATAGCCACACAGTATGGGTTTATATCCACACAGTATGGGTTTATATCCACACAGTATGGGTTTATATCCACACAGTATGGGTTTATATCCACACAGTATGGGTTTACATCCACACAGTATGGGTTTACATCCACACAGTATGGGTTTATATCCACACAGTATGGAGTTTATATCCACACAGTATGGATTTATATCCACACAGTATGGGTTTATATCCACACAGTATGGGTTTATAGCCACACAGTATGGAGTTTATATCCACACAGTATGAGTTTATAGCCACACAGTATGGGTTTATAGCCACACAGTATGGGTTTATATCCACACAGTATGGGTTTATATCCACACAGTATGGGTTTATATCCACACAGTATGGAGTTTATATCCACACAGTATGGGTTTATATCCACACAGTATGGGTTTATATCCACACAGTATGGGTTTATAGCCACACAGTATGGGTTTATATCCACACAGTATGGGTTTATATCCACACAGTATGGAGTTTATATCCACACAGTATGGAGTTTATATCCACACAGTATGGAGTTTATAGCCACACAGTATGGGTTTATATCCACACAGTATGGGTTTATATCCACACAGTATGGGTTTATATCCACACAGTATGGAGTTTATATCCACACAGTATGGATTTATATCCACACAGTATGGGTTTATATCCACACAGTATGGGTTTATATCCACACAGTATGAGTTTATATCCACACAGTATGGGTTTATAGCCACACAGTATGGACTTTTTATCCACACAGTATGGGTTTATATCCACACAGTATGGAGTTTATATCCACACAGTATGGAGTTTTTATCCACACAGTATGGGTTTTTATCCACACAGTATGGGTTTATATCCACACAGTATGAGTTTATAGCCACACAGTATGGGTTTATAGCCACACAGTATGGAGTTTTTATCCACACAGTATGGAGTTTATATCCACACAGTATAGAGTTTATATCCACACAGTATGGGTTTATATCCACACAGTATGGGTTTATATCCACACAGTATGGGTTTATAGCCACACAGTATGGAGTTTATATCCACACAGTTTATATCCACACAGTATGGAGTTTTTATCCACACAGTATGGAGCTTATATCCACACAGTATTGGGTTTATATCCACACAGTATGGGTTTATATCCACACAGTATGGAGTTTTTATCCACACAGTATGGGTTTATATCCACACAGTATGGGTTTATAGTCACACAGTATGGGTTTATAGTCACACAGTATGGGTTTATATCCACACAGTATGGGTTTATATCCACACAGTATGGAGTTCTTATCCACACAGTATGGAGTTTATATCCACACAGTATGGGTTTATATCCACACAGTATGGGTTTATATCCACACAGTATGGGTTTATATCCATACAGTATGGGTTTATATTCACACAGTATGGAGTTTATATCCACACAGTATGGGTTTATAGCCACACAGTATGGGTTTATAGCCACACAGTATGGAGTTTATATCCACACAGTATGGGTTTATAGCCACACAGTATGGGTTTATATCCACACAGTATGGGTTTATATCCACACAGTATGGAGTTTATATCCACACAGTATGGAGTTTATATCCACACAGTATGGAGTTTATATCCACACAGTATGGGTTTATATCCACACAGTATGGGTTTATATCCACACAGTATGGAGTTTATATCCACACAGTATGGGTTTATATCCACACAGTATGGGTTTATATCCACACAGTATGGGTTTATATCCACACAGTACGGGTTTATATCCACACAGTATGGGTTTATAGCCACACAGTATGGGTTTATATCCACACAGTATGAGTTTATATCCACACAGTATGGGGTTATATCCAATCTACAAAAGCAGTTATCCCTCCTGAGGTTTTAAAGACTTAAGACAAAGTGAAGATACAATACTATGATAGAAGGAGAAGTTGGAAAGACTGAAGACAGAATGAAGGCTGAAATATTCTGACAGAAGGAGAAGTTGTAAAGACTAAAGACAGAATGAAGGTTGAAATATTCTGACAGAAGAAGTTGTGAAGACTGAAGACAGAATGAAGGTTGAAATATTCTGACAGAAGGAGAGGTTGTAAAGACTAAAGACAGAATGAAGGTTGAAATATTCTGACAGAAGGAGAAGTTGTAAAGGCTGAAGACAAAATGAAGGTTGAAATATTCTGACAGAAGGAGAGGTTGTAAAGGCTGAAGACAGAATGAAGGTTGAAATATTCTGACAGAAGGAGAGGTTGTAAAGACTAAAGACAGAATGAAGGTTGAAATATTCTGACAGAAGGAGTTGTGAAGACTGAAGACAGAATGAAGGTTGAAATATTCTGACAGGGAGAAGTTGTAAAGGCTGAAGACAGAATGAAGGTTGAAATATTCTGACAGAAGGAGAGGTTGTAAAGGCCGAAGACAGAATGAAGGTTGAAATATTCTGACAGGGAGAAGTTGTAAAGGCTGATGACAGAATGAAGGTTGAAATATTCTGACAGAAGGAGAGGTTGTAAAGGCTGAAGACAAAATGAAGGTTGAAATATTCTGACAAAAGGAGAGGTTGTAAAGGCTGAAGACAAAATGAAGGTTGAAATATTCTGACAGAAGGAGAGGTTGTAAAGGCTGAAGACAAAATGAAGGTTAAAATATTCTGACAGAAGGAGAGGTTGTAAAGGCTGAAGACAGAATGAATGCTGAAATATTCTGACAGAGGGAGAGGTTGTAAAGGCTGAAGACAGAATGAAGGTTGAAATATTCTGACAGAAGGAGAGGTTGTAAAGGCTGAAGACAGAATGAAGGTTGAAATATTCTGACAGAAGAAGTTGTAAAGGCTGAAGACAGAATGAAGGTTGAAATATTCTGACAGAAGGAGAAGTTGTAAAGGCTAAAGACAGAATGAAGGCTGAAATATTCTGACAGAAGGAGAGGTTGTAAAGGCCGAAGACAGAATGAAGGTTGAAATATTCTGACAGGGAGAAGTTGTAAAGGCTGATGACAGAATGAAGGTTGAAATATTCTGACAGAAGGAGAGGTTGTAAAGGCTGAAGACAAAATGAAGGTTGAAATATTCTGACAAAAGGAGAGGTTGTAAAGGCAAAATGAAGGTTGAAATATTCTGACAGAAGGAGAGGTTGTAAAGGCTGAAGACAGAATGAAGGTTGAAATATTCTGACAGAAGGAGAGGTTGTAAAGGCTGAAGACAGAATGAAGGTTGAAATATTCTGACAGAAGAAGTTGTAAAGGCTGAAGACAGAATGAAGGTTGAAATATTCTGACAGAAGGAGAAGTTGTAAAGGCTAAAGACAGAATGAAGGCTGAAATATTCTGACAGAAGGAGAGGTTGTAAAGGCCGAAGACAGAATGAAGGTTGAAATATTCTGACAGGGAGAAGTTGTAAAGGCTGATGACAGAATGAAGGTTGAAATATTCTGACAGAAGGAGAGGTTGTAAAGACTGAAGACAAAATGAAGGTTGAAATATTCTGACAAAAGGAGAGGTTGTAAAGGCTGAAGACAAAATGAAGGTTGAAATATTCTGACAGAAGGAGAGGTTGTAAAGGCTGAAGACAGAATGAAGGTTGAAATATTCTGACGGAGGGAGAGGTTGTAAAAACTGAAGACAGAATGAAGGTTGAAATATTCTGATGGAATGAGATGATGTGAAATGTGCTGGCAGAAGAAGGGGAGGTAATTCAAACGGCCTGTCTGAGAGAGTGGTGCAAACTAATTTGACAGAAATCTGCAACTGTCATAGAGTAAATAACAACGATGCACAACAATCAAGGATAGTTCAAAAGGGATAATTACCAACAATATAAAGAAAACTACTAAATAAGTTATAGTTGATGTCTTCTAGACACAATCTGGTGTCAGTGTCTATGATCATATTATTTTCACAACATGACAGTCTCTATCAGATTCCATTTGTTTATCAGTGAGGTTGATAACTTCAAATACAATATCAATAACTTTTTTGAAATGGTGCTTTATACTTGTGTCAGATTAATGATATCATGATATTGGATTAACCTTTTTTCAAAGGGAGCAATGAAATGGAAGATAAAAAGAGTGCAATTTCACAGGATCAGGCATGCAAAGGATACTACTGCATTTTAAAATCATGTATGATAGATACTTACTTCCAGAGACTGTCAGTGTGGTGGAAGCACTCTGTCCAGTTCCTACTGAGTTGGAGGCGAAACAGGTGTAGGTTCCAGTGTCAGTGGTATCAGCATTGATAACTGTCAGGGATGGAGAATTGACCGAAGATCCAGAGTAGTTGATACCATCAATGGTGATGGACTGTGTTCCAGAACCAACATTACGTTGCCAGAACACTGAGGTGTGGGCGGGGTTGGCAGACACAGTACATCCCAAGGTGATACTGTTTCCTGTGCTGGTGCTGTAGGCAGTCTGAGAAATGGTCACAGTTGGAACATCTGAAAAGCCAGAATGGATGATGTTAAAATATATAAGTGAATGATTTATTACATTTGATAATATATTGTTTATAGTGCCTGATATCCTAAGTATGATCACTATAAAAACACTTTTATCATCTAACATCCTTCAGGCTGTTTACAAGTTAGTCTCTAAAACTAATGTTCACAATAACTGAGGATAAAATAAACTTAAAAAAAATTGAAACTCTGAAATAGAGACAATTGAGTAAATATTCAAGCCCTTTTCCCATTTCTATGAAAAATACATCCTTTTTGTTAAACTTTTTGTAAAACTACAAAAATTTGAACCATAGCAGCTAATGCATGTAGGCAATATTTGTATTTCAGAGAGTAGGTCAACATTATGTAATAGTATACATTACCAGAAATAGCATATGGCATTTAGGCCGAAAGTGCAACAAATATATAACATGTTCTTTTTAATACCAGTGCTTTCACCTATAGCGATACCAGAATTTAAACCTGAAAAAGCAGCAAATTCATGATATGGGACTATAGAAATACCAAAATTTAATCTAAAATGCAGCAAATTACTGGTATATTGCTATAGCAGTACTCAGTGCTTTACCCTTAACACTTTTAGACATTAAAGTCAGCAAACTTGAGATTCGTTTTTGCAATATAAATGCTTATAGATACAAAAAGCAGTGAGTTTGTGATACTGCTTTCTGTTGCTGTTGTGATATAAGTGTTTTGATATAAGAAACAGCAATCTTATGTCATATGAGTTCTTTCATACATTTCTTCAACATACAAGCATAAAGCTTCTGCAGCCAACACATCTAACCCTGGTATCAATTCTGGGTAAATGCTGTTTGAAACAGATCCAGGTGTTTTTATAAAACAAAGCAAGCAAGCAAATATAGGCTTCTTACAATGAACCTTCAGCTACTTTCTGTTTATACTTCATCAATCTTTTGAAATATTTACACAAAACAAGTAAAAAAAAACACAGCCAATCACAAGTCCACAAGCTGTTGCTGAATAAAAGCAAACAGTGTTTAGTATGACCTCAAAGTCTCACACATTTGTGTAAGTATTACAGTAACACTATGGAGATGTTATCATAAATGCGGCTTTGTTGTGTGGTTCTGAAGCGTTTTATTCCTGCATCAGTTTCTATTAATATTTTTTAAAACAAATAAACTGACAGGTACTATGTAAAATTAAAAGGAACTAACGGTATTGAAAACATAAGATTTAAAAAGAAAATGGGACACCAAAAATTTTAGTTCTGTTTTCTTACTTCCAGTTACTGTCAGTGAGACCTGTGCACTCTGTCCTGTTCCAACTTGGTTGCTGGCAAAACAGACATATGTGCCCTGGTCTCCACTGTTGGCATTGAACACAGTTAATGATGGACTGCCTACAGATGATCCACCATAATTCACATTGTCTATTGTCAGCGTAGAAGTCACGCCAATGTTGGATGTGAACTGCCAGAACACATTTGTATATGATGGATTAGCGGAGGCAGAACACTGCAAGGTCACAGTTGTTCCCGTGGTTACAGAATAAGCTGTCTGAGACACAGTGACTGTTGGTATACCTGAAAAAAATGTCTAGCCTTATTAGCAGTGCATAGTTTTATAAATTGATTTGAATATGTATATCATTGCCTTGTGCCATAAATATATGTAGACTATATAAGAGTATATCACAACATTTATGTGCATCATTTACTGTACAAGTAGTTATTGTGCTGTAGTTGTGCTTTGCAAAATAAAAAGCAGTGCATGAGGTTTGAGTGGCAACATAAGGAACTTAAAATTTTGTGAGAAAACCAGATGACCTTTGAACTCTGAGCCAATTCTAGTAAGGACATTTGGTGGAGAAATATATATGAACCTGTATGGTAAGAAAGCATTGTATGAAGCTTGTGTGGACGGAAAATATCACAATGACCAGGTGGAGCTCTAGCATCAAACATTTACGTCAAAGTCAAATAGTGGTACTGAACAGGTTGCTACGATAAATTTCAGCAAAGATATTATATAAAACTAAAATATCTTACATGGAAAATGAAATGTTTTGCAGCTCTTAGATTTATTGTGAATACATTATCTAATATGATAAGTGAGATAAACAACAAGTTATTTTTTTCAGTTAGAAAGTATTTTCTGATTATCAACCATCTTGTTAATATATATATTCTTCAATAATAACAAATGTACCTAGGAAATCTTTTAACACTGTGTATATATATTCATACCACAATATAAAATGACGTTGAAGAAGCTTAGCATATCTGACAATTATCAAAGGACTTGTCATTTTAAGTGATCTACACAAGGACATGAAAATTCTGTAGAACTCTGGGAAATGTTTTGTTATTTGTCTGAACATTGTTATTAACTAGTTATAGTTTTACAATCTGTCCATTTTCCATCATCAGCAATAAAGATATTATTTTTAAAAAAGTGATTTAAAATGAATCAGGAACAGAAATGAAATGCCTTTGTAGTTTCTTAGAGATGAAATCAGTTACCAGCTTGAGGAACAGTTCAAAACTTATAAAATATACATTTTAAAGTTAAGTAACAACAGGCAGGTGCATTTGTGATCATGTGGCATTCAAAGTTAACACAAAATGATGTCCATCCCTGCTACTTGCTGTTTCTTATTACAGATTGCAATGATTCCTTAACATTCAAAGACATATTTTTGTGATAAAATCAGGAAGATCAATTAAAACCATGCAGATTATCTTTTTTAGAATAAAATTTCACAAGAAGTTACATATTCAGTTTCTGTTATTATTGTGAAACTTAAAATGAACATGATGTCAAAACAGAATTGATTAAACACTTGCAAGGAAATGCAGACACCTCCTTCAACAACGGGCTCCTAATTTTTGAAAATTGAAAATAACAGATTTTTGGAGATCACAACTAATGATAGAAGTGGTGGTCAACCTTGTACAACACTGGTTAAATATTTTGCTTGATAAATGGGACGTTGAATGTCCAAGGTAAAACATCAACAGGAGGTAGAAGAAAAATTCAGAGGGGCCATGAAGTAAACCATGGTTAGAAATGACGTGAGGAGACGGCTGAGAAATGGTAAGATATTTTGAAATGAGTAGTTGTAAAAGATTCTAATAGTCTTGACTTACTTCCAGAGACCGTCAGTGTGGTGGCAGCACTCTGTCCAGTTCCTACTGAGTTGGAGGCGAAACAAGTGTAGGTTCCAGTGTCACTGGTATCAGCATTGATAACTGTCAGGGATGGAGAATTGACCGAAGATCCAGAGTAGTTGATACCATCAATGGTGATGGACTGTGTTCCAGAACCAACATTACGTTGCCAGAAAACTGAGGTGTGGGCGGGGTTGGCTGACACGGTACATCCCAAGGTGATACTGTTTCCTGTGCTGGTGCTGTAGGCAGTCTGAGAAATTGTCACAGTGGGGACAGCTGAAAGTGAAATAAGTGTAAATAGATTCCTCCTAAAACTAAAGAGTGGTTTCCTATTTTGTCCAATATATCTTTTTTTATCTCATAACAAATCTAAACATTGCAAAACACACATGTAATAACAAAACTGGGATCTTACTAATAAGTTACCTTGAATATGTCACATGATTGTCTCAGTAGTAAAAATGTACTGCTAACAGCCTGTCTTATAGGGAAATTAATTTGAGAGCTTTTGCTTATCTTTAAGAAGTGCAGGTTACATGATAAATAGAATCTTTCACTCATGCCAATTTAATATGTCAATCATTCAACTTTTAGGAGAATCTGACATGATTCTTGTTTAAAGGCTCATGACATATTGATCTCTTGTGATTAATTCCATATTACATAGACATCCATTTACTTAAGTTAGTCAATCACAGTAAACCATAGGAATCTAAACCAAGACTTAAGTCCAGAACTCTATATAGACTCCTTTGTCTCCAGGGAAACTACACCTGACGAAGTCTGAGGAACAAGGAAGACTAGACCCCACAGATCTGTACATAACAAATGATTTGTAGTTGTTTCAGGTATCAATATCACTATTACACATACCTCCAGCCATGGTATAAGTGACAGAAGCGGCCCTTACCTCCAGAAACAGTCAGTTGAGTTTGAGCACTCTGTCCAGTTCCAGCCGAGTTGGTGGCAAAACAGATGTAGAGTCCAGAGTCACTAGAATCAGCGTTGAGGACAGTCAGAGATGGAGTGCCGACTGAAGCTCCTGAGAAGTTTACATTGTCAATGGTTATAGTAGAGGTAACTCCACTAATGATCCTTTGCCAGAAGACGTTTGTCACTGTTGTTGTTGATGATACCGTACACAGCAGTGTTATACTGTTACCAGTATTAGTACTGTAGGCAGTCTGTCCAATTGTCACACTAGGCACCGCTGAAATAAAGATGGTAGAATATCACCAAAATGACATGACAGACAACCTCATTTATGTACTGGAATTTACAACACCAACAATTCATACTCTTACATACTCAATCTCTCACATACCCTATTTCTCAAAACCTTTATCTCTCATCCCAACTCTCACACCTCCTCTCTACTTTCTCACTCTCATCTCACAATTTTATATCTTGCATACTTTATCTCATACAAACTCTCATCCTGTCATACTTCCTATTAATCACATACCTCATCTCTAAAACACCCTATCTCTCAAATGTCTTCCTTCTCACACCTTTTTTTCTCATGCCTTCTCTTTCACATCCTCCCTATCTCTCACATGACCTCTCTCTCGCACATCCTATCTTTCACATGCCCTTTCTCTCATACACCTTCTCTCACACACCCTCTATCTCTCAGATCTTACACATCCTCCCTCAGAACACCTCATCTCTAACATGCCCTATGTCCCAAATGCTACATCTCACACACACTCTATCTCTCAAACTTTTCCCTCTTATACTCCCTATCTCACACCTCATATCTCACACACTTTTCATACTCTCTCACACGTCCTCTCTCTCACACACACCCTCTGTCACTTGTCCTCTCTCCTTCACACACACCCTATCTCTCCAACACCCTCTCTCTTGCACGACCTTTTTATCTCACACAACCTACCTCTTACAAGCCCTATCTCTGTCTCACACAAACTCTCTCTAACACACCCACAATCTTATCTCTTAAACACACTCTCTCTCCCTAGATCTCATATTCCCTCTCTTACATACCCTCTCTCACCTACACTAGGACATGCATAAACACATTTTTTTTTACACTTTTACATCAGCATGGTCACCAAGTTGACACAATTATACAACACATGTTGTAATCAAAATTCTTATGCATTCACCATTAACATTATCTCAACAAATATCATCTCTTTCACTTTGACTCATAAATGACGGTTAAAAATCAGAAGTTAGAATGGAGACAGTTTACATCTATATATATATTTGTTCTTCTGTTAAAAGAGAGAAGAAAAAGAGAAAGAGGAAGTGATGAAAGAAAGAAGGTCAAAAGAGTAAAAGGGTAGGAGGGTAGGTCGGAGGATGAGAGGAGAGAGATTGAGAGGGTACATGGGAGGGTGTGGAGGGAGGTCACCAGGGTGCATGGGAGGATGAGATGATGAGAAGTGGGTGAGAGGGTGAGGTGTCATGTTTGCTAAATGTCAAGGTTTGTCATCAGTTTAATATGGGAATAAAATACACCACCATCCACTTAAACCTTAGAAAATAATGATTAATAATATTCAAAATTATTTTTATGAGGAAACCATTGTTAATATCATTCATCAGTTTATTGTTACCTAGGAAACAAATAATTGTTAATATCATCCACAATATTTATTGTTACCAGAAAATGATTGTTAATATCATCCATCAATTTATTGTTACCTAGGAAACAAATGATTGTTAATATCATCCATCAATTTATTGTTACCTAGGAAACAAATGATTGTTAATATCATCCATCAATTTATTGTTACCTAGGAAATGATTGTTAATATCATCCATCAATATATTGTTACCTAGGAAATGATTGTTAATATAACCAACCATGGATTTGTATTTATGATAGGATTGTTAGATATCATCAGTTACGTCAGTACATAAGGAGATGATGTCATTAATAATCACCATCCAGTACATAAAGTCACGCATCAGTGATTAATGCTGATGAGTCATTCACAAACCATTCATACCATAGTTTCTATTGGCAATATACAATACTTACAAACAAAAACAAAATTATACACAGGACAATTGTGAATTACGTCACACATCACCAAGTTATACACAGGAGAATTTTGAGTTACGTCACACATCACCAGTTTATACTCAAGAAAACTGTCATCATTCTCATCCGTCAGTTGTTCATACTCAATGTTACTGGTCACAGATGCATGTGAGAATTTTCAATTATGTCACTTGTCACTAATTTACATCCTTGAAAATCAGGGATAATGGCACTTATCACTGATTTATACCCAGGAGAATTATGAAAAAATTCGCTCATTCTAGCAATTTTTATGCCAAAGAAAATTACTTATTGTGTCTTTAATGTACGTATTACAATTAAAATAAACATCACAATCAGCAGTAAACATGGCGTTCAGTTGGTGATGACACAGGGAGCCACCACAGGGCAATCCATTACACATGTGTCCAGCTCCTGAGACAGATTAGAAGGACTGGCAATATAGCAGCATGCAATATGTTAACAAGGGCCATAACTATGGCAAGGACGAAAGATTGCAATGGTGTAATGATAAGTGTCTTTAACCTGTGAAATGTTTTGTTGCTTCCTGAGTTGTGATAGTTCATCTTCCACAGAAATTGTGTTCACCGAAAAAGGTACATATGGAAGGGCAGAGTTGAAATTGATCTCAAACAAAAAATGAAAAGTGATGAGGGTGTAATGTCTGAAAAATATACCAAGTTTTGTTGTCATGCACCTAACATTTAAGATGGAGACCGACTACTAAAGTGACTAAATAAAAGAAAGTAGCACTATAGTTGGTGCCATTCTGAATAAATTGTAGATGACTGCAGTCAGAATAGAGGCAGGGCCAAACAAGTAGGCTCCTATCATAAAAGTAGGGGAAATGAATCAGAAGAAACTATAGTCAGCTTTAATCAGAAGAAACTATAGTCAGATCCTATCAGAAGAAACTATGGTCAGTTCCTATCAGAAAAAGCTACAGACAGCTCCTATCACAAGAAACTATAGTCAGCTCCTATCAGAAGAAACTATAGTCAGCTTTTATCAGAAAAAGCTACAGTCGCCTATCAGAAAAAACTATAGTCAGCTCCTATCACAAGAAACTATAGTCAGCTCCTATCACAAGAAACTATAGTCAGCTCCTATCACAAGAAACTATAGTCAGCTCCTTTCAGAAGAAACTATAGTCAGTTCCTATCAGAAGAAGCTATAGTCAGCTCCTATCACAAGAAACTATAGTCAGATCCTATCACAAGAAGCTATAGTCAGCTCCTATCACAAGAAACTATAGTCAGTTCCTATCAGAAGAAACTATAGTCAGTTCCTATCAGAAGAAGCTATAGTCAGTTCCTATCACAAGAAACTATAGTCAGCTCCTTTCAGAAGAAACTATAGTCAGTTCCTATCAGAAGAAGCTATAGTCAGCTCCTATCACAAGAAACTATAGTCAGATCCTATCACAAGAAGCTATAGTCAGCTCCTATCAGAATAAACAATAGTCAGCTTTTATCAGAAGAAACTATAGTCAGCTTTTATCAGAAGAAACTATAGTCAGCTTTTATTAGAAGAAACTATAGTCAGCTTTTATCAGAAGAAACTATAGTCAGCTTTTATCAGAAGAAACTATAGTCAGCTCCTATCAGAATAAACAATAGTCAGCTTTTATCAGAACAAACTATAGTAAGCTCCTATCACAAGAAACTATAGTCAGCTCCTATCAGAAGAAACTATAGTCAGCTCCTATCACAAGAAACTATAGTCAGCTCCTTTCAGAAGAAACTATAGTCAGATCCTATCAGAAGAAACTATAGTCAGCTCCTATCACAAGAAACTTAGTCAGCTTTTATCAGATATCAGAAGAAACTATAGTCAGCTCCTATCACAAGAAACTATAGTCAGCTCCTATCACAAGAAACAATAGTCAGCTTTTATCAGAAGAAACTATAGTCAGCTCCTATCAGAAGAAACTGTAGTCAGATCCTATCACAAGAAACTATAGTCAGCTCCTATCACAAGAAACTATAGTCAGCTCCTATCACAAGAAACTATAGTCAGCTCCTTTCAGAAGAAACTATAGTCAGATCCTATCAGAAGAAACTATAGTCAGCTTTTATCAGATATCAGAAGAAACTATAGTCAGCTTTTATCAGAAGAAACTATAGTCAGCTCCTGTCAGAAGAAACAATAGTCAGTTTTTATCTGAAGAAACAATAGTCAGCTTTTATCAGAAGAAACTATAGTAAGCTCCTATCATAGTCAGCTTTTATCAGAAGAAACTATAGTCAGATCCTATCAGAAGAAACTATGGTCAGTTCCTATCAGAAAAAGCTACAGACAGCTCCTATCACAAGAAACTATAGTCAGCTCCTATCAGAAGAAACTATAGTCAGCTTTTATCAGAAAAAGCTACAGTCGCCTATCAGAAAAAACTATAGTCAGCTCCTATCACAAGAAACTATAGTCAGCTCCTATCACAAGAAACTATAGTCAGCTCCTATCACAAGAAACTATAGTCAGTTCCTATCAGAAGAAACTATAGTCAGTTCCTATCAGAAGAAGCTATAGTCAGTTCCTATCACAAGAAACTATAGTCAGCTCCTTTCAGAAGAAACTATAGTCAGTTCCTATCAGAAGAAGCTATAGTCAGCTCCTATCACAAGAAACTATAGTCAGATCCTATCACAAGAAGCTATAGTCAGCTCCTATCAGAATAAACAATAGTCAGCTTTTATCAGAAGAAACTATAGTCAGCTTTTATTAGAAGAAACTATAGTCAGCTTTTATCAGAAGAAACTATAGTCAGCTTTTATCAGAAGAAACTATAAGCTCCTATCAGAATAAACAATAGTCAGCTTTTATCAGAACAAACTATAGTAAGCTCCTATTACAAGAAACTATAGTCAGCTCCTATCAGAAGAAACTATAGTCAGCTCCTATCACAAGAAACTATAGTCAGCTCCTTTCAGAAGAAACTATAGTCAGATCCTATCAGAAGAAACTATAGTCAGCTCCTATCACAAGAAACTTAGTCAGCTTTTATCAGATATCAGAAGAAACTATAGTCAGCTCCTATCACAAGAAACTATAGTCAGCTCCTATCACAAGAAACAATAGTCAGCTTTTATCAGAAGAAACTATAGTCAGCTCCTATCAGAAGAAACTGTAGTCAGATCCTATCACAAGAAACTATAGTCAGCTCCTATCACAAGAAACTATAGTCAGCTCCTATCACAAGAAACTATAGTCAGCTCCTTTCAGAAGAAACTATAGTCAGATCCTATCAGAAGAAACTATAGTCAGCTTTTATCAGATATCAGAAGAAACTATAGTCAGCTTTTATCAGAAGAAACTATAGTCAGCTCCTGTCAGAAGAAACAATAGTCAGTTTTTATCTGAAGAAACAATAGTCAGCTTTTATCAGAAGAAACTATAGTAAGCTCCTATCATAGTCAGCTTTTATCAGAAGAAACTATAGTCAGTTCCTATCACAAGAAACTATAGTCAGCTTTTATCAGAAGAAACTATAGTCAGCTTTTATCAGAAGAAACTATAGTCAGCTTTTATCAGAAGAAACTATAGTCAGCTTTTATCAGAAGAAACTATAGTCAGCTTTTATCAGAAGAAACTATAGTCAGATCCTATCAGAAGAAACTATAGTCAGCTCCTATCACAAGAAACTTCGTCAGCTTTTATCAGATATCAGAAGAAACAATAGTCAGTTTTTATCAGAAGAAACTATAGTCAGCTCCTGTCAGAAGAAACAATAGTCAGTTTTTATCAGAAGAAACTATAGTAAGCTCCTATCACAAGAAACTATAGTCAGCTTTTATCACAAGAAACTATAGTCAGCTCGTATAAGAAAAAGGTATTGTGGCCTATCAGAAGAAACAACATTCGACTAGCATCAGAAAATAAACTATAGTCAGCTCCTATCTGAAGAAACTATAGTCAGCTCCTATCAGAAGAAACAACATTCGACTAGTATCAGAAAATAAACTATAGTCAGCTCCTATCTGAAGAAACTATAGTCAGCTCCTATCACAAGAAACTATAGTCAGCTCCTATCACAAGAAACTATAGTCAGCTCCTGTCAGAAGAAACTATAGTCAGTTTTTATCGGAAGAAACTATAGTCAGCTCCTATCACAAGAAACTATAGTCAGCTCCTGTCAGAAGAAACAATAGTCAGTTTTTATCAGAAGAAACTATAGTCAGCTCCTATCACAAAAAACTCTAGTCAGCTCCTATCACAAAAAACTATAGTCAGCTCCTATCACAAGAAACTATAGTCAGCTCCTATCACAAGAAACTATAGTCAGCTCCTATCAGAAGAAACTATAGTCAGCTCCTGTCAGAAGAAACAATAGTCAGTTTTTATCAGAAGAAACTATAGTCAGCTCCAATCACAAAAAACTATAGTCAGCTCCTATCACAAGAAACTACAGTCAGCTCCTATCACAAGAAACTATAGTCAGCTTCCATCAGAAGAAACTATAGTCAGCTCATATAAGAAAAAGGTATTGTGGCCTATCAGAAGAAACAACATTCGACTAGTATCAGAAAATAAACTATAGTCAGCTCCTATCTGAAGAAACTATGGTCAGTTCCTATCAGAAAAAGCTACAGACAGCTCCTATCAAAAGAAACTATATTCAGTTCCTATCACAAGAAACTATAGTCAGCTCCTATGAGAAAAAGCTACAGACAGCTCCTATCAAAAGAAACTATGGTCAGTTCCTATCACAAGAAACTATGGTCAGCTCCTATCTGAAGAAACTACAGACAGCTCCTATCAGAAGAAACTATAGTCAGCTCCTATGAGAAAAAGCTACAGACAGCTCCTATCAAAAGAAACTATAGTCAGTTCCTATCAGAAGAAACTATTGTCAGCTCCTATAAGAAAAAGGTATTGTGGCCTATCAGAAAAAACCATATTCGACTAGTATTTGAAGAAACTATAGTCAGCTCCTATTAGAACAGCAAAGGGAATGAACAAGGTCATGCGAAAGATCAAGAAGAAAGTAAAGTTAATAGATGATGTTTTCTCTCTTAGGATAGAGAGGCATGCAAAAATAGTAATTACATGTGGAAACAGTGACAGAGGCAGTTTCACTGTTTCCTGTTCCTGCAGAGTTGACAGCAAAGCATGTGTATGACCCGGAATCAGAGGTGACAGCATCAATAATTGTCAGGGATGGAGTTGATACACTTGATCCTGAGAAGTTGACTCCATCAACAGTAATGGTCTGTGTTCCAGATCCAACATCACGTTGCCAGAACACATTGGTAACAGTTGTTACAGAGGACACCGTACAGCCAAGTGTAATTGTAGTTGACACCTGGGCACCAAAGCTTGTCTGGGCAATGGTCACCGTAGGAACTGAATTAAAGATGCAAATTCAAACGAAAAAAATCTTAACCATATACTCTACTTTTTTCTACTTTTCTGTGGATTTTGACCATTTGAGCTTCTATTCACTAAGTGGTTACAGCAATTCCTCTTCAATTTCAGCAAAAATACAATCCGTTCTCACTTAAGTATCTACCATACAGGAATCTCAAAACTGAAATAATGAATATTCACAATGACCCCTCCCTTATCTGTATATGAAGTATATGTCTACACTGACCCCTCCCTTACCTGTATATACAGTATATCTCTAAACTGACCACTACCTTACCTGTATATACAGCATATCTCTGCAATGACCACTACCTTACCTGTATGTACAGTATATCTCTAAACTAACCCCTCCCTTATTGGTAAATACAGTATATCGCTACATTGACCCTTCCCTTATCTGTAAAGGAGATATCAAACAAAATAAAATAATATAATTACCCTGTGCTAGCACTCCGGGTAAAAAAATGGCTGCCAGCAATAAGACAGGTGAAACTCCACCCATTTTGGAAAGCTCTGTGGTCGAAATCTGTTAAATTTGGTTGATACAGGCACGAAACTTTGTGGAAACCCTTTGACTCTGCCTCCAGGTGAGGTCCGTCACACTGACCTGGTGCACCTGCGGAATATTTACAATAGTTGTGTGAAAGTTTTGTTCATGAATACACTACTAATCAATAGTGAGTACACAACAGCAGTAATATAATGATTACATTTAACATTGTTTTCTGAAAATCAATCCTGGTTTGATGTACGAAGGCTTATGTGTATCAAGGGAAAACTGACCTCTATTTCCAACGATGGTCCACTTGAGATTCTCTCTCTCATTACTAACATCTTAACACTTTCAATTTCACTTTCATTGTGGTAATAATTTCAAAACACCAACATATATCTATAAACACTGAAATTGGATGTCTCTGAAAATTGTTTTGTGATTAACAAGCAAAATCAACCAGGAAACATGAATGCTTTACCAAAGCTCATATATATTGGTATTTTTATTGTCATTCTGGAAAAAAGGTAATTTCAATTTGAACAAGAAAACAGAGTCAAAGTTTAAGTGTACTGCAAAATAATCCTTTCACTAAAGGAAGACAAAATTCTTTACAACAGACTCTAAATGAAAAAAAATTGAGCCACTTCATGAAGTTCCACCCTGGTTTGTTTACCTAATATCTTAGATATCCCATAAGTAAAGCTTGTCCATGTTTGACCAGTATCTGACCATCTGACGACATTGTTAGACAGTAAGGGGAGTGGACTATTCAATGGAAGAGGCACAATTGGCCTGTTTGGTTTTCTCTTTGAAAATGATGTAGATAATATGAGACCATTTTTGGTTAAATATAGCCTTTTGTTGAAATTGACATGAAAGAATATTCTGAACTACAAAGAAAATGCGAATACAGTAGAAACAACAAGAACAATGTAAAGATTTAATTGAAAAACCATCAGCCAATCAGAAACTTTTATTAAAACAGTAGCAACTTCTGATGGCACATTACACGAATATAAATAACAGGAAATATTTCTGAGCTGACAGACCAGCTTGTTTCCATATATCCTGTACATCACTGCGAGACTACAATCAATGACATAAGAGAATTTTAAAGACACAATCAGATTTATAAAACTGTTCAAATTTTCGTTTTCAATTCTGTGTTTCTGTCAGATTTATAGGAACTTTCAAAACACATGAATGCATACATCATTTTAAGTGTCCAGAATTTTGTTTTAAGATTTTTATGTATGAATATCAATAAAAGTTTTCTGGGTTTGAGTACTGAGTCATGATTAAACGTAAGAATGGTTTGAAGCATTTTATATCAAACAATGTAAAACGATCATGTAAAATACCCTCTTCACTACTGACTTCAGATAATAGAATACAGGTGTGGTTACTGTCAGGTGAGAGAGCTTGGTCAATACTCCAACAAACTTGGAACAAAATTTTCTATAATACATGTGTATTTAACCTAAATATTCAAGGTTTGAAAATATAATTCAGTCAGGATCAAATATCAATGATTCATAAACTACAATGACTTGTCACAGAATTGGTCAAAGTTGTACATCTACATTTACAGCTAACTGAAGGTGAAGATATAAATCTTTCATAATTATAGAGGTATTTTTTTCATCCATAGATTTGTAATCCTAGCTCTAAAGACTTGCTTGCTACAAACATTACCGGGTATATTCATATTCATGATGGCATGAAAATTTCTCTGACAGTTAAAGAGATCATTCACCCATGTCAGTTAAAAAATTGCTCCCCGGCTTTAAATACACTTAGAAATCTGTGTAATATGTAGGCTGTATAGCACTGATATATCATATCTGATTTTTGCAAATGTGACTTTGATTTTTTAGAAGATAAATGCTATCCCCCATAAGAAGGGATCCCAGAATGATTTTTTTGTCTCCTGGTACATGTCTTTATTTGTGGAAGCAAATATTTACTCATCATTTAATTCATCAGTATGATAGTAATATCTAGGAAAATCAAGTCAATACATGGATTATTTCTAGCAAAACAATTATATGATATATGAAGATGAGCACAGAAAAAAAACAATGATAAATTTTAGATGTCTAGACAGAGGATGGTCCACAGGCAGCCAAAGTATGCCACACTAACACTAATTAGCAGGCTAGGACTTGGGGAACAAACACAGGATATTTTAGAGGAGAAATTCATAACAGCACTTTTTGAAAAAAAGCTGAATTCTTTTAATGTCAAAATTCAAGATGGCCACTTTGGCAAAACATCAATTACAAACTCCAACAACATTCAAGAGAGCCATCGGACTTGTTCTGTTAAGTTTCAAAAAATTAACATGCCAGGAAAACATCATTTCTTTCCAAAACACAACAATAAAAACAATATTTGATGATAATGAGATACTTAAAAACAAAAATTAACAAAGCAAAGTTAAGTATCAGTGTCTTAATCTTAATTATCCAAAACTTCACAGTATTTTTGTATATAAAGATGTTGGATTATTAAAAACTTCACAGTATTTTTGTATATAAAGATGTTGGATTATTAAAAACTTCACAGTATTTTTGTATATAAAGATGTTGGATTATTAAAAACTTCACAGTATTTTTGTATATAAAGATGTTGGATTATTAAAAACTTCACAGTATTTTTGTATATAAAGATGTTGGATTATTAAAAACTTCACAGTATTTTTGTATATAAAGATGTTGGATTATTAAAAACTTCACAGTATTTTTGTATATAAAAATCTTAATTATCCAAAACTTCACAGTATTTTTTAATATAAAAATCTTAATTATCCAAAACTTCACAGTATTTTTGTATATAAAGATGTTGGATTATTAAAAACTTCACAGTATTTTTGTATATAAAAATCTTAATTATCCAAAACTTCACAGTATTTTTGTATATAAAAATCTTAATTATCCAAAACTTCAGGGTATTTTTGTATATAAAAATGTTGAATTATCCAAAACTTTGGAAGAGAACAAATAGATAACTGAAGAAAACAGCAGCAAAATGTGCAAAAGATGTAAAGAATATTGCATCAAATAGGCCTACCTGCTACAAGATGTGGCACAGATTACTCCAGTCCCGACAGCATTCCAGCAATACGAACAACTCGCCCCACTCACCACTACTATGACAGACTTGATAATCTATTTTAAACCACAAGCACTATTCCATTCAGCCTTTAGCAAATTTCTTTGAATGTTGTCAAACCTGTATTGCCACCTCCAGCTACCTCCGCCCTGCTGTATTGGGCACTCAATGGATGGTATTGTTATTTACTGTCAACATTACCGGTTTATTCCACATATGGTATTACAAACCTGTTCCTTATAAATTTACTGATTACAGGAACACCTACTTACATTACAACCAAATATTCCGTGAGAAGTCCTTGTTTAATACAGCTAGTTTGTATCATTTTCAACAACTTGATTTAGGTTTTTTGTAGATTTTTAGTTGAAATACATATTCTATCATAATTGTGGAATGGTACAGTTCTTGGACAGAAAAATATTTTCATTCTATCATTTAGAATCACTGGAATACATTATCTTAATGATCAATGAACATTCACATGCTATGAATTGCACTATAAAAAGCATATGAATACAAAACAAAGAAAACAGTCTGACCCTGTCTGATAGCTTTCTTCTGGAGTTACACTAAATTAAAATACGGACAAATTTCAAGGCTGCATTTTTTTCTATTTCTCCAAATCCCATAGCAGAGCAAAGTGTTAAACCATTCATCATGCATAAGGTCAGTAAAATATTTATATGTCAATACTTGTATATCCAACTCTCTCCTTGACAATCAAATATAAAACTCCCTCCTAAATAAGTCATTCAATACATAGCCACTCCTTTAAAAGATGTTCAACACACAACCCTTCCTAAATAAGCTGTATGATATACAACCCCTTCTAAAATAAGCTGTTCAACACAGTGCCCTTCCTAAATAATCAGTTACACAAACAGCGCCTTCTAAATAAGTCTTTCTGAAGAAACTGTTCAATACATAGCCCCTCCTAAAAAAGCTGTTTACTACACAGTCATTCCTTAGAAAGGGGATCAGCACAGTGCCCTTCCTAAATAATCAGTTACACAAACAGCGCCTTCTAAATAAGTCTTTCTGAAGAAACTGTTCAATACATAGCCCCTTCTAAAAAAGCTGTTCACTACACAGTCATTCCTTAGAAAGGGGATCAGCACAGTGCCCTTCCTAAATAAGCTGTTCAATACATAGCCCCTTCTAAAATAGCTGTTCACTACACAGTCATTCCTTAGAAAGGGGATCAGCACAGTGCCCTTCCTAAATAAGCTGTTCAATACATAGCCCCTTCTAAAATAGCTGTTCACTACACAGTCATTCCTTAGAAAGGGGATCAGCACAGTGCCCTTCCTAAATAAGCTGTTCAATACATAGCCCCTTCTAAAATAGCTGTTCACTACACAGTCATTCCTTAGAAAGGGGATCAGCACAGTGCCCTTCCTAAATAAGCTGTTCAATACATAGCCCCTCCTAAAAAGGCTGTTCACTACACAGTCATTCCTTAGAAAGGGGATCAGCACAGTGCCCTTCCTAAATAAGCTGTTCAATACATAGCCCCTTCTAAAATAGCTGTTCACTACACAGTCATTCCTTAGAAAGGGGATCAGCACAGTGCCCTTCCTAAATAAGCTGTTCAATACATAGCCCCTTCTAAAAAAGCTGTTCACTACAGTCATTCCTTAGAAAGGGGATCAGCACAGTGCCCTTCCTAAATAATCAGTTACACAAACAGCGCCTTCTAAATAAGTCTTTCTGAAGAAACTGTTCAATACATAGCCCCTTCTAAAAAACCTGTTCACTACACAGTCATTCCTTAGAAAGGGGATCAGCACAGTGCCCTTCCTAAATAAGCTGTTTACTACACAGTCATTCCTTAGAAAGGGGATCAGCACAGTGCCCTTCCTAAATAAGCTGTTTACTACACAGTCATT